CTTCGAAAAACGAAGTTGCTGCTTAATTTCCCTTGCTCGTTGCTGAGTCTTGCCACAGTCAACAAGCTTGTCTACGAGTTTTTCTATAGCATCAACCGCTTCCATTCCTGATGCTGAATAGAGACTTGCGAACAGATGAAGAACACACGGCCCAAACTCTCTGTAGAGTTCTCTTACTCATAGGCTCAAAGTTGGTTTCACAGCAGTATTGTTGATACTATTGGACAATACGCTCTGGTATCATTGTTCTGATAACATTGGGTGTTTTTATGATCTCGCCAGTCGACAATTTTAGAAGTTTTTCCCCGAAAGGAACATCTTGAGTAACGTGTGGACTCTTTATGAAAGAAACAAAATGTTCTAATCTTACAGGTTCAATTCTCATTTTCTTTTTCTCCTGGTTTGGAAGAGGAGCAGCTTTTCCGTGTATCAGGCTTCACGAAAATCCCGCTTCTTGCTAAGATAAGTTCAATCTCTGTCTCAGCACCTGAAAATTGTAAAAAACGCTTGTGGCTTCCTCTGCGCCACAAACGCCACCTACAATATCATGTAAAGATTAAGACATTCTTTTTCTGCTGGAGTTAAAGCAACCGTTGTCTTTATTCCTTTCACCGACGATTATTACGCTTTTGTTTTTTGTTTACTTTCGTTAACCGATCACATTTGTTTTCCGTGGGAAAATGAAAATTGTGTCGTTATTTTCGTTCCATAAGGTTTTCACTGTACGGTTTATATTTGTGAATTTTTTTAAAGTCTATTTCTTTGTTGTATCGTTCTCGTTCATGATGGCAATATATTTGTTTAGATCTTATATGTGAGGCAGAATGAATTGTTTGTTGATCTCGTTACGTGACAGATTATCATATGTCACGCAGAGTGACAGGAACCTGTGAAAAATTAAAATCCGGCAAATCGCTAGCGTTACCTGCCGTTTTGTACGGGACCCTTTTGTGTGAGACGTCAAAAAAAACAAAATTAGGATCAAAGTAGACTAAAGGTAACTGGGTTGTGACACGCTGTAGAAAATGACAACAACAAGTAACTTTATTTTACTCATCCCGGCTCAGTGGCTTCAACGAGTTAGCCGGTCGGCCCCCTTCACACCAAATTGCAAATGACAGTATTTCGAAAGTATCTTCCAAGCGGAATAACAAGGGCCTATATAGATATATAAAGATTTCTAAGGTAAGGGACTATTGATGTCAAAGCAAAAATAAAAAGCTAAGTGCGGCTGCGACTCAAACAATGCTTTGCTTGTGTCATTGCAATGTTGATTTTGTTCATTTCAATATGGCGCCATTTAAAATTTTAGCGAAGTTTGGTTGGTTGGTTGGTACATCAAAACAGCAGAAGATACCAGAAAAATGAAACGATGAATTTGAAGACCCACCTTATAAGCCCTCGTGATAGTATTGCTGGAGATTTTGAGAAACTACCACATGCATTTTTGCCACACTACATTAGGCCGGGTTTGGCATGAATTAAATATGGCGAACACGTCCACTGGTAATTAACCCGTGGTTTCGTCAGGAAGGACACGATGCAAAAATTATCACTACAACTTGGTAATGGAAGGCCACAAGTATATATTTATAGCTAGAGAAGTTCTGCTGTTGCATTTTAGTTCATGCAAGGACGGCCTGAAAACTGCATAATTTAGAGCTCGCAGGCACTCATTTTCGATCATGCAATTAGTATCGGTTTGTTTCCGTTAAAATGAATATTTACAGAAACTAACCTCACTTCACTTTAAGTAGTACCTATAGCTACCTGTAGACAAAAAATGGGACGAAATGATTTTTTTACCATGTCCGCGATTTGTTATTTTTCTTTGATTTTTAGAGACATTCACTCTTAAAAATTCTTAATTTTCTGAATATTTAATCCAATCACCTTTACCACCGTGAATGACATTGATTTGATAAAGGAAAACATTCGTGTCTGTAAACATTTTAGTATAAGCCCCAGTGGCCTCACTCTTTTAACAAGGTTAGCGCCAATTTTCCTATATGTACATTATCTATATTATCTACATCTGTATATTATCTATATTATCTACATCTGCTCTGAAAGCTGCATTGTGGCTTCCTCGGCATTGTTAAACGTCAATTTTTCAAACCGAACGCCATACAAAAGTTTTGAGACATGTTTAGGAAATTTTCCATTTGTTTCGACCACATTTTCAAATTGAATATATTACCCTTCTGCTATCGCGAATCCTTTTTCTGCCTTCTATTTCCTTGACATATTCCATAAAATTGCCAGAATCGAAGCCCTGAGACCGAAGACGACGCTACATCGTACGCGTGCGCTCATTTGTTCTAAACATTTTGTTTGTACATTTGAATTCGAGATATATCCCCTTCACTGTGATTTTATGAAAGTTCCTTTAAACGCAACACTGATAGTTTTCAGATTCTGATGTCAATTGCGCTCTGTAGAAAGAGCGCTCGAAAAGATAAACATTGCAACATGACATTAAACCTTTTCCTATAATATCAAGCCTTCGATCACATCGAAAGCTTTTATAAATATACGTAATATCTGAATATAAAATTTGATTCAACGTTTCTTGTGAAACACCTATTTGGAAAACCATCGGTGCGCTTCGCACGAATTTTAGCCCAAAATTAAACTTGAATGGGTACGCCACCTAAATAAGCTCCTCGACATCTACCAGTTGCAAAATATAAAATATGCAAAAAACATTTGTGCTGTTATCGGCGGTACGTTTAAAACAGCGTTTACACCTACCTTTTCGTCTATAAAAACTTGCGTTTTTTTCTTATCAGAGAAGAGTATTGTGAACAGAAATTTTTGATGAACACACTGCATTTGCTTTGACAATATCCATTATTGTTTAAAAAGTCGTTTGTTCAGCTTAAAACCCAGCTGAGAAAAAGGTATTTTCTATCTAATCCGTGCAGACCAAATTGGGCTTTTGTTATGAATTGTTAAGCCTCCATTCATGTATTGGCTCGTCAAGAGAGAAAATAAACTTTAATAGAACAATACAACCAAAAAATGCACTTTTTACGCTTCTTTTAAAAAAAAATTCCCCATGCCAAATTGAGATTAGTCAGACCAGATACTTAAACGCGCGCGCTTATGACTGATTCTGCTTCTTTTTGTCAACAAAATGAATATTTTTTATTGTTTATCACCCTTACAGATAAAACAGAGTCTATTGACTTAAATTAAGCTGAGACGAAATTTAGCAAAAAGGCTTAGATATGGATAAAGCCCGTCGGTAAATTTGATCTGTCAGCTTTTCTTGTGTTAACAGTTTCAAGATTTTTCCCATCTTATCTTCAGAAGAGATAATAATACTATAAAAAAAAGATAGAAGTTTCATGCTGTTCTTGTTTGCTTTCCTGGTGTCCCTTAACATTGCATAAACATTATTAAGACAACCACATGCTTAAGATGTGAGAAGAATCTGTCCGTGAGAGGCCTTTTCCACTCAGGCGATTCAAACATTGCTAAAAGGCATAAAGCAATTATTGCTAGTTCTAGTTAACCTTCACAACATTATTTTTCATCACCGAAAAACTGAATTATCCGGTACGACGATGTGGACAGATGGTAACCAAACAGTCATGGTGTCGAGTCTTCTGATTTGTTTGTAATTTCTTAACTTAGGGAAATTATTAACTCAAAATTAGCATATGAATAGGAAATGAAAAGTCTCATAGGGGAAGAACTTTCCTCGCCATTCAAATTATGACCGAAAGGCAAGTTAACATTTCATTTTCATGGTTAAACCCCACTTCTTCGGTTTAATAAAACCTTTTAGAATAGTAATGTTTGCTCTGATAATGAAGAGCAGTTTCATATCATTACTTTCTTCAGCCTCAGATGACCTTGCTGAGAATTTCCTTAGGGAATATCACAGATGTTTTCCCTTATGCATGTTGTAGCGTAGTTTGCATTTTGACAACAAGATAAGTTTTGCCTCCAAATAGAAAGACATGACATAAGATTGTCTTTTAGACCATCAGCTGAATATCGATATAACAGGTAAGACAGTTTACTGTCCAGCGCTTCGATTAATCAACAAAAGTCAATATTCTAAATTCGTAAGCGATTGTTCGGAACATTCAGCATTTATTTTTTTGTCCGAACTCTATTAAGCAGTCAGATTGCTCTTTAAATGGTTCATCTGGGTCACGATTGGGACTGGGTATGATTTCGGATGATCCAGTTTGTCCAAAACTACCGCTGGAATTGTCGGGTTCCAACCTTGCGCTGGAAAAAGCGCAATTCAGCAGATGATGAATTGGCAATTGCTCTTCATGAAATTCTGTCTGACGCACTCTTTTAGGTGCTAAACATCTAAAACATCGAATTTAAAGCTCCGAGGCTGGGGTGAACTAAAGACCGGTAGATGTCATTTACTCAAGGAGGAAGACCATAAAGTGAAATTCAACAGAATAAATCCTTTTTTAAGGACAAGGACGTATTATTTTATTAATTTCTGTATCATTTCCAGTATAATTTAAATAAGTTAAATTTTATTAAGTTAAGTATACAATTGACCCTACGAGTAAAACAAGTAAAAATGATTTAAAATAAATGTGTTTAAAATTGCTTAAAATTTAATTTTTAAAATTATCTCCCACAAATCTCAGCATTAATCTGTAGTAATCCAGTCTATACACGCAATTTGTGCAATCTTTGCTATTTGCGACACATCGATTAGTAAAACGGGGTGTGTGCTGACTGTGCAAGTATAACCTTCTACGTTAATCATAGATTAATCTGCATTGGGTGAAAAAAGAGCAACGAAACACGATCGCCGAAACTAGAGAATCACTTTAAATACCCATCTGATCCAAGCGCCGAAAGAAGGAGAGCCTCTTAGACAATTAATGTAGCTTTTGTTAGCTGAATGTTTGAGTGTATGAAAGTGCAACAAAAATATATCAATGAAAATTCAGCAAGTTAGCCGACCCTTAAGATGAAGATTTCATTCCCAAAGAGCAACGGATGCCTTTTTTTCATTGTTTTTCGTAGTAGCAGTAATGTAGTTTGACGTCCTTCGTAATAAAAGACGCTGGTACCTCTCCATTGTATGAGTTTTTGTTTTCTCGGTCTTCACAGTCCCAGAATAACCACTCTTCTGTGACACGCATGCCCAAAACTGCCTGGCAACGGCTTGAGTGCTTAAGGAGGAAAAACGGCTCGCGAATGGGCAGCTCGATAGGGTTTTCCGCTGACCCATCTGATCGACAGCAGAACTGCAAAATAGTATCCTTTTTGTATTCACCGTCAGGTAAAATGCCTTCGGCCATGTTGTCGTTTTTCGTGTCCTCGTCGTCCCATTTGATCTCTCCTTCTTGAAATCCTGTCGCACACAAGAAAATACTACCTTGAATCTCGTTACTCGGTTGTAAATATTTTCATTGTCTAATCTTAGTATTCATATGCCTTCTTTGGTCCGGGAATCAAATCAAATCTTCATTATAAAAACGTTAGCTGTTAGATCTGTGAAGCTTTTGAGGTCGCCATCATCATATTTGGTATCAGAACCATGCAAGTACTTACAGACCCTTTCCTGGGATGGCCACGGATCAAAATGCACAGTTTTGGTTATCTTGCAGTAGGACCACATAACACAAAAAAAAAGACCAAGGGAAAGAATGAGAACCAGCGGAAAAAAAAAAAAAAAAAAAAAGGTTCAAGGTTCATGAACCACAATGGCGAAAGATAAGTTCATATAAGGTCGCTTTCAAAAACTATACACCTTACCGCCTGGGCACGTTCCCTTTCTGTATATACAATATTGCCCTGATGGCCAAAGTCTTCCCCCAGTTTCAATTGTCTTTACACAGAAATGCTGAGTAATCTGGGTGGGAGTCTTATCTCCTTTCAAGTGAAGTGGACTGGACCAACTACTTCGTGGACCTGTTTCCTCTGTGTCTTGCCGATGATAACCCGCTGACCAAGTGAACTCACTTGTAATTGGGCAGCCACTATTTGGCATCGGCAAAGCATAAGTTCCTCTGGGCCACGACACTAGAGATGATAATCAATGAAAACCTAAGTTTCGGAACATCAAATACACGTTCGTTTTTGAAAGGCACAACCTTGGAATTTGGTCAAAGTTGAAGGGTTTTGGCAATTTCGGTGTTACTGCCATTAAATGGAAATTCTCTATTCTCAGTTCTCCATTGATTTTGATTTATTGGTTCTTTTTCTTTTTAATTACCATTTCTTTGCACAGATTATGTTCCAGTGAATTTCTATTAAGAGAGCAGCGTTGGAAATAAACCAGTGAAATGGTTTGACGAGAAATAAATTGACGCACAGCGATTGTCAAGTGGCATTTTGAGAGATTTAGAAATATAGATGTCAACAATTTTCATCGTAATACACAAATATGCGAATGCATATCAGGGCTTCAAACGCAATAATACTGCAATCAAGACCTTTTCCTATTAAATGTGAACATATCAGGGATTAAATCAAATTTGGTCTGACACGTCTGTCATCCCCTCTACCCTTTCCTAACGCCAGATGCAAACCAAATGTAAACGTAGCTTGGCCTCAATTCCCTTTTTCATACCCTTCTACAAGATGCATATGTTTTCTCTTTACTAGGAATTCTAATTGGCTCATGTTGATGTTCTCTTTGTTCTGACTGGGCTTTGTTTTAAGCGATTCGATTGCAAGGCTCTCTTTGAAGGTTCAGAGGAAGGCACGAATGCCATTGTTTTAAGGCTTACTCACCAGTTTTAAATAAATTCAAGTGAATAAAAGTTTCTTTGACGATCGCCTTTCCAAAGTCGGCCGTAGATGCGACACACGAATAGTTACCGATATCTTCCTTCGAGACATTAGTTATATGTAACGAAAAATTCCCTCGTCTCTTTGGGAGGAATTGGGCAATGGCTATCTTGTTTGAGCTTTCTTCGATTTCCTGGCCTTCGAACTTCCATGTAACCATGGTATCGAGCGCTTTCACCCTCCGACCAATACACGTCAAAGTAACATTGGAACCCTCGTTGGTCACTACGTAGGAGCGAAGTGCCTTAACGACTGGCAGGATTACAGAGACAGCTGTATGGAGAAAAGGCCAGAGTCTCAGATAACTATACTAGAAGCAGTAAGTGCCCAAGAATACAAAAATTTGCTATTGAAACTCACCTTCATCCTGAAGTGACAGCTCTATATTCTCCTTTACCTCAAGCATCCTGTCAAGATGTATTTTGGAGACTTTGCAGGTGTATGTACCAACATCTGTGTCCGAAACATTCTTGATGGTTAAAGTAAAGTTTCCTTTTCTTTTATTTGTCTGATAGTGTGGCTCTGGTATTATTATTTTGTTGTTTCTTTTCTTTATTTCTTGTCCGTTGAATTCCCAAGAGCTTGAGGTTGTAAGTTTTCTAACCCTCGTGGCAGAGCACATCAAGGTTACTGTGGAACCTTTTCTTGCAACAACAGCCTTATCGACCACCGAGATCTTGGGCTTCAGAGCAGTAACACCTGATTTAAGAAAAATGTAAGGGAAAGAATGCGAAACTTATAGTTTCATTGACACAAGAGCGGCTCGCTGTGCTTTGTGAGATAGACTTGGTAAGGGTGCAAAGATTCAAAAAAAGGCGGAACATAAATTTGTTGAACTTATGCATTCCTTTCCCAACCTCAAAGAAAGTTTATGGTAAAATACTGCTACTGTGGTACAAATTAATCATTTTGAAGAAGGACATTTCAGTTGCAATATGGACAATCGATATAGAGATGCATCACTGAAAATACGTCTAACACTGCCGTCAATAAATTTCAGTCCTCTTAGAAAACAAATACACTGGTAAGGTTATGTTCATTAAAGATTGATCGGAGAATGGAATGAAATGTAGGTGAGCTCGAAACCCCATAGTTTGCGTGTTATTGAAAGGCACAGTAACGTATTTATTTGGTAAGAAGAGGATCGCTATCTTTCTGCATTCAAAAATCTGCCTCCCGTTTCTGTTAACAGGAATACTACGGGAGGTATGCATAAATATGATCTAATTATCAGGTCAAAGGAGCTCTCTGGCCTATTGTCTCAGAAAACAGGAGCAAATCCAGGTTTCCGCTGCGGCATTAAGGGGCCAGGGCCCAGTTGTCCGAAGACCGATCAGCGCTTTCCCTGGGTTAAATTTTAATCCGGGTTTCTTTATTCCTTTGTTCAAAAGCCCCTTTTGGACAATTTTCTCTATCCTTTTTGGGGTATCCAATCATCAAGTTATAGATAAAAGGAATGATAGTGAGTTTCTTATTAAGGCTTTCAAATCTGAAATCATATTTCACACTAACCCTGGGTTGATCTAAACCCAGCATTGAGCAACCTGACCCAGGCTTCTACTAGAAGGGACACCAGTCCATTAAAGGTGTCTCCCTCAGCCCCTTTTGAGCTGAGTTTCTCTGACAGATTTTCATTACCCATCGAAGTACTCCTGAGCGGGGAGAGATACTAACACTGACTAACTGTTTCATATCAAACTCTTTCCCCAGCGCGACGAACATTTGTTTTTCTCGGTTCCAGGTGTACGCGACCACTAAGCCTACGTAATGCGCATGCTCTCCGATGCGAATTTTCAATATGGCGGATAGGTCAAAGAGGGAGGGGCTGTCCTGGTGTACCGGTACACGAGGGAATTCCTTTTGTTTTCATAACCATACATGGAGTTATGACGCAGTTCGTTAATGTTTCCTTCCTTTGTGTACCGGTACACGAGGACACAACCAAGAGGGAAATAAAAAAAGCAAAGCGATTTTGCAATAAATACTTAACATACACCCCCGTTAGTAAGGCGAATCCACGATAGACAGATACAAAACTGTAGGATATTGAGATCAGGGAGGTTGACAAAATCAACAAGAGAGGTTGAAAATTCATTACGTTGGCTATAGCACATGCTTCGATGAATGGACACCCTTCAGGGCCGATAGAGGATCTGGATATTTTCCGTTTGTTCACAGCGAAAAGCTGTTCATTCCCTCGGAAAACTCTCTAGAGGATAGAAAAGAATCGTCCCATAGCCAACTTGCTCGTGAAATAAAGAAAAAGCTTTGGTCTGGACGGCGAGAGGACCCTGATATAAACATAGACCTTAATGTTGACCAAGATATTTTCATGGAAGGTCTTGGGAGTGTTTTGCCCGGCGTTCTTCAAAGAGGGAAGATGGTTTACCAATTGGAGTCAAATAGGGTGCTTGATTCATATCTGGGGCTGAAGTGGGATGAAAGAATTTTAAATGTAGCTGAAGATTTTGCCTATGTTATTCCAGGAACTATTAAGTATTGGCTGGGACTAAGAAGTCCAATCACTGAATACAAGCTCATCGTTGTAGGTGTTCTTAACCCTTTCATAACCGGCTGCCTCCAGGAACTAAATCCTGTTTTTCTTCAGAAACAGTTGTTTGAGGGCATCAACCCCTTTGTGATTTGTGGATCTGAAGAAATCTTTAGAAGCTCTACTATTGTATTTTTCCAAGCCTTGCTGTGTGTAATATGCTATGTTCTGATAAAGTGACAGGAACTCTGGAACATGATAACATAGTGCATGCATGTAGGGAGTGACATCTTTTGCTTGGTAAACTTTGAGAAAGTGCTCAAACCATGATTTGATATTTCTTTGCAGTTCAAGAATACCCTCTTCAGATGTAAAATCTAGCTTCAAATCACCAATTATGTCCATAAATTTAGCCCAGATCACTTGTATGTCTTTGTTTTGACTGTAATGAGGGACAAGCATAGGTCGGAATGTTTATATTCTGAAAGAGTTTCAACTTTTCTGGTTCAGTAAGATCTCTATATTCCAGCTTTTTGCTCTCTTTGTTGATTCTAAAATTAAAAGTGATTCCCATACTTTTGATAAATTCTTCATAACATGCCATGTGTTTGTATTTATCCCTTGGGAATCCATCAGAGGTTTTTTTTCTCTCAATAGCATCACTTCTTCTCAGCTCTCTTATGAACAAGTCAATCAAAACATCTGAAATCCTCAGAAAAAAAATGTAATGTATCTATGATGACATGGTCCATAGGTATAAAATCAAATAATGGTTGTGCCTTACAGTTTAATTTCTTTCCAGTGGAAAACCTTGCTATTTCAGTGACAGTTCTAGCACCAAATTTGGGGTCATTAATTGACCATGTTTTGCTTGTGTCCCACTGTTGCTCCCTGGGACACTTGCACCCCACACAAGCATAATCCTCATTTGCCCTGCCTAAACCACATACCAGTGCTAAAAATTTCAAATCTCCACCTAAAAAGTATTCAATTTTATAGGTGCAATTATTTGCACTTATCTCCTTTAAGTTTGACATTTCCATTCGAAGGTCTGCTAGGCTGTCTCTCAGATTATCATATGTCTCTGTAGTTTTTATAACAGCAAGTTTATAATTTCCCTTCACACCCATTGCCACATCATTTTCATGGAGAATAGTAAAAGTGAAGTTGACAACTGTAAGCCCCTTCCCAATATTTGTGCCATCACCACTAAGCTTGATCTTAATAGTTTCTCCATCATTGATTTCTCCATTCTTCTGAAACCTAACAATGTGCTCTTGCAAGCTTTCTGCAAATCCTAACTGAACACCTTCAGCATCTCCTGGTGTTGGTTTCAAGTTCCATTCACTGTTTGGCTCATTAATTTGCTTCTTGATGGAATATATATTGAGGAGATCATTAGCCTTAATGGCAATTTCATGCCAGGCCTCATTTGAAATAATTGAATTTATCTTTGAGGTAGGGCCACATATTTATGTTATCAATGTCATCATTATTAAGGGCCTTTGGGTCAGACTCTGTAAATGGCAGCTCTCCCTCTCCAACAAGATTGAAAGTTTCATATTGATTAGTCTCAGTGTTGAGGACTTCAATTTTAGTTGCAACAAAATTGTACAGCCCAAGAAAGGAGAGTGTAGTTTAGCACTCCTCCTTCTGTTGGTTTTTAATTCTCTTTTGATGGTTCTTAGAATAGTCATTAAACTTCTTCTCAGCTGGGCCTCTACCTTTTTTCCCATTTGTTATCACTTTTTTGGCCAACTGAATAAATTTTTTATCGTAGAAGGCCCCTTTCTTCTCAACTTTCTCGATAGCTTCTCGGGCTTTTTTATCCACTCGCAATCGCTTTGCCTTCTCCTGTACCAACGATTCTTCTAATTTAATTTTTTCTCCCCTCAACTGGCTGTTCTCATCTTTAAGCTGATGTACATTAACCTCGTTTTAATACACCTTAAATCGATACCGAGGGCCCGTTTCCAAATTGCTAAGAAGTGCATTTAATTGTCACGATTACTAGCTTTCTTGACAGCTTTCTGAAAACAGACTATTTTCTTTCTGAAGACTTCTGATATATGGCTATTGATTATTATACCTCGTATACCTGATTGTTCAAACACTTTGTTTACAGTTATTGAAAGGACCGACTCATGGTTTTCTCTGAAAACTTCTTTGCTTTGAAATAGTATAGATTAGTAAGCTGAAACGAAAAATTAATCAGGGAAGTTTACGAAAAATCCAGCGAACAAGCTTAAAAAAGGCATTTATTTAGACTTCATACTGCGATGAACTTCACAAATCTTACTTGTTTATCTCGTAAGTTAACAATGGCAGATTAATTCCCAAAGTGCTTTCTGAGTTTCCCGACCCTCTCCTACTGCTTTGACGCTCACAAAACAGGAAAAAATCAAAAGGAGGAAGATGCAGCTGTTTTGAAACGCCATTTGACGAGGGTAAATCTGCTTTTTGTTCGACACTTTACATATCAAAACAAAGGAAATTTGTTCCTCTTTGATTCTGGCGGTACATTTTAAAATTGCGCTTGCGTAAAAGGGATATCGCCCAAGACGCTTCGCTCGGTTGTGTTTTGAACAAAAACGCCTTGTTAATTTCACGTAACCGCTCGGAGAAAAGGTTAAAATGACGAGGGAAAAACTTTACCTTCAAGTTAGAAAATTAGCGAAATAGGAAGCCAAAATATTATAGTTTACTATTTCAGAGGTACATTGAGTGCTTTTTCCGTAGAGAATCCGCAAGATGGTAAAATGTTCGAAAATTACACTCGATTTGAGTGGGGCGTTGAAGTGGGCGTGGTCACTATATTCATGTGAAGACTATTTGTACCCCATGAGTTTGATATGATGCATGAGCACAACACAATAACCGCGGCTAGGACTCGACCCCATACGTTTCGATGTTTTCTTTTGGGCTAACATCTATTCTTTATTTAAATCGTTTATTGTTTCGGAATTTACATCTAAATGTGGATTAACTTTGCTAGGAAGTTTTTTTATTGTGTGCAAGAGGGCTGAAAACACCAAATTGACTGAAACTTTACAGATAAAGTGCTATAGTGCCTAGATCAGGTTTTTCGTAAATAATGCTGTGGTTGTTCATCATGGCGAGGTAAAATTGTTCCACAACCGCTCAAATGAGCCCTCGAGGAACTTAATGGCTAATTTCGGAGCCCTCCAGTCTGGTGGCTCACTAAAGAGGGTGGCTGAGGAAAGGGCTAATCAGAGCCAGTTCAGAGTCACAACGAGAATCACAAAACACCTTATAAGGTATGCATTTCTTTGATGAAAAAAGCCTAAATGTATGTAATCATTTACGTAGCATAATGATAGTCATATGATGGATTCTCTTTCTTTTTCTATCAAGAAAAAAGGAGGGAGGGGCTTATTTTAAAAGTATGGCTTAACAGAGTTTATAAAAATAACGCACTTAACGTCTTTCTCAAGATAACGAACTAATTACCCTTAAAAGACTACCTGTGAGCAGTCGACATGTCGCTATCTTCATCGGGAGCGGAAAAAGGGAAAAAAAGCCTAATCGCGAGTCCGGGAAACCTCTCAGATGATTTATTTAAAGGAAAAATCAATTGGAGCTATTCAGAGCACAATGTACTACACAGAGCCAATTTTAAACGGTCACCTCGTTTCGTGTGACAAGCCCAGCATGCTCAAGCATGAAATGAGGAGCACATGTGCAAACTAATTTAGCTTACGTGCACGTTTGTTCGGGTAATTTGACTCCTTTTCAAAACAAAGATCGTTTAAACTCACCTGAAATTAAGTAAAAATGTCCTAAAATACAGGCGACAAACACAGCTCCTCGGAAAGTCATTTTGACGACAATGTTAATGTGGCATTCCCCAAAACAAGTAGAGTAAATTAAGAGAAAGTTAATCTCAATTCTTTTTTATGCGCAATTTGCGAAAGCGAAAATAGTCATAGTAATAGTAATGTTTTGCTGCAAGAAAATATATTTTGCATCAATTTTTGAAATAAAATACCAAGACTTCTCTTGTGTGACTACAAAATTTCCCAATTATTTTATTTCCATCTTGAAAGATTTATTTTGAAGATATTCTGGAAACTAGCGCAAGCTAAATATCTAATTTAATTATCTGACACTTCCTGACACGTTCTGAAACGATTTTTTTCTCTAACAATGATACCTGCTTATAGCACAAGCTCGCAACCCCATCGTGTTTCACTTTTGTCTACGCTGATATGCTATGAACGTCCGCGATTCGAATTCCTATTTGTTTAGTGAAAAATCAAGGTAAATATACCAAATGAGTAGATTAACAACTGACAGATTGCCAACACACTAATATTTGTGGGTAGCCTTTGAGAAGAAATTCCTTTTTTTCCCCGATTTTTTTTTGAAAAAAGAAAGGCGATCAGACCTTTCATAAAGGGATACACTTCTCACATCGCAAAATGTCAACTACGAAAATACGCATGCAAGGTTACCAATTTATTACATAGGAGTAAATATTCTGTAGTCAAAAGGCTTGGCAACAAAATTGAAGAGAAGATAAAGATGTTCCCTTTCTACATGAGGTTCATATCTCCAAGGCGAACACGTGCAATTGCGTAGAACTTCTTTGTTTCCAAGATAGTCATTCATCAAATTGTCAAAAAATCTAAAAACTCTTAACGCCTAATTCAAATTGTATTTTAAGAGCTTGAAATTAAATGTTCGTCGAAACTAAAACAATGTCATTCAACTTTTCCAATTACTTTGGCTTTCGCGTGAGTTTGCGCGACTCAAGGTCATGACTGAAAAAATTCATTCCCATGTCTTATAGTACTCCTATTTTTCGGATAAACGACTCTTGACCGCGTACAAGAAGATCCCTTCTTCTCGATCAGGTTCAACAGTCGTCATGGACGATAGATCAATAAATTTACTCATAGAACTTTCTTCGATCGGAGGCCTTCCTCACTTATATATAGTAAGCTATTTTAAAAGCGGAATCAAAGACTTGTCGTGGAAAAAGAAAGCTCATTCTTGTTCTTTTGTCTCGTTTCCTCCAGTGTTGTCTTCCTGGATGAAATGCATCCGCATGATATCCTCTCCTTGAGTATACATCCATACCTGCGTAATCACGGTTCGAAACGTGTACAAAGCAAAGGGATATATATCGTTCTCCCAACAACTAGTTTCCGTGAGACATTCTTATCATATTTGAGAAGATCGAAGATACCGAAAGGTCCTAAGTGTCTCAGATCGATTTCAGCTACGAATCGAAAGTTCTTCAAGCAAACTAGTTTCTCATCTACGTCAGTTAACTGACGCAAAGAGATCGGCGCTTCGTGCTTTGATATACCTAAATAAATAAATAAACCCGATAACTTACAAATCCAAAAAGAAGTATGCGGCACGCATTCGAAACGTGCTGATCCACGCTGGAGGTCGCTACCTCGTGAGGCAAACGATTAATTAAACTTAACTTTCAAGTGTTTTTACGATGACTATCCCAACCGTTCTCGGGCTCGCTAAGACTCAGGATGGCTATGGCTCAGAGGGCTGGGTTGTTCAAAGCTGGGTTTAGATAACCCAGGGTTAGTGTGAAATCGGATTTCAGCTCTGGAAGCCTTAAAGGAAAATTCAGTAGAATTCTTTTTCTCAACAATTTGATGATTAGATGCTCCATATAGAGTAGAGGAAAATGATCCCAAAAAGGCTATCGAACAAAGAAGTATAGAAACCCAGATTAAAATTTAACCCTGGGTTAGCGCTAATCGGCTTTCGAAAAACTGGGCCCAGGATGATAAAATCCCCCCCGCGAAGTCAACCGCGCCTTAAGAAAAACATTTCAAAATGGCGGCAAAGATAGCGGACATTGCGGCACATCGAAGTTTCGGAAACTCTGTCGTTCTCTTGTATTCTGAGGCTTGTTCGTGTTAGAAGGCTGGAATCACTTGGGAAGAATATGGAGGTAAGAAATTTTTTATCACTGCTTCCTTTTTAACGTTGTTTAAAGGTGTTGCTTGTATCTGTTGTGCGTCCTTCGGTTGAATTTAGTGTGAGTTCGATCAGACCAGATCATTCTAGGCTTTATGCGTTTGTTGACCGACAGGAAAGCTATGAATTACTTTCATCGCCGAACAGGTGTTAATTTAGTTCCACGCTTTTTTAATTCAACATGTTTCGGGCGAAGCGTGTGAAATTAAAATCGTTTCATGTTGTTAGAGAATCTTTCTTTTGATCAGCGTAACCTGTGTTAAGGTCCAACTTACAAACGTTGAGAGAAAGGGAAATTGGTAAGAGCATTTGTTAGCTTAAGTTAAAATCATGTTTCGCAGAGAAATTTATGATTTTGTTCTGAAAAAAGAATTCAGGTGAACCGTTGCCCTTTTAGTTAACCATGTCAACTAATAACTAGACAAAAAATTATTGCAAAGTTCTTTTATGTATTAGTGAGACTCATCTTTTAGTGGGCAGCATTACAGGCTTAGTTCACAAGACAAGGTATAAAAGCTCTGTAGTCTTACTTGTATGTATACATTATAATATAATTTTCTGTTTAGCAATTAATTGTTACTTACACATACAACAATGATTTCCAGTGAGAAAATGGCTAGTATACATTTTAAATTAATTAAATTGTTCATCATTAAATATAGCGAAGTATAATTGCGTCACTATTTAATTTCCCACATTAGAACAAAATGCTACAACAAAATGACACAGGAAATGATAAGCTTTAAGGTTCTTGAGTTTAAATATGATCATGGTTTTCTCTCTCCTTGCACCACTCAAAAAGAATACAGCAATTCTTAACTTTTCCTCAAGGATGTCACTAAAGAGGGCCTTATTTGTACAATACAGTACTTAGTTTGAAAATCACTTGAGTAGAAGATTTAATTTTCTCAACATTATTCATCATGCACTTTGCAAATGTTACATTTTGAGCTCCTTTTGTTCAATGAATCCTTTAGAAGCATAAATAAATTGATGACTTAAAAATTGCTGCACAAAATTAAACATTGTAACATGATTAATCATGTTGTTGCTGTTCTTTTTTTAGATTTCTACCAGGCTACATTGCCTTCAGTTATGTTCCTGATCTACATACATATAGGATACTCATATATTTATCAGTTGGACTGTTATAGTAAAGTTCCTCAAAATGGTATGTATTAAATTATCTTTTTGGTGCTTTTTCATGCTTACAGTACATGTGGAACCCACCGAAGATAGCTTTTCTGTGGACTTAATGTTTATGGCAGGCGTAAATATTAATTATTTTCAGGGCTTTGAAAAATATTATGCAAATCACAAAATATCAGCACTTATTATAAGTTAAAACATTGAATAAGGTGTATTTATTTAGGAAGGTGAATGGTAATCTTCCATATTTGATGTTGATGACATCTTTGGGTAAAACCGCATTTCCCAGCTTTGGTGGGGCTTTGCTCGTGTTGCTGATTTCCTTTTCTTGCCTGATGATGCAGGTTACAGCTGTGTTTCCTCCTGAAGTCTTCTCTGCTTACATGTGCAGAACTGCATTGCTCACTAAGCTTTCAACTCAGTTGTTCCAGGTCTTCCATGTGATGGAAGTATATGCCAAAGAGCTTTCTTCTTGTTACGCTCTAGTTGGGGTCATCACTTTGTGGCACAAAATTGCATGCCTCCAACACAGGTTATGCAACCTTAATATCAACTTTGGTGATCTCTTTCTGTCCTGAGCATAAAAAATTTCCACCATTTCGCACTGGGTGGCCAGCAAAGCTCTCACATCATGGGTTGTTGTCTGGTAAAGGGCTATAGTTAATTAGATTAGTGTCTTGTGATAATCTGCCCCTCACTTTTTCTCTTTGTTAAGTTGAACAGCTAGTATTTCTTTAAGTTTTATCAGTGTATCAATGTCAGAAATGTGATGTGGGATTTCTTCCAGAATGTTTTTTATATGATTCATGGTGCAGTGAAGAGCTTTAAAACACAGTACCTCATAGGACTGGAGGTTGAGACTTTCCACAGTAACACTAGCTCTCATCCCCAAACAATGGTGCTGGAATCCTTGTTGCCCCTCCAAGTTCTTCTTTTAAAATTTGTGCAAGTTCTGGTTTGGTTTTGTCTGAATCTCCAAGACCTCTTGCTTCAATTTCAGCTCATGGCTCGTTGACCTTCAGATCTTTAAATGGGTTCAAGAGTTGTTTTGCCTCATTTCCTTTCCTTCTTGCTAACACCAATTGTTGCCATTCGGTCAATGTTCTGTACTTTCTTTGGGCCATGTAATCTAGATTGTGGCACATGCTTAAATGCCCATCACAACTTGGGCAACCATAATGCCCTCTGTGCTGATTTCCACATTCAAAGTTTGCAGCAGGGTTGTCTCCATTCATGAATCTCATCTCATCTTCTTATTCAACATCCTCCTCTGTTTTCACTTTTTGGGTTAAATTTACTTAATCATCATGTCTGGCTGGAACAAATTTTATCTGATCTTCAATGCTGGAACTGCTCTGCACCAACATATATAGATAGGGCCTCTCCACTGTTGCCTGGACATCCACATCTTTTCCATATTGAACTCTAGCTTCTGCATCAGAGAGATGAATTGCTCGGTCATACATCTCTCTGACACAAAAGAGCATGTGACCATAATTTGAAAGGGTTGAATGGTCATGCCAAATCAGCCAATGCCTCTTCTGCTGAAGGCTTTTTAGCCTTTGTTTGATTTCATCATGTGTTCCCCTTATTCCCTCACTGATTTTCTTTAGCTCTGCATGAATCTCACTTTCACTGAGCTCTTCATAAAATGCATCGTTTTTTATTTGAAGGAGGTCTTTGTTTTTAATCAATGCTTCTTTTCTAATGTCTTGGAAGGGAATTTTTCTTTTTTTGCTAGCAAGTGGCATTACCTCTGCTCTATCTCTCCCTGTGCATTTATCACCAATTTGGTGATCTCTCTTTCTATCACTGGCTCTCCTATGTTAAATTTGCCACTCTCTATTCCCTCATGGATGCTTTGCTTGAGTTGTTTATTTGATTGCATCACAGGCATGGAAATTTCTCCCCCCTTTTGCTTCCTCATAGCTCTGCATACCCTGAATCCTGGAAAATTAATCAAACCTTTTGTTACAGGAGGCTAGGGAAATCATAAAAACCCATGAAAGTATTATAGGGTCACATATTCATCGTTAACTTGACTTAGACTGTTGTATGCATTCTTATTACTTCAGGCCTACTTCTTCTAATGTTTTTCTAATTTGTAGTCTAATTAAACTGATGAAAATGATAAGTAGCAGTATTGCTAGTAATTCTAAATTCTAAATTCTAAATTTTAACTCTTAAATCTCACTGTTCTTTAATTAATAAATCAAATGTTGTTCAATCCTAATACACAATTTCTTTTGCTTATGATATTGCAGAGATGTAACTCTCCACTGTTGGCTTAGTTACAAATTTACTACTTTTTTTACCTGTAAGGCCATCCTCTGAATTGAGATGCACTTCTGATGGGGGCTTAAATCGGGCAATATCGACTTTTTTTTACTTTAAATAGGCTTTGACTAATTGCCCTATTGCCTATTACTAATTGCCTCCATTGCCAGGTGTTCAGTCACTTCCCTTGGTTTTGATGTTGTACATTGATGTTGTAGTAGCTGGTCCAACTTTCCTTCTATATTATCAGGTGAAGCTGTGTGGGATCATTCCCTGACCTTTGGTGGGGTCGTTTTTGCTCTCTCCTTGGCCTCTTCAAAGGTTTCATAGGACAGGGCCATTCTTTGGACTTGTCTTGAACTGTAAGACTGACGAAGACTAAGGTGAACAGCACCGTCATTTTGTGACATTTTGGACTCTAGTTCTTTTTTTGATTGCCTTTGCTCATTTCTCCTTATTTTTTTCTCTTCGGCAGGTGAAGAATTCTTTTGAAGACCAGCTTCAGGGACAAGCACTAGAATGTCACTAAGTGATTTTTGAAAGTTTTCCTGGCATTTTTCATTGTAAGTGGCATATGTTGCTTCTCCAATGCTTTTTAATTTCCTTTTTGTGACCTTAGGTTCTCTCTGACATTGTCTCTTGACATTTGTGTTAAGTTCAGTCAGAGGTCCCTTCCTAGCCCCTCTGCAAAACTTACTTAAAAGGAAGGTAGATTGTAATTGAGAGTTGAATAAAAGACAGGCCTGGCAGCTGGTCAACGAGTAATCTTTTTTCCCTTTTTTACTTATTACTTTGCCCTCATTCCAATTCTTTGAGGAAAATGCTGTTAGGTATGCTTCTTTTTCGGTTTGCTTCTCCAGTTGTGAAATTTATCATCAATGGTTCTCTAATGCCGGATGAAGTCTTCCCATTTTATGTGTAGCCCAGGGTATTCTTGAAAATGTTCATTAAAGATTTTAAATCTATCTTGCAGCAATCTAGCAGTAAACTTTGCATTTCCTTCACCGGGAATCCCTTCAGTTTTGCTTAAACTTTTAGTTTCTCTAAGAAACACTCTTGCCCAAGCACAGTCAATCTTTAAAGGCATCTTTGTTGCCTTGGCAGAGGATATGGCATTTGATATTGTGTTCTAATTAAACACAAGTTGGAACTCTCCACGCTGCTACTTGAACTAGCTAACTGCTCGAAATTTAAGACAAATTGCGCGCCAAAAACTGAGGAGCTCATGTAACATGTAATACGAGCCGCGTTTACAGACCTCTTTATTCATTCATGAACTAATACAAAGTCTACAAAGGTTTGAATGGACCATTGCCATTCTTCATCGATTTTTTATCAAAGAATTATGGAAATATAAAGAAAACACTACCTTGAAATGTATTTTGTAGCCTAAAAGAACACTGTAAATGGCTGTTAGGCACCCTAACGTTAAAAACGACCCGATTTAATCTTAATTCGAGAGCTCGAAGAATCCTCTCCTTCGACCGCCATCTGGAAGTCTGCTTTTCAATCCATAGTTCATGCAACTATATCCCCCAGAAAAAGGGCATAAATACAATTAAGAGCTAAATGTCAGAAAGCATTAGACAAACAGCGGCAAGTCTCCCAAAATTTACTTTCACACCTACTTTCATAGTTTGTAGCCCATCGTGTTCTAATAATTGTGGTGTAGTTTTTTTTTGTGAAAATTTATTTTAGTTTTCGAGAAATGATTTTTTTCGTTCGACCGCTCAAATATGCAAATTTTTTAATATTACCCGAGTTGTGTGACCTCATGTGACGAATATACTTGACCTCCGGTATTTCTGTCAACATAATCCGTTGTTTTATCATCAAAACTTAATCCCCTGTCATTATTGAAGCTGGCAAAGAAATATTTATTTTTTGGTGAATATTTTTGTCCGACATACTTTTTCTATCTCGAAAAGTAGCATCAAAACAAAGAGTTTTAACAATGACCGATATGACAGAATCTGCCAAGCTTCGAGCTTTTAAAAGACAAAGGGATGGTTAAAAAGTTACTGTAAAAATTTCCATGTGTATTTGTGTTGTTCTATCTTGAGACGAACTCAAAGTCCGGCAAAATTTACTTGCTAGCGAATATGAAATATACCGTCATGGTGTGCCTACTTGTCGCCACCGTTTACTGGTATAAATCACTACAATTTGAAAAAAAAAATCTAACGTAACACTCTTACCTTGTTTATTTATGATTTTATGAACTGTTTTGATGATCAGGTCATGCTCTACCACATTCTAGCCAGATTTGAGATCAAGTTTATATATCCTCTCCATCTTTTTATATGAGTTGCATGACAAGCGTGACACATATAAATTCAAAGATGCATAAATCTCCGAAATACCAAGAGATGGCTTTTGTTCCTCTTTACATGATACCTAGAAAAACCTTTCAGAAACTACTACATTTAGAAAACTAAATCAATGATTCCTTTGCCGGCCGAAGTCAAAGAAGGGTTACAAAAGTCAATTTGATTGACAAGCTACAAACTGATTTAGGTAATTCTCTGTTGTGTAAGCGTCTCATCTTACATGCTAACATGGAGATTTACTCTTCATTTAAATCGTTCGCTGGTGGAACATGTGGGTTTAGTTATCGAGAAGACCGAAGTTGCATATCTCAAGTCGTTCCCTTGCATAGTTGTAAACAAGACATTTCAAGTCACTTGCGGAGCTGCAAGTTTTCAGATCCAGAAAATGAAGTTGATCTTATTTTGTCGCTTGCCGGAATCTTCGAGACGCTAACAGACACCGATGATTTTACAATTTGCCCCACACATAGATGTTGGGTAGAGTTGTGGTTCCAATAGTAGATGTAGAGTGTCTAAAGAGGTGTCCGTCCATTGCAAAAGTAAGGTTAAGTCGATTCCAAAAGCCGATAAGGGAATTGACAAGCGTTTATCACAGGTAGTAATCAAGATGTCTGGAAAGTTCATACAGCCTGGCTCCGGTAAGTAGGCTACTTAACACTGTGAGCAAAATTACGCGTCCCGTCAGACTTAAGTCTCGATTGAGAACTGGTCAATAGGCTACCAAAAATCAAGACTGAGGCGGAGTTTTCTATACTAATGTCTGAACACTTTGTTGGCTTCCCGCCGTCTGGCGGGACGCGTAATTATGCACACGGTGGTAAAAGGCCCATCCGCACAAGCCACTAGACGCTGACAAAACTTGTTTTCTCTTCACCCAAAATCACATCAAAATTTGTCCATGCTAAATTTCAAGTGTGCTGCACGTATCATCACCCCCGGGGGACACATTTACATAAGAGGGCGGGGGTACGCGCCGGCAATTTCGGATACGACCCCTATAAATTATAAAAGGAACCTGAGTCTTATCAGTGTGGGAGTGGCAACAATTGATATCTACCCCTAAAAAGTACCAACTCAAAAGAAAAATTGACCTGCAAGGTCTCGGAGTTGAACCGTCCAAGTTTGGTTTGCACCCTCAAAGATCTGGAGGAGCCACTCTGGTAGCAACTAGATTTCATTTTACACTATAAACAACAAGAAAGACCACTTGCTTTCGAGTACTGCCGTAGTTTCATTGAAAGGTGCTTCTATAAAGTTTGTTTTCTAAGGGTTTTACTTTTTAATTTTCTAATCTGGATATTTAGATGACAGTATTGTTTATGACGAAAAGTTGTACGGGGAGATACTATTTCTGAGCTTTGCAAACACTTGCAAAGCTGCAGTCATCATTTAAGCTGCAGTCATCATTTAAGCTGCAGTCATCATTTAAGCTGCAGTCATCATTTAAGCTACAGTCATCTTATTTTGTGATTCTATCGGGTGAATGCGGCCTCTTTCGTTTTGTTATTCATATCCGAGCTCACCTGAATAAAGAACAACTGGCGGAGAATAACTTTTAACCCGTCCGTAAAGCAAAATTTACGCATGACTTTCACTTTCAAAAGCTCCTTGTTTGATATTTATTAGCTTCTTTCCGACCATTGTAACTGTCAGCCAATATTGCTACCACTGATCTTAGTTTTCAAATATCAGATGTGCAAACAGAAAGATCGAGTTTAGATCTTAACATAAGGACGCTGCCAATTGCGGAAAAAGTAACAACGCAACACTGCTTAGATTTGCCTCGTGACAGCCAAGTTTCAGATAGGAAACAAATTATTTTCTGCCAAATCCACCGGGATCAATCCTGCACGTGGCTTACCGCTGTTTCCCTCTCTAGACTCACAGTATCAACACATGCATTTTGCTCTTAGTTGAAGTACCCTTACCTGAAGCCGGTAGCAGTGCTCCAAGCAGTAGAGGTGCAAAGAGAAAGCTCATGTTTTACTTGCCAAGCTATCTACTCGAGAGCTTGCCTAAAGAATCGCTTCGACTGCTTCCTGCACGGGATTGAAATAATTTTTACTTTCGAAAGGTTCATGATGTAATGTTTCTGCTAAAAAAAAGTGTCGTAAAAGTGGGGTGGGGTTCATTGCAATAAATAAAGTGGGAATGCGGAAGTTGTAGATTAACTCACGAGAACATTGTAATAGAAAGCGAGTTACATTTGTCTGGAATTTTTAAGCAGAGTTCTTAGAGACAATAGGACATCCATCCTTAAGTAATTTTATTGCTACTGCGACACTCACGGGGTTTTATCAGGTAGCCTGTTGCAAACACGGTGATATCATAACGTATCAGCTCCCTAGCAACAGGTTATTAAATAGTAGAACAGAGACATAGGAAGTATATTAACTCAGACGCGGAATTTATACACCACGCATGATGGTTTATAAACAAAGCTTTGAATAAGGATACTATGGTGGGAGAGAGAGCGATACAAACGATTGTCATTATCGTGCTGTAGTTCCGGCAGATGCCTACTGTTTGGAAGACGCTTGGCAATCATACCTAAGGATTATATGTCGTTTATAGCGCTTACGTGTGCAATATGATTCAATAATTCAGTATTATCCAGGAAAAAAGGCAGTTAAGGAACTTTTGTTTTCTTGCATAATAACACTAAGTATGTGATGTTAGACACCTAAGACGTAAAAAAGGAACAAAAAAAGAAAACATTAAATGAAACCATGATATTTCTTTTGCGCGGTTGATTCTGTTGCATCAAGATTATTTGGAAAGTTAATAACTTTTTGCGTGTGTTTATTCTTCTCTGCCAATTCTTTAATCAGAAACAGCTCGTCGTTGAAATTGTCTCGGTCTCTAAACTGCGGATATCAAATGCATCGACTTTTAAGTGCAATATCTTCGTGCTTACGGTAGATGCATTCGTAGCGTAGTCAATTCCAGAGTTTAACGATATCAGTGAAAAAAAAATGTATAATTAGAAAGTTTATATCGCAGAAACTTAGGCACGTTAAGGCATTGTTACAACGTGAAAACGAAGCAAACAAATTATTTTTTTTCATTCAAGGTCGTTGTAGACAACAAATTTAACAAATTTAGTCGTCACTACACAACAAATAACACAGTAGTGTACACCAAATAAGTTTATTTAGGGAAGCTTGCCGAGAACCAAGTACCAACCCGAGGCATATATAGCTCGAGGCATGCATACATACATTCGCAACTGATATGCCATATACAATCCTGATATACAGTCAATTCCTTACACATTCAAAAATAGGTATACATTACTAACATGTAAACTTCAAGAAGTCGGAATTAACAGAGATGGGCAACCGCTTACCAGGATATTACTACAGTTATACGGAGGCCAGAAAAAACCTGCCAGAAAAAACTCCTCTGGGGTCGTATCTAGTGACGACTAAATATGTTATTTCTGCCTTATTCACATATTTAATCGTCAGAAATACCATATTTAGTCTCCACTACACAACAAATAACACAGTAGTGTACACCAGATAAAATTATTTAGGGATGCCTGCCGAGAACCAACCCGAGGCACACAAACACTGACAAAGAATTGGGCAAGATGCACGAGGCTAGGTGATATTATACCACTACAAAGAACACGAAAACACCCTAAGAGCCCAAGAAAACGCAATACTTCGAATCGTTGTTCAAGTTCTCCTACGTATGTGTCTTTGACAGTTTCCTCTAAAAGATGTTGTAAATACAAAGCCAAATTTAGCTTAGAAGGTTAAACATTTTCCTGGTTACCCGTTTACGCGAATTGTTTTCATCGTATTGGGAAATGAGTCCTATTACCAAATGTTTTTTTAAAAAGCTACAGACTGGGAAATTAATGTATAGGTATACACAAATAATTTGTGTCCCGCCTTTCTTTGAAGCTATGCACTCCCATCTCGTCTATCTCAGAGAGCGACTACGAACTGCTCTTGTGTCCATAAAAGTTTTAATTTCGTATTGTTTCTTTTACCTTTTTCTTAAATCAGGTGTTATTGCTCTGAAGCCCAAGATCTCGGTGGTCGATAAGGCTGTTGTTGCACGAAAAGGTTCCATAGTAACCTTGATGTGCTCTGCCACGAGGGTTAGAAAACTTACAACCTCAAGCTCTTGGAAATTCAACGGACAAGAATTAAAGAAAAGGAAACAACAAAATAATAACACCAGAGCCACACTATCAGACAAATAAAAGAAAAGAAAACTTTACTTTATGTATCAAGAATGTTTCGGACACAGATGTTGGTACATACACCTGCAAGGTCTCCAAGGTAAACCTTGACACGATGCTTGAGGTAAAGGAGAATATAGAGCTGTCAATTCAGGAAGAAAGTGAGTTTAACCAACATTTCTCTTCTCTTTTACCTTAAAAGATGCTGCAGTTGGCAGCCTGATGGCCAAAGTTCAGTTGTCTTTACACAGAAATACTGAGTAATCTGGGTGGGAGTCTTATATCCTTTCAAGTGAAGTGGACTGGACCAACTACTTCGTGGACCTGTTTCCTCTGTGTCTTGCCGATGATAACCTGCTGACCAAGTGAACTCACTTGTAATTGGACAGCCACTATTTGGCATCGGCAAAGCATAAGTTCCTCTGGGCCACGACACTAGAATTGGTAATAAATGAAAAAGTTTTCAAGGCATCAATTACACATTCGTTTGTGAACAGCAAAACCTTGGAATTTGGTCAAAGTTGGAAATTCTCTATTCTCAGTTCTCCACTGATTTTGATTTATTGGTTCTTTCTCTTTTTAATTACCATTTCTTTGCACAGATTATGTTCGAGTGAATTTCTACTAAGAGAGCAGCGTTGGAAATAAACCAGTGAAATGGTTTGACGAGAAATCAATTGGGGCTCAGCGATTGTCAAGTGGCATTTTGAGAGATTTAAAAATATAGATGTCAACAATTTTCTTCGTAATACACAAATATGCGAATGCATATCAGGGCTTCAAACGCAATAAAACTGCAATCAAGACCTTTTTCCTATTAAATGTGAACATATCAGGGATTAAATCAAATTTGGTCTGACACGTCTGTCATCCCCTCTACCCTTTCCTAACGCCAGATGCAAACCAAATGCAAACGTAGCTTGGCTTCAATTCTCTTTTTTATACCCTTCTATAAGATGCATATGTTTTCTCTTTACTTGGCATTCTAATTGGCTCATGTTGATGTTCTCTTTGTTCTGACTGGGCTTTGTTTTACGCGATTCGATTGCAAGGCTCTCTTTTGAAGGTTCAGAGGAAGGCACGAATGCCATTGTTTTAAGGGTTACTCACCAGTTTTAAATAAATCCAAATGAATAAAAGTTTCTTTGACGATCGCCTTTCCAAAGTCGGCCGTAGATGCGACACACCAATAGTTACCGATATATAGTTTCCTTTTCTTTTATTTGTCTGATAGTGTGGCTCTGGTATTATTATTTTGTCGTGTCTTTTCTTTATTTCTTATCTGTTGAACTTCCAAGAGCTTGAGGTTGTAAGTTTTCTAACCCTCGTGGCAGAGCACATCAAGGTTACTGTGGAACCTTTTCTTGCAACAACAGCCTTATCGACCACCGAGATCTTGGGCTTCAGAGCAGTAACACCTGATTTAAGAAAAATGTAAGGGAAAGAATGCGAAACTTTTAGTTTCATTGACACAAGAGCGGCTCGCTGTGCTTTGTGAGATAGACTTGGTAAGGGCGCAAAGATTAAAAAAAAGGCGGAACATAAATTTGTTGAACTTACGCATTCCTTTCCCAATCTTAAAAGAAAGTTTATGGTAGGAAGTCTGTTACTGTGGTACAAATTAATCATTTTGAGGAAGGACATTTCAGTTGCAATATGGACAATCGATGTAGAGATGCATCACTGAAAATACGTCTAACGCTGCCGTCAATAAATTTTCAGTCCTCTTAGAAAACAAATACACTGGTAAGGTTATGTTCATGTGTTTATCTCTTTCTGCCCCATGATTTCCGTTATATAAAAGATTGATCGGAGAATGGAATGAAATGTAGGTGAGCTCGAAACCCCATAGTTTGTGTGTTATTGAAAGGCGCAGTAACGTATTTATTTGATAAGAAGAGGATCGCTATCTTTCTGCATTCAAAAATCTGGCTCCCCTTTTCTGTTGACAGGAATACTACGGGAGTTATGAATAAGTATGATCTAATTATCAGGTCAAAGGAGCTCTCTGGCCTATTGTCTCAAAAGACAGGAGCAAATCCAGGTTTCCGTTGCAGCATTAAGGGGCCAGGGTGCAGTTGTCCGAAGACCGATTAGCGCTTTCCCTGGGTTAAATTTTAATCCGGGTTTCTTTATTCCTTTGTTCAAAAGCCCCTTTTGGACAATTTTCTCTATCCTTTTTAGAGTATTCAATCATCAAGTTATAGATAAAAGGAATGATAGTGAGTTTTCTATTAAAGCTTTCAAATCTGAAATCAGATTTCACACTAACCCTGGGTTGATCTAAACACGGCTTTAAGCAGCCTGGCCCAGGCTTCTAATAGAAGGGACGCCAGTCCATTAAAGGTGTCTCCCTCAGCCTCTTTTGAGCTGGGTTTCTCTGACAGATTTTCATTACCCATCGAAATACTCCTGAGCGGGGAGAGATACTAACACTGAGTAAGTGTTAGGCGCATGAACACAACACAATAACCGCGGTTAGGGCTCGACCCCACACGTTTCGATGTTTTCTTTTGGGCTAACATCTATTTTCTATTAAAATCGTTTACTGTTTCGGAAATTACATCTTTTTTTACAAGTTTTTTTTATTGTGTGCAAGAGAGCTGAAAACACTAAATTTATTGGAACTTTACAAATAAAGTGCTGACAGTACCTAGATCAGGTTTTTCGTAAACAATGCTGTGGTTGTTCATCATGGCAAGGTAAAATTATTCCACAACCGTCTAATGAGCCCTCGAGGAACCTCATGGCTAATTTCGGAGCCCTCCAGTCTGGTGGCTCACTAAAGAGGGTGGCTGAGGAGAGGGCTAATCAGAGCTCATTCAGAGTCACAATGAGAATTACAAAACACCTAATAAAGTACGCATTTCTTTGATGAAAAAAGCCTAAATGTATGTAATCATTATCATAGCATAATGATAGTCATATGATGGATTCTCTTTCTTTTTCTATCAGGGAAAAGGGAAGGAGAGGCTTATTTTATAACGATGGCTCAACAGAGTCTATAAAAATAAGGCACTTGACGTTTTTCTCTAGATAACGAACTCATTACCCTCAGAAGACTACCTGTAAGCAGTCGACACGTCGCTATCTTCACCGGAAGCGACTAAATCGTGAGACAAACGATCTTACTTTTCTATGATCTTAGGTATAATGTGACAAGGAAAAAAAAACTTTATCGCGAGTCCGGGGAAACCCCACAGAATATTTATTTAAAGGAACAATCAATTGGAGCTATTCAGAGCCCGACTATGTACTTACACAGAGCCAATTTATACGGTCACCTCGTTCAGCATGATCAGGCATGAAATGAGGAGCACATGCTCTTACTAATTTAGCTTACGTGCACATTTTTTCGGGTAATTTGACTCCTTTTCAAAACAAAGATCATTAAAACTCACCTGAAATTAAGTAATAATGTCCTAAAATACAGGTGATAAAAACAGCTCCTCGGAAAGTCATTTTGACGACAATGTTAATGTGGCATTCCCCAAGCAAGTGGAGCAAAGAGAAAGCAAGCTAAATATCTATTTTAATTGTCTGACACTCCTAACACGTTCTGAAACAATTTAATTTGTCTAACAATGACACCTGCTCATAGCACACACTCGAACCCATCGTCTTTCACTTTTGTCCTATGAACGTCCGCGCTTCGAATTGTTTAGTGAAAAATCAAACAAGAAAGATAATCAGACCTTCATATTTCATATCTCCAAGGCGAACACGTGCATTTACGTAGAACTTCTTTGTTTCCAAGATAATCAATCATCGAATTGTCAAAACATCTGAAAACCCTCAACACCTAATTCAAATTGTATTTTAAGAGCTTGACATGAAACAGTGGTCAAAACTGAAACAATTCAGCTTTTCCAATTACTTTGGCTTTCGCGTGAGTTTGCGCGACTCAAGGCCATGACTGAAAAAGTTCATTCCCATGTCTTACAGTGCTCCAATTTTTCGGATAAACGACTCTTGACCGCGTACATGAAGATCTCTTCTTCTCAAGCAGGTTCAACAGTCGTGTGGATTTATCGGCTTGCCCAGCAACCACAGTGATTGACTTCCATTGAAAGTTTAATTGTTATTTTAACTCAAATTACTGTTGACTTTATTGAGAAGACTACAATCAAATAAGGAAGGGGGGGGGGGGGTGGAAGCTGAGTGGAAGCTGATGCGTTATGATATCACCGTGTTTGCAACAGGCTTCCTGATAAAAACCCGTGAGTGCCGCAGTAGGCTACGTGCAGGATTGATTCCGGTGGATTTGGCTGAAAATAATTTGTTTCTTATCTGAAACTTGGCTGTCGCGAGGCGAATCTAAGCAGTGTTGCGTTGTTACTTTTTCCGCAGTTGGCAGCGTCCTTGTATTAAGATCTAAACTCGATCTTTCTGTTTGCACATCTGATATTTGAAAACTAAGATCAGTGGTAGCAATATTGGCTGACAGTTACCATGGTTGGGAAGAAGCTAATAAATATCAAACAAGGACCTTATGAAAGTGAAAGTCATGCGTAAATTTTGCTTTACGGGCGGGTTAAGAGTTATTCTCCGCAGCTGTTCTTTATTCCGGTGTGCTCGGATATGAATAACAAAACGAAAGAGGCCGCATTCACCCGATAGAATCACAAAATAAGATGACTGTAGCTTAAATGATGACTGCAGCTTTGTAAGTGTTTGCAAAGCTCGGAAACAGTAAAAGGTATCTCCCCGTACAACTTTTCGTCATAAACAATACTGTCATCTAAATATCCAGATTAGAAAATTCAAAAGTAAAAATCCTTAGAAAATAGACTTCATAGAAGTATCTTTCAATGAAACTATAACAGTACTCAAAAGCAAGTGGTCTTTCTTGTTGTCTATGATATAAAATGAAATCTAGTTAACGACGATCTTGTATAGACACAAAAAGACCTCTTCCACTTGGCTCGTTTTGCGACGAGTTCTTTCTTTTCTTTTTGGGTTCGTAATTTCTATTATCAGAACTTGTAGAAATTTAATTCAATTTAAAAGGCAAATAGAGATCGCTTATCTGATGTCGTGCCATTTGATAGACGCCTGAAAGGTTAAACATTTTCATGGTTACCCGTTCACGTGAATTGTTTTCATCGTATTAGGAAATTAGTACTTTGATACCTACGGATACTTAGACAGTTTGGAAATTCGAAGTCGGTTACGGTAGGAATTTCATACTCGGACTTGTTACGGGTGGTCATATAACAAATTATTTGCCGCATTCGTTATGGGCATCGAAAGAGGCCGAAGGCTTCGGTGAAGTGATCTATTAATAACGACGAGACAGTTTAAACGTGATCTTATCAATACACGACTTAAAAACTATCATCAAACGGAAACACCCACACTCAGATGGAATACTTCCAAACCACATTTCGCTTTTGACAGTGAATCAACTGTCACCTGTTCCCTTAAAAGAAAGTCATGTGGATGATAAATTGAGTTGAATTTCCTGAACAGTTAGATGGACGAAAGTGAAACAAGCGAACTACACGGATCCTGGTCATTTAGCTTCAAATTGAGCAACATTTGTATTTCACAATTAAGCTAGGTTTGTACAAATGTAGACATCTGAAGACTCACATCGAACGACGACATCTGTATCACACAATCAAGTTACGTTTGTAATGTAAATGTAAATATTTTTGGTCAATTACTAGAGACAGGTCAAGATATCTTTAGCATAAATGTTGATCGAGTCGTTGTTTCAGCACAACGTAATGTCGCATAAAAACATCACGCATTAATTTCGTGTTAGAACGAAACACAAACTAATAAAGGACGTGAGACTTACAAGCAGAACCTAATGGAAATTCAAGAGAACGAAAGACGACCGAAACTCTATTCCCTCTCTATTCCCTCCCCGTTTTTAACTCTAGCTCCCATGACTCAGCACAAATGATCTGGGTAAGAGAGTGCAATTGTAGCAGTCTACGGCAATAAAAATAAAAATTTGTAACCCAACAAATGAAAAAGACCTTTGATAAATAATCACCTTTTTGCGCTCTCCTTTCCTCGTCTAATTTCAAAACTTTGTCTGTTTGAAGAGGTTAGTGATCACTAATCATTGCCAACACTTAATCAGTGTTTTGCTTAGCCATTTTAAGTAGTCTTTTCAAGCTAAGTGAACCTTTTACCTTACTCCTGTTCGCAAAGTGCCTGAAAAGGAATGTTGATCATCGCGTAGAATGCTGTTACGACAAAAAATACAGCAACTTCTGTTCGCCGTTAAACTTTTGTGTTATTATCAAGACCTTCTCACCATGCGACTGAGAATGAGTATTGACCCATTGTCATCATTATTTTTCATCATATTTGATTCAAATCTCTTTTATCGGGTGTTACTACTCTAAAGCCCAGTGTTTCGGCGGCCAACAAGGTTGTGATAGCAAGAAAAGGTTCCAATGTAACCATGATGCCGCCTCGCCAGGAAGGTTACGTCTCTTACAATCTCAGACTCCTGGGAAATCAAAGGACTAGAATTAATAAAAACTTACAACAGGGTAGAAATTCTTTAGCCACACTGCTGAAAAATTACTAATTCGTAATACAGGGGCTAACTTCAGTATTACCAAAAGTTTTTTTAAAAAGCCACAGACTGGGAAATGAATGTATAAGTATACACAAATAATTTGTGTCCCGCCTTTCTTTGAAGCTATGCGCTCCCATCTCGTCTATCTCAGAGAGCGACTACGAACTGCTCTTGTGTCCATTAAAGTTTTAATTTCGTATTGTTTCTTTTACCTTTTTCTTAAATCAGGTGTTATTGCTCTGAAGCCCAAGATCTCGGAAGTCGATAAGGCTGTTGTTGCACGAATAGGTTCCATAGTAACCTTGATGTGCTCTGCCACGAGGGTTAGAAAACCTACAACCTCAAGCTCTTGGGAATTCAACGGACAAGAATTAAAGAAAAGTAAACAACAAAATAATAACACCAGAGCCACACTATCAGACAAATAAAAGAAAAGGAAACTTTACTTTATCTATCAAGAATGTTTCGGACACAGATGTTGGTACATACACCTGCAAAGTCTCCAAAATAAACCTTGACACGATGCTTGAGGTAAAGGAGAATATAGAGCTGTCAATTCAGGAAGAAAGTGAGTTTAACCAACATTTCTCTTCTCTTTTACCTTAAAAGATGCTGCAGTTCATTTTCATTTTTCGTCACTTAGGGGAGAAAGGAGAATAATAATTTGCTGTTACAGCAACTTCTGTTCGCCTTTGAAACCTTGCTTAATCATCAAGACCTTCTCGCCATGCGACTGAGAATGAGTATTGACCCATTGTTATCATTATTTTTCATCATATTTGATTCAAATTTCTTTTATCGGGTATTACTACTCTAAAGCCCAGTGTTTCGGCGGCCAGCAAAGCTGTACATCTCTTACAACCTCAAACTCCTGGGAAATCAAAGGACTGGAATAAATAAAAGTTATTACAGGGAAGAAATTCTTTAGCCACACTGCTGAAAAATGACTAATTTGTACCACAGTGGCTGACTTCAGTATTACCAAAAGTTTTTTTAAAAAGCCATAGACTGGGAAATTAATGTATAGGTATACACAAATAATTTGTGTCCCGCCTTCCTTTTGAAGCTATGCACTCCCATCTCGTCCATCTCAGAGAGCGACTACGAACTGTTCTTGTGTCCATGAAAGTTTTAATTCCGTATTTTTTCTTTTACCTTTTTCTTAAATCAGGTGTTGTTGCTCTGAAGCCCCAGATCTCGGTGGTCGATAAGGCTGTTGTTGCACGAAAAGGTTCCACAGTAAATTTGACATGCTCTGCCAGGAGGGTTAGAAAACTTACAACCTCAAGCTCTTGGAAATTCAACGGACCAGAAATAAAGAAAAGAAACAACAAAATAATAATACCAAAGCCACACTCTCAGACAAATAAAAGTAAAGGAAACTTTACCTTAACCATCAAGAATGTTTCGGACACAGATGTTGGTACATACACCTGCAAAGTCTCCAAAATACACCTTGACACGATGCTTGAGGTAAAGAAAAATATAGAGCTGTCGATTCAGGATGAAGGAGAGTTTCAATTGCAAATTTTTGTATTCTTGGGCACTTACTGCTGCTAGTATAGTAATCTGAGACTCTGGCCTTTTCTCCATACAGCTGTCTCTGTAATCCTGCCAGTCGTTAAGGCACTTCGCTCCTACGTAGTGACCAGCGAGGGTTCCATTGTTACTTTGACGCGTATTGGTCGGAGGGCGAAAGCGCTCGATACCATGGTTAAGTGGAAGTTCGAAGGCCAGGAAATCGAAGAAAGCTCAAACAAGATAGCCATTGTCAAATTCCTCAACAGAGACGAGGAAATTTTTCGTTACATATAACTAATGTCTCGAAGGAAGATATCGGTAACTATTCGTGTGTCGCATCGACGGCTGACTTTGGAAAGGCGATCGTCAAAGAAACTTTTATTCATTTGAATTTATTTAGAACTAATGAGTAACTCTTAAAACAATGGTATTCTTGCCTTCCTCTGAACCTTCAAAAGAGAGCCTTAAAATCGAGTCGCGTAAAACAAAGCCCAATCAGAACAAAGAGAACCTCAACATGAGCCAATTAGGATTCGAAGTAAAGAGAAAACATATGCATCTTATAGAAGGGTATGAAAAAGGGAATTGAGGCCAAGCTACGTTTGCATTTGGTTTGCATCTGGCGTTAGGAAAGGGCAGAGGGGATGACAGACGTGTCAGACCAAATTTGATCTAATCCCTGATATGTTCACATTTAATAGGAAAAGGTATTGATTGCAGTATTATTGCGTTTGAAGCCCTGATATGCATTCGCATATTTGTGTATCACGATGAAAATTGTTGACATCTATTTTTCTGAATCTCTCAAAGTGCCACTTGGCAATCACTGTAGGTCAATTTATTTCTCGTCAAACCATTTCACTGGTTTATTTCCAACGCTGCTCTCTTAGTAGAAATTCACTGGAACATAATCTGTGCAAAGAAATGGTAATTAAAAAGAAAAAGAACCGATAAATCAAAATCAATGGAAAACTGAGAATAAAGAATTTCCATTTAATCGCGGTAACACCGAAAATACCAAAACCCTTGAACTTTGACCAAATTTTAAGGTTTTGCTGTTCAAAAACGAACGTGTTATTGATGTTCTGAAAACTTAGGTTTTCACTGATTACCAACTCTAGTGTCGTGGCCCTGAGGAACTAATGCTTTGCCGATGCCAAAGAGTGGCTGCCCAATTACAAGTGAGTTCTCTTGGTCAGCGGGTTACCATCGGCAAGACACAGAGGAAACAGGCTCACGAAGTAGTTGGTCTAGTCCACTTTACTTGAAAGGAGATAAGACTCCCACCCAGATTGCTCAGCATTTCTGTGTAAAGACAATTGAAACTGGGGGAAGACTTCGGCCATCAAGGCAATATTGTTTTTTTTTATGTTTAAGGCGAACGGCCAGGCTCCCATGAGGGCGGTGCAATGCCTGCCGAACTAACCGTCTAATCCAACCCAAGGCGGCGAGTGCAAAGCCTTAAGGTTGGGTTCACCAATAAACAAGAGGGTCACAAGATACCAACTTCGTTGGGGAATCGAACCCCACCTCGCAAAACATTAAACACACACACACACCGAAGAATAAACTCACACATTCGGTAATCATAACAAAACGATAATAATATCCCCTAACCAGCCAAGGGGTGGCACGTAAAACAAAAAACAAAACAATAATAATATCCCCTAGCCAGCCAAGGGGTGGCACACGAACAAACAAAAAAAACAAGCAAAGCAACCGAAAGCAAGCTAAAGGACAATCGACAAACAGTTTCTACTTACAGAAGCGACGACACCACGGGCGCCCCACTGACGATGGAAATAACGGCGACGGCGAGAAGACTGGAAGCGCTTAAAGAAGATGGGGAGATGGCACTTGAGACGCGCTTTCACCTTGGCGATGACGTCCACGGCGCCTGGCGGGACATGGCGAAAACGGAAGTCGTTACGAGACTGTCAGATGAAAAATTTGCAGAGATTGAGAAGATAGACGAAGACACGGGAGGTGACGCACAGCTCGTCCGAACTAAAGCCGAAGCGAACATGACGCACCAAAAGGGCCGAACACATGAAAGAGAAAACTAAACAACAAAGATTGCAACCAGGACAGAACACTGTGGGCTAACGGACAGTAAAAGAATAAATGGTCAAGAGATTCTACGGGAGAGCCACAAAAACAGGGAAGGGGAACTGGCAGTCCAAAAGATGCCAGGCGCTGCGCCGTATACAACACACCATGCGCCAACTTCCAGTTCAGATCGATGACCTGACGGTCGACGTCTAGAAAAGACAGGGAACGCCACGTGGCGCGTCAATCGAGCGGGCCAAAGGTGAACGAAAACTTATCGACGCAATGAGGCTGGACCATGTTCTCCGAAAGAAGATACAAATAACAGGACCTGGTAGACATACCCGCCACAGGGGTGCAGACCAGTGCCGAGCCGACACCGAAAGCCAAGGAATTGTGGGAGGGAGAAAAAGAACCATTGAGGCTACGCCAGGCGGACAAAAGAGACGTATAAAAGAGCGGCAAGACCCCAGGGTCGAACGAAAAAGGCCGAGAAAACACAGTAACAGGGGAAATACCGAAAGACGACGTGAACCACAACGACATGAGAGAAGAGACATGGGAGAAGAGGCAAACCTCTTCACCCACTGACCGAGAAGAGCATAGACTTTGAACTTGACATTGACTACAGAAAACGAGACACAAGTTCCCGCTTACCGAACCAGAAAAAGGAAAAGACCAAACGGGAAAGCTCCTTCTCCACCCAGCCCGGCATGTGGATGAGAGAAGCCACGTACCAGACCCGGGAGAGAGCCAGAGCATTGTTGACTAGGGCCTTACCGCGAGAGGATAGGGAACGAGAGTGCCAGGACGTGAGAACATGGTCCACCGCGTCAATCTGGGGACGCCAGTTGTCCTCCTCGAGATTATCATGACCAATAAAAACACCAAGAATCTTCAATTTGGTGGAGGACTAGTCTAAGGCGACTGGGGGGTCGGTGCATCCAGACCACGCCCCCAGCCATAAGCCCTTCGACTTCGAGCGATTCAACTTAGCACCGGAAGCTGCTTCGAAAAGTGCGTATGTTTCAAAACACGCTCTGATGGAGTCGTCCGAGGTCAGAACGAGCGACGTGTCGTCGGCATACTGAGAAATGGGGGATAACGGGGGGAAGCCCAGGAGAGTGAGGCCCGAGACACGAGGATTACGACGGATATTAACCGCAAGAACTTCAGACACTAACACGTACAGAAGAGGGGACAGGGGACAGGGGACAACCCTGGCGAACCCCACGAGAAAGGGCAAAGAAGGGGGACAGATAACCGTTTACGTTGACCGAACTTTGGACGCGGTGATAGAACAAATCCACCCACGAAATAAACGAAGGGCCGAAACCCATGGCGGAGAGGGTGGACCTCATGAAGTCCCAATCGACTCGGTCAAACGCCTTCTCCTGATCAAGGGACAAAATCGCCACAAGGACACCGGTCGAGGAGGCATAGTGTACCACATCACGTAAGAAGGACACATTTTCCCCAATAAACCTGCCCGGGACCCCGCAGGTCTGATCTTTGTTAACCAGAAGATGGATGACTTTTAAAAGACGGCCCGCAATCACGCGAGAGGCGATCTTGTTATCAACATTTAACAAGGTGATAGGGCGCCAGTTCCGCGGATCCAGGCGGTCACCTTTCTTAAATGATAAAGTGATGATACCCCTACGCTGGGAGAGAGAAAGAGAGCCGGAGAGAAAACAAGAGTGTTTCGTTTAATAATTAGGCGTTGCCTCGTGTTGACAGATTTATTCGATGACAAGAATCGTGATTGACATTTAGTCAATAAATTGATTTAAAAGCGTTGGATTATTATGTTTTAAGTCAGTTTTTCAGCAGAATCGAAGTGAGAAAGAAGTTATTTTGTTATCGTTTTTCTGTCTCTAAATCTGCTTACCTGGAGAATCTGCTAACCCGTAAAGTGAGACTGTTGTAACGACCCGCCACAGAAGTAAGTTTATATTGAAGTTTTTGAATTTAGTTACAAGATAAAGACTTGATTTGCGTTTGTTCTAATTGCGAATTATAAATGTATTTCTTTTAGATCGAATAATTATTAAAGCTTGGCTTAATATTATACGGTTTGTGGTGGTCATTTGATCTAACCAGTTCCGAGTAAGGAAACAAAGAGTTAAGGACAGAAACCAAATCAGCAAGAACATCCCAGAACCGAAGGTAGAATTCCGCCGGGAACCCGTCGAGGCCAGGGGCCTTGTTCCTGGCCATGACCTTGAGTGCACTAAGGCACTCATCGGGAGTGAGGAGACCCTCACAAAGACGAGCCTGGTCACAGGGGAGAGAAGACGGAAGATTAGACAGAAGAGAGGACTGGATGACAGAATCCATGGGAACAGAAGAGAACAAGTCAGAATAGAAAGAGTTAAGAGTGTGACACAGGCCATCCGGGGAGGAGACAATAGAGCCTCGGCTCTCACGCAGCGCAGGGATCCATCTATCAACCGCACGCTTCTTTTCCAACCGTAAAAAATATGATGACGAGGTTTCCCCTTCCTCCACCCATTTAATACGCGAACGAATCTGAGCACCTTTAGCAGCCTCACGTTCAAGGGACGCAAGGGCCTCGAGCGCAGAATGATATGGAACTATACAAGAAGCCGAACCGGCATCAACTTTAAGTTTTAAATGTGCCACAAGGTCGACCAGCAGGGACCTATTGCGGGCCCCCACTGCAGACCTATCTTTACAGTATCTAATCGATAATCCTTTAAGGTGACTTTTTCCCACGTCTTACCACTTTGCTATATTGGAAAAATTATTCATGGAACCGCGCCAGGCCTGCCAGAGGTCGGAAACCAGACGGACGTACTCATCGTCTTTCAAGATGGCGGTATTGAGTTTCCACAGACCTGGACCGGGGAGAATGATATCAGGGACCGCGACAGAGACCTGGACCCCGCAATGGTCTGAAAAAGGACAGGGCACCACAGAGCAGGCCGAGACGGAGGAGACCCACAGAAAAGGAATGCCGACAAGGTCGATGCGCAAAGCGAGGGCACCATTCCACTTGGTCCACGTGAACCCGGGCGTCGACGGGTGCAGATACCTGAAAATGTCAACTACACAACACGCGTCGAAGAGGCCACGAAGGGCAGAAGTACTCTCGCGAGATGAGTCAGACGGATCTAAGCCTCGCCTATCCAAAGCTCTGTCGAAAACCGTGTTAAAGTCTCCACACAGCAGAGAGAGAACAGAAGGGTCGATTTTCGCATGGAGATCATCAAGGAATTGAATCCGGGCAGGATTACGATTTGGAACATACAAACAGCAAACACGAAAGGACTGATCCCGAAAAGAAAACTCACACTGATGATAACGCCCATCCGTGTCGCACCAAGAGCTCGATAGAGACAAGGAGGGGCGAAAGAGAATAACACAACCAGAGGAACGCACAGAACCCGGGGAACACGCAACACCGAACCCATAGGACAGAAACCACGAAGAGCACTCCTGCACGGAGGAACAATGTACCTCTTGGGGGCAGATAATATCAGGCTTCACGGGAAGAGAACGAACCCAATGCAAGAGACCCGACCTCTTGGACGGGTCCCTGATGCCATTGCAATTTAGTATAAAGATAGACAGAGCCATGTATAAACTAATAAGGGAAATCATCTGGGAAAGAAAAGAGGGAGACTACTTCCCCTTCTTTTTCTGAATACCGGCCCCAGGGACCGCCTTAGACCGCTTCACGATGGACGCCGCAGCCACGGCGGCGGATGGAATTATCGCCCGCTTCGGCGCCTTTCCGGAGCGCTTACGGGTGACCGACAGAAAATGGTCAAGGGAATCAGATGCTTCGGCAGAGGAAGAGAAGCTCTAAATATCTGGGGAGTCGCAACACTCCATACCCCCAGACTCCTGACTGCTAAATTCACTAATTTCTTGGGTAATTTGGGTACTAGAATTAACATTTTCACTTACTACATTATCTTTAACGGTTGCAAACCGAATCACTAACATTAGTTTTAATTACATTTTCAGTACTAGTATTATTATTGTCTACAATTACATTTTCAATACTAACATTACTATTTTCTACAGTTACATTTTCAACAACGCCAACATGCATACTATCATCCGCGCACAGGAGAGAAACGCCCGATAGAACAGGGGTCACCTCGACCTCGGACACAATGGGAGGCGCCACAGTAGTAACATGGCTATTTTCAGCAATTACATTAACAACATCACTAACATCCATACTATTTACTGCCAAAACAGTTTCGGAGACACCGGCATTCCCCGTATCCACGGGAAGAACGCCCGAGGGACCAGGGGTCACCTCGACCTCGGCCACAACGGGAGGAGCCACAATGGGAGGGAAAGACTCAGCATCCACCGGGGGAGCAGCACTGGCCGGAACAGAATCAGTTCCCCAAACACGCCCACCCCGGCGGGACGGGCAAGCACGAGCCAGATGGTCAGCAGCACCACATTCTCTGCATTTTCCGTTGTATTCACGGTCGGCGGCTTTATGCCCCCTAGTCTTGCATATTTGGCAAAATGGCTGCATGCCACTGTACCAGAAACGGGTGGGGTACGCATCAACAAATACTTCGGCCGGAATTGTTTTGGACAGGGACATTGTCAATATACGAGACTCCGTTAGGAGATTAGGTCTACCGGAAAAATGCTGGTGCTTAACGGAAACTATTTTCCCATAACGGCGGAATTCCTCACATAGGAGAACATTATCCCCCTCAGCCGGATAATGGTATACATACACCAAGGTGATAGCCTGGTCTGAGGGGGTGACACTACATTCAACATTGTCTAACATAACCGACCCCTGATTAACTAAACGATCTTTATCCGCAGGGTCCTTAAACGTGAGTCGGATAAGACCCCTGGGGACGAACTGGACGGCAGACAACTTGCCGAAATCCACCACCTCTTCAAGTAACAAGAGTACATGTGACCTCTCCTGAGCGACAATGGCCGCCGGAGCGTGCACCACGCAAGTGTTCGCACAAAGGAACACCATACCGAAGTCAAAAGGAAATAAAAAACAACAAGGAAGAAGGGCCCAAAAGGAACCCAAATGGATGGCCCAAAGGGCCGCGCCCCCAAATCACTACGAAATTGAGAGGGCAACTAGATACAAGTGTAGATAGTTCAGGCAGAAAACCAAAACCACCGGCGAAACCAGGAAATCCTGGCACACTATAAACCAAGAAAAAGGGGCAAAAAACCCCCAAAGACCACACCCCAAAGGGCCGAACCCAGCCCAAAAAATGGGATGGGTGACACACAAAAACAGTAAAAGGCCAGGAAATCCTGACCTAAAACTGACGGGAAAAGAAGCAAAAACGCCAAAGGCAAAAGCCCAATGGCAGAACTAGGCCAAAAAAATGGGACGAACGACGAGAGAGAAAAACCAACAAGGCCACTGGCGCTCCCTCCCGGCAGGTACTTAGCACTGGGCCACACAAAAAGGAGGAAAAAAAGGAATACTCACGCAAAATCCGGCCCACAAAATGCTCCGGTCTCGCAAATCCAATCACGAAGGAAAAACCGCAAACGCGAATCCCACGTAAGATACTGAGACGAAGGTTTAGCCCGCGTCAGGGCAATATTGTATATACAGAAAGGGAACGTGCTCAGGCGGTAAGGTGTATAGTTTGTGAAAGCGACCGTATATGAACTTATGTTTGGCCATTGTGGTCCATGAACCATGAACCTTTTTTTTTTTTTTTTTGCTGGTTCTCATTCTTGCTCTCGGTCTTTTTCTTTATGTTATGTGGTCCTATTCCTGCAAGATAACCAAAACTGTGCATTTTGATCCGTCGCCCTCCCAGGAAAGGGTCTCTAAGAACCTGCATGGTTCTGATATCAACTATGATGGCGACCTCAAAAGCTTCACAGATCTAAAAGCTAACGTTTTTATCTTAAGATTTGATTTGATTCCCGGACCAAAGAAGGCATATGAATATTAAGATCAGACAATGAAAATATTTACAACCGAGTAACGAGATTCAAGGTAGTATTTTCTTGTGTGCGACAGGACTTCAAGAAGGAGAGATCAAATGGGTCGACGAGGACACGAAAAAAGACAACAGGCAACACGAGCCGTTTTTCCTCCTTAGGCACTCAAGCCGTTGCCAGGTAGTTTTGAGCATGCGTGTTATAGGAGAGTGGTTATTCTGGGACTGTGAAGACCGAGAAAACAAAAATTCATACAATGGAGAGGTACCCGCGTCTTTTATTACGAAGGACGTCAAACTACATTACTGCTATTACGAAAAACAATGAAAACTGAAAAAGGCATGCGTTGCTCTTTGGGAATGAAATCTTCATCTTAAGGGTCGGCTAACTTGCTGAATTTTCATTGATATATTTTTGTTGCACTTTCATACTCTCAAACATTTAAGTAACAAAAGCTTCATCAATTGTCCGGGAGGCTCCCCTTTTTTCGACGCTTGGATCATATGGGTATTAAAAGCAATTCTCTAGTTTCGGCGATCGTGTTTCGTTGCTCTTTTTTCACCCACTGCAGATTAATCTATGATTAACGTAAAAGATTATACTTGCACTGTCAGCAAACACCCCGTTTTACTAATCGATGTGTTGCAAATAGCAAAGATTGCACAAATTACGTGTAAAGACTGGATTACTACAGATTAATGCTGAGATTTGTGACAGATAATTTTAAAAATTAAATTTTAAGCCGTATTTATTTTAAATCATTTTTACTCGTTTTACTCGTCGGGTCAATTTTATACTTAACTTAATAAAATTTAACTTATCTAAATTATACTGGAAATGATACAGAAATTAATAAAATAATACGTCATTGTCCTTAAAAAAGGATTTATTCTGTTGAGTTTCACTTTATGGTCTTCCTCCTTGAGTAAATGACATCTACTGGTCTTTAGTTCACCCCAGCTTTAGGAAAACTCTTTTATTGATGTTGCACATTTAGCTTTAAATTCGTGAGAGCGAAGAGGTCGTCAATGTTTTGGATGTTTAGCGCCTGAAAAAGTGCGTCACAAGTGCGTGAGGGACGTGTGTTTGTGATGTGTTGGTTGTCATGAAGACCGGATGTTATTCTCCTTTCTCCTCTAAGTGACGAAAAATGAGAATAAAGTGCAGCACCTTTTAAGGTAAACGAGAAGAAAAATGTTGGTTAAACTCACATTCTTCCTGAAGTGACACCTCTATATTCTCCTTTGCCTCAAGCATCGCGTCAAGGTTTATTTTGGAGACTTTGCAGGTGTATGTACCAACATCTGTGTCCTAAACATTCTTGATGGTTAAAGTAAAGTTTCCTTTTCTTTTAATTATCTGATAGTGTGGCTTTGGTATTATTATTTTGTTGTTTCTTTTCTTTATTTCTTGTCCGTTGAATTTCCAAGAGCTTGAGGTTGTAAGTTTTCTAACGCTCGTGGCAGAGCATGTCAAATTTACTGTGCAACCTTTTCGTGCAACAACAGCCTTATCGACCACCGAGATCTTGGGCTTCAGAGCAATAACACCTGATTTAAGAAAAAGGTAAAAGAAAAAATACGGAATTAAAACTTTCATGGACACAAGAGCAGTTCGTAGTCGCTCTCTAAGATTGACGAGATGAGAGTGCATAGCCCCAAAGGAAGGCGGGACACAAATTACTTGTATATACTTATACATTCATTTCCCAGTCTGTGGCTTTTTAAAAAAACTTTTGGTAATACTGAAGTCAGCCACTGTGGTACGAATTAGTCATTTTTCAGCAGTGTGGCTAAAGAATTTCTACCCTGTTGTAACTTTTTATTAATTCTAGTCCTTTGATTTCCCAGGAGTCTGAGGTTGTAAGAGATGTAACCTTCCTTCCAAGGCGGCATCAAGGTTACATTGGAACCTTTTCTTGCTATCACAACCTTGTTGGCCGCCGAAACACTGGGCTTTAGAGTAGTAATACCCGATAAAAGAAATTTGAATCAAATATGATGAAAAATAACGATGACAATGGGCCAATACTCATTCTCAGTTGCATGGTGAGAAGGTCTTGATAATAACACAAAGTTTCAACGGCGAACAGAAGTTGCCATATTTTTCGTAGTAACAGCATTCTACGCGATCATTAACATTCCTCACAGACACTCTGCGTAAAGGAGTCGCTGTTTTTATTACAGCAAAAGAACAGGAGCGAATAGAAAAGAAACCCATACCCGGAAAATATGTCACATAAACCTTGATGTTTTTCGTCCGCAAGTTCCACTATCTTCAACCCCAGCATTGTATATCGTTAGGCTGAGAAGTCTCCTCTTAACATTTCCCTCATTGTTGTCAACGAAACCATTGTTTATTTCAAAGTGCTTGTTACTTTTTATTTGGCTGCCATTAAAAAGCCAGAAAGTGTCATCAAACGATGCTGCTGGGTAAATTCCGAGACAACTTAAAGTAACATTTGTACCGTTTGCAATTTCAACAAAGGATTTAATTTTCTGTGTGAATTTGAAATCTGGACCTTGTGTGTCACGTATGTTCACAGCTATGTCGTGTGTTTTAAACCAATGGTGGAGTTTGCACCACACGTGTAGATTCCACTTTGGGCGAGGGACACATGTTTCAGTTCCAGCCTTATGCTGAGTCGTTTAACTTTGTTTGCCAAGGACATGCCATTCACTTCTTGGTGCAAGACTTCAGGTTTAGGGACTATCTTTCCGTTCAAAAGCCTGTACACGACCACAGCGAAAGCTTCTGAAAAGATGACCCTGCAATTGAGAGTTGTTGTGCTTCCTTCGTCGAGGGTGATGTTTGTCTGCGTGGAAGTGACGTTGAGTACTGTTAGAAGAAAAAAGTATCGGTAATGGATTGACTTATGTGCACTTTCAGATACACATGAAAGTAGATCTGAGATGAGAACCTTGCAGTTTACGTATGGATAAAGGGGTAAGTTTCTAAAGAAACTGTGGTGCTGCGTCGGTGGGAGAGTATAGCAGGTAATGTAGTGTTAACAACTGGGTTGAAAACGTAAATTAGCCACCGTAAAGGGTAAAAAAGCTGACGTTTCGAGCGTTAGCCCTTCGTCAGAGCGATTTACGTATGGAGTTGAGACTGCCTTTGATGCCCGCCCCAATGAAGAGTGACATTGATTTGAGAAGAATACCCTAATGGGCAAGACACCAATTTTACACATCACGGTTTCATCACGCTTTCTGCGTTTTTTAAACTCACGCTGAATCATTCACGTTACATGTATGCGATTCATAAGGTTAAAAAAGAGATAGACGATAAACGGGCTCTCACATTTCTGTTGTCTTGGATGAGGTGCAGAACGAGGCAGGGAGGGATGGAGAGATGGAAGGAACTCAAGAAACTTTCCAGAGAGTGAGGGACGTGTGTCTGTGATGTGCTGGTTGTCATGAAGACCGGATGTTATTCTCCTTTCTCCCCTAAGTGACGAAAAATGAGAATGAACTGCAGCACCTTTTAAGGTAAACGATAAGAAAAATTTTGTTTAAACTCACCTTCTTCCTGAAGTGACACCTCTATATTCTCCTTTGCCTCAAGCATCGTGTCAATGTGTATTTTGGAGACTTTGCAGGCGTATGTACCAACATCTGTGTCCGAAACATTCTTGATGGTTAAGGTAAAGTTTCCTTTACTTTTATTTGTCTGATAGTGTGGCTTTGGTATTATTATTTTGTTGTTTCTTTTCTTTATTTCTGGTCCGTTGAATTTCCAAGAGCTTGAGGTTGTAAGTTTTCTAACCCTCCTGGCAGAGCATGTCAAATTTACTGTGGAACCTTTTCGTGCAACAACAGCCTTATCGACCACCGAGATCTGGGGCTTCAGAGCAACAACACCTGATTTAAGAAAAAGGTAAAAGAAACAATACGGAATTAAAACTTTCATGGACACAAGAGGAGTTCGTAGTCGCTCTCTAAGATTGACGAGATGGGAGCTTTGATTTGTATATACTTATACATTCATTTCCCAGTCTGTGGCTTTTTAAAAAAACTTTTGGTAATACTGAAGTCAGCCACTGTGGTACGAATTAGTCATTTTTCAGCAGTGTGGCTAAAGAATTTCTACCCTGTTGTAACTTTTTATTAATTCTAGTCCTTTGATTTCCCAGGAGTCTGAGGTTGTAAGAGATGTAACCTTCCTTCCAAGGCGGTATCAAGGTTACATTGGAACCTTTTCTTGCTATCACAACCTTGTTGGCCGCCGAAACACTGGGCTTTAGAGTAGTAATACCCGATAAAAGAAATTTGAATCAAATATGATGAAAAATAATGATGACAATGGGTCAATACTCATTCTCAGTTGCATGGTGAGAAGGTCTTGATAATAACACAAAGTTTCAACGGCGAACAGAAGTTGCCATATTTTTCGTAGTAACAGCATTCTACGCGATCATTAACATTCCTCACAGACACTCTGCGTAAAGGAGTCGCTGTTTTTATTACAGCAAAAGAACAGGAGCGAATAGAAAAGAAACCCATACCCGGAAAATATGTCACATAAACCTTGATGTTTTTCGTCCGCAAGTTCCACTATCTTCAACCCCAGCATTGTATATCGTTAAGCTGAGAAGTCTCCTTTTAACATTTCCCTCATTGTTGTCAACGAAACCATTGTTTATTTCAAAGTGCTTGTTACTTTTTATTTGGCTGCCATTAAAAAGCCAGAAAGTGTCATCAAACGATGCTGCTGGGTAAATTCCGAGACAACTTAAAGTAACATTTGTACCGTTTGCAATTTCAACAAAGGATTTAATTTTCTGTGTGAATTTGAAATCTGGACCTTGTGTGTCACGTATGTTCACAGCTATGTCGTGTGTTTTTAAACCAATGGTGGAGTTTGCACCACACGTGTAGATTCCACTTTAGGCGAGGGACACATGTTTCAGTTCCAGCCTTATGCTGAGTCGTTTAACTTTGTTTGCCAAGGACATGCCATTCACTTCTTGGTGCAAGACTTCAGGTTTAGGGACTATCTTTCCGTTCAAAAGCCTGTACACGACCACAGCGAAAGCTTCTGAAAAGATGACCCTGCAATTGAGAGTTGTTGTGCTTCCTTCGTCGAGGGTGATGTTTGTCTGCGTGGAAGTGACGTTGAGTACTGTTAGAAGAAAAAAGTATCGGTAATGGATTGACTTATGTGCACTTTCAGATACACATGAAAGTAGATCTGAGATGAGAACCTTGCAGTTTACGTATGGATAAAGGGATAAGTTTCTAAAGAAACTGTGGTGCTGCGTCGGTGGGAGAGTATAGCAGGTAATTTAGTGTTAACAACTGGGTTGAAAACGTAAATTAGCCACCGTAAAGGGTAAAAAAGCTGACGTTTCGAGCGTTAGCCCTTCGTAAGCGCGATTTACGTATGGAGTTGAGACTGCCTTTGATGCCCGCCCCAATGAAGAGTGACATTGATTTGAGAAGAATACCCTAATGGGCAAGACACCAATTTTACACATCACGGTTTCATCACGCTTTCTGCGTTTTTCAAACTCAGCCTGAATCATTCACGTTACATGTATGCGATTCATAAGGTTAAAAAAGAGATAGGCGCTAAACGGGCTCTCACATTTCTATTGTCTTGGATAAGGTGCAGAACGAGGCAGGGAGGGATGGAGAGATGGAAGGAACTCAAGAAACTTTCCAGGGAGTGAGGGACGTGTGTCTGTGATGTGCTGGTTGTCATGAAGACCGGATGTTATTCTCCTTTCTCCCTTAAATGACGAAAAATGAGAATGAACTGCAGCACCTTTTAAGGTAAACGAGAAGAAAAATTTTGTTTAAACTCACATTCTTCCTGAAGTGACACCTCTATATTCTCCTTTGCCTCAAGCATCCTGTCAAGGTGTATTTTGGAGACTTTGCAGGCGTATGTACCAACATCTGTGTCCGAAACATTCTTGATGGTTAAGGTAAAGTTTCCTTTACTTTTATTTGTCTGATAGTGTGGCTTTGGTATTATTATTTTGTTGTTTCTTTTCTTTATTTCTGGTCCGTTGAATTTCCAAGAGCTTGAGGTTGTAAGTTTTCTAACCCTCCTGGCAGAGCATGTCAAATTTACTGTGGCACCTTTTCGTGCAACAACAGCCTTATCGACCACCGAGATCTGGGGCTTCAGAGCAACAACACCTGATTTAAGAAAAAGGTAAAAAAAACAATACGGAATTAAAACTTTCATGGACACAAGAGCAGTTCGTAGTCGCTCTCTGAGATTGACGAGATGAGAGTGCATAGCCCCAAAGGAAGGCGGGACACAAATTACTTGTATATACTTATACATTCATTTCCCAGTCTGTGGCTTTTTAAAAAAACTTTTGGTAATACTGAAGTCAGCCACTGTGGTACGAATTAGTCATATTTCAGCAGTGTGGCTAAAGAATTTCTACCCTGTTGTAACTTTTTATTTATTCTAGTCCTTTGATTTCCCAGGAGTCTGAGGTTGTAAGAGATGTAACCTTCCTTCCAAGACGGCATCAAGGTTACATTGGAACCTTTTCTTGCTATCACAACCTTGTTGGCCGCCGAAACACTGGGCTTTAGAGTAGTAATACCCGATAAAAGAAATTTGAATCAAATATGATGAAAAATAATGATGACAATGGGTCATTCTACGCGATAATCAACATTCCTTTCAGGCACTTTGCGAAAAGAAGTAAGGTAAAAGTGAATTGACAGCAGCTGCGCTCCTATTGCTTTCCTAAGGGAAGAAAGGACATCGTGGTGTAAGGTAGACTCTCCCCTGTCTTTATAAAAGACTCTAACGCTTTGTGAATCGCAAAGGAGTCCGAGGAATAGTAACGCAACCAATTTACCTCTTTCTTCCATGATCTTGAATCTAAAGAACTCAGGGAAGCGCTGAAATCTCAGTTATCTATGGCCAAGATTCGTTTTCCTTTCTTGATTGGCTTTAAGGTTCACTTAACTTGAAAAGACTACTTAAAATGGCTGAGCAAAACACTGATTAAGTGTTGGCAATGATCAGTGATCACTAACCTCTTCAAACAGACAAAGTTTTGAAATTAGACGAGAAAAGGAGAGCGCAAAAAGGTGATTATTTATCAAAGGTCTTTTTCATTTGTTGGGTGACAAATTTTTATTTTTATTGCCGTAGACTGCTACAATCGCACTTTCTTACCCAGATGACTTGTGCTGAGTCATGGGAGCTAGAGTTAAAAACGGAGAGGGAATAGAGAGGGAATAGAGTTTCGGTCGTGTTTCGTTCTCTTAAATTTCCATTAGATTCTGCTTGTAAGTCTCACAGCCTTTACTGGTTTGTGTTTCGTTCTAACACGAAATTAATGCGTGATGTTTTTATGCGACATTTCGTAACAATGCCTTACGTAATTGATAAGATCGTTGAAGCCAATACTACTAGTCGCAGATTTGAGAGACACCAATGGCATGTCAATATTGTTCCGTGTTGACGTATATTAATCCTGGCCTTTGTTAACTATAATTCTAATCTGTTAATAGATTTCGAATACTTTCCTGTAGACAAGATGACTGAATAAACTGTGAAATATTTGGAACCTTGGCGATTGTTGCGACTAGCAGTACAGTTTGACTTGAGTTCATTCAAATTTCTACACGTGGTTTTTAATTACTTTGATGATAAAGGTCAACTGAACTCATTTCCACTTTTCAAAACATTCTGCTCGGATTCCATTAAACGTCTTTTTCTACTTCTTAGTCACAGCTTCTGTAGGGAAAACAAAGCCTTGTTGTAGTTAAACGAAGATCATGATTAATTAAAAAGCTTGCTTGTAAATATCTGCGAAAATATTGTTTAGTTTTGTGCAGAAAAAATGACTCGATTAACATTTATGCTAAAGATATCTTGACCTGTCTCCAGTTATTGACTCTTTAAATATTTACATTTACATTACAAACGTAACTTGATTGCGTTATACAGATGTCGTCGTTCGATGTGAGTCTTCAGAGATCTACATTTGTACAAACCTAGCTTAAATGTGAAATACAAATGTTGCTCAATTTGAAGCTAAATGACCAGGATCCGTGTAGTTCGCTTGTTTCACTTTCGTCCATCTAACTGTTCAGGAAATTAAACTCAATTTATCATCCACATGACTTTCTTTTAAGTGAACAGGCGACAGTTGATTCACCGCCAAAAGCGAAATGTGGTTTGGAAGTATTCCATCTGAGTGTGGGTGTTTCCGTTTGATGATAGTTTTTAAGTCGTGTATTGATGCGATCACGTTTAAACTGTCTCGTCGTTATTAATAGATCACTTCACCGAAGTCTTCGGCCTCTTTCGATGCCCATAACGAATGCGGCAAATGATTTGTTATATGACCACCCGTAACAAGTCCGAGTATGAAATTCCTACCGTAACCGACTTCGAATTTCCAATTGTGTAAGTATCCGTAGGTATCAAAGTACTAATTTCCTAATACGATGAAAACAATTCGCGTGAACGGGTAACCAGGAAAATGTTTAACCTTCCAGGCGTCTATCAAATGGCACGACATCAAATAAGCGATCTCTATTTGCCTTTTAAATTAAATTAAATTTCTACAAGTTCTGATAATAGAAAGTACAAACCCAAAAAGAAAATAAAGAACTTGTCGCAAAACTATTATTGAAACGAGTGGCAGGCGAATGAGAGCTATTAAGTCATGGTCGAGCTAAGTGGAAGAGGTGCTTTTTGTGTCCATACAAGATCGTCGTTAACTAGATTTCATTTTATATCATAGACAACAAGAAAGACCACTTGCTTTTGAGTACTGCTATAGTTTCATCGAAGGGTGCTTCTATGAAGTTTATTTTCTAAGGGTTTTACTTTTTAATTTTCTAATCTGGATATTTAGATCAGAGTATTATTTATGACGAAAAGTTGTACTGGGAGATACCTTTTACTATTTCTGAGCTTTGCAAACACTTGCAAAGCTGCAGTCATCATTTAAGCTACAGTCATCTTATTTTTTTATTCTATCGGGTGCATGCGGCCTCTTTCGTTTTGTTATTCATATCCGAGCTCGCCTAAATAAAGAACAGCTGGCGGAGATTAAATCTTAACCCAACCGTAAAGCAAAATTTACGCATGACTTTCACTTTCATAAGGTCCTTGTTTGATATTTATTAGCTTCTTTCCGACCATAGTAACTTTCAGCCAATATTGCTACCATTGATCTTAGTTTTCAAATATCAGATGTGCAAACAGAAAGATCGAGTTTAGATCTTAACATAAGGACGCTGCCAACTGCGGAAAAAGTAACAACGCAATACTGCTTAGATTTGCCTCGCGACAGCCAAGTTTCAGAGAGGAAACAAATTATTTTCTGCCAAATCCACCGGAATCAATCCTGCACGTGGCTTACCGCTGTTTCCCTCTCCAGACTCATAGTATGAACACATGCATTTTGCTTTTAGTCGAAGTACCCTTACCTGAAGCCGGTAGCAGTGCTCCAAGCAGTAGAGGTGCAAAGAGAAAGTTGTTTTGCTTGCCGAGCCATCTGCTCGAGAGCTTGCCTAAAGAACAGCTTCGACTGCTTCCTGCACGGGATTGAAATAATTTCCACTTTCGAAAGGTTCATGATGTAATGTTTCTGCTAAAAAAAAGTGTCGTAAAAGTGGGGTGGGGTTCATTGTAATAAATAAAGTGGGAATGCGGAAGTTGTAGATTAACTCACGAGAACATTGTAATAGAAAGCGAGTTACATTTGTCTGGAATTTTTAAGCAGAGTTCTTAGAGACAATAGGACATCCATCCTTAAGTAATTTTATTGCTACTGCGACACTCACGGGGTTTTATCAGGTAGCCTGTTGCAAACACGGTGATATCATAACGTATCAGCTCCCTAGCAACAGGTTATTAAATTGTAGAACAGAGAGATAGGAAGTATATTAACTCAGACGCGGAATTTATACACCACGCATGATGGTTTATAAACAAAGCTTTGAATAAGGATACTATGGTGGGAGAGAGCGATACAAACGATTGTCATTATCGTGCTGTAGTTCCGGCCGATGCCTACTGTTTGGAAGGCGCTTGGCAATCATACCTAAGGATTATATGTCGTTTATAGCGCTTACGTGTGCAATATGATTCAATAATTCAGTATTCTCCAGGAAAAAAGGCAGTTAAGGAACTTTTGTTTTCTTGCATAATAACACTAAGTATGTGATGTTAGACACCTAAGACGTAAAAAAGAAACAAAAAAAGAAAACATTAAATGAAACCATGATATTTCTGTTGCGCGGTTGATTCTGTTGCATCAAGATTATTTGGAAAGTTAATAACTTTCTGCGCGTGTTCATTCTTCTTTGCCAATTCTTTAGTCAGAAACAGCTCGTCGTTGAAATCGTCTCGGTCTCGGAACATATTTATCTAAACTGCGGATATCAAATGCATAGACTTTTAAGTGCAATATCTTCGTGCTTACGGTAGATGCATTCGTAGCGTAGTCGATTCCAGAGTTTAACATTATCAGTGAAAAAAAAATGTATAACTCGAAAGTTTATATCGCAGAACCTTAGACACACTAAGGCATTGTTACAACGTGAAAACGAAGCAAACAATTATTTTTTTCATTCAAGGTCGTTGTAGAAGATCAAATTTAACAAATTTAGTCACCACTACACAACAAATAACACAGTAGTGTACACCAAATAAGTTTATTTAGGGAAGCCTGCCGAGAATTAAGTACCAACCCGAGGCATATATAGCTCGAGGTATGCATAAATACATTCGCGACTGATATGCCATATACAATCCTGATATACAGTCAATTCCGTACACATTCAAAAATAGTTGTACATTACTAACATGTAAACTTCAAGAGGTCGGAATTAACAGAGATGGGCAACCGCTTACAAGGACATTACTACGGTTATACGGAGGCCAGAAAAAAACCTGCCAGAAAAAACCCCTCTGGGGTCGTATCTAGAGAAGACTAAATGTAGTATTTCTGCCTTATTCACATATTCAATAGTCAGAAATACCATATTTAGTCTCCACTACACAACAAATAACACAGTAGTGTACACCAAATAAAATTATTTAGGGATGCCTGCCGAGAACCAACCCGAGGCACACAAACACTGACAAAGAATTGGGCAAGATGCACGAGGCTAGGTGATATTATACCGCTAAAAAGAACACGAAAATACCCTCAGAGCCCAAGAAAACGCAGTACTTCAAGTCGTTGTTCAAGATTATCTTCTACGTATGTGTCTTTGACAGTTTCCTCTAAAAGATGTTGTAAATACAAAGCCAAATTTAGCCTAGAAGGTTAAACGTTTTCCTGACTACCTGTTTACGCGAATTGTTTTCATCGTATTGGGAAATGAGTCCTAGACAGTTTGGAAATTCGAAGTCGATTACGGTAAGAATTTCATACTCGGACTTGTTACGGGTGGTCATATAACCAAATCATTTGCAGCATACGTTATGCACATCGAAAGAGGCCGAAGGCTTCGGTGAAGTGATCTATCAATAACGACGAGACAGTTTAAAGGTGATCGTATCAATACACGACTTAAAAACTGTCATCAAACGAAAACACCCACACTCAGATGGAATACTTCCAAACCACATTTCGCTTTTGACAATGAATCAATTGTCGCCTGTTCCCCTTAAAAAGGAAGTCATGTGGATGATATATTAAGTTTAATTGAATTACACTCAATGTAATTAATTTGAATTTAATTGAATTAAACTCAATTTATCTCCATCATGAGTCATGAACAGTTAGATGGACGAAAGTGAAACAAGCGAACTACACGGATCCTGGTCATTTAGCTTCAAATTGAAAGCAAATTGGATTTCATAATTAAGCTAGGTTTGTGCAAATGTAGACATCTCACATTGAATGACGATATCTGTATCACACAATCAAGTTACGTTTGTAATGTAAATGTAAATATTTAAAGAGTCAATAACTGGAGACAGGTCAAGATATCTTTAGCATAAATGTTAATCGAGTCGTTTTTTCTGCACAAAACTAAATTGAGGAACATTTGTATTTCACATTTAAGCCAGGTTTGTACAAATGTAGATCTCTGAAGACTCACATCGAACGACGACATCTGTATCACGCAATCAAGTTACGTTTGTAATGTAAATGTAAATATTTAAAGAGTCAATAACTGGAGACAGGTCAAGATATCTTTAGCATAAATGTTAATCGAGTCGTTGTTTCTGCACAAAACTAAACAATAATTTCGCAGATATTTACAAGCAAGCTTTTTAATTAATCATGATCTTCGTTTAACTACAACAAGGCTTAGTTTTCTCTACACAAGCTGTGACTGAGAAGTAGAAAAAGACGTTTAATTGAATGCGAGCAGAATGTTTTGAAAAGTGGAAATGAGTTCAGTTGACCTTTATCATCAAAGTAATTAAAACCACGTGTAGAAATAATAAAGGCTGTGAGACTTACAAGCAGAACCTAATGGAAATTCAAGAGAACGAAAGACGACCGAAACTCTATTCCCTCTCCGTTTTTAACTCTAGCTCCCATGACTCAGCACAAGTCATCAGGGTAAGAAAGTGCGATTTTAGCAGTCTACGGCAATAAAAATTAAAAATTTGTCGCCGAACAAATAAAAAAGACCATTAATGAACAATCACCTTTTTGCGCTCTCGTTTTCTCGTCTAATTTCAAACGTTTGACTGTTTGAAGAGGTTAGTGATCACTGATCATTGCCAATACTTGATCAGTGTTTGCTTAGCCATTTTAAGCTAAATGAACCTTAAAGACTATCAAGAAAGGAAAACGAATCCTTGCCATAGACGACAGAGATTTCAGCGCTTCCCTGAGTTCTTTAGATTCAAGATCATGGAAGAAAAAAGTAAATTGGTTGCGTTACTATTCCTCGGACTCCTTTGCGATTCAAAAAGCGTTAGAATCTTTCATAAAGACAGGGGAGAGTCTACCTTACACCCCGATGTCCTTTCTTCGCTAAGGAAAGCAATAGGAGCACAGTTGCTGACAATTCATGCACTTTTAACTTAATCCTGTTCGGAAAGTGCCGAGAAGGAATGTTGATGATCGCGTAGAATGCTATTACGATGAAAAATATAGCAACTTCTGTTCGCCGTTGAAACTTTCAAGTGTGTTATTATCAAGACCTTCTCGCCATGCGACTGAGAATGAGTATTGACCCATTATCATCATTATTTTTCATCATATTCATCAAATCTCTTTTATCAGGTATTACTACTCTAAAGCCCAGTGTTTCGGCGGCCAACAAGGTTGTGATAGCAAGAAAAGGTTTCAATGTAACCTTGATTTCGCCTTGCCAGGAAGGTTACATCTCTTACAACCTCAGACTCCTGGGAAATCAAAGGACTAGAATTAATAAAAAGTTACAACAGAGTAGAAATTCTTTAGCCACACTGCTGAAAAATGACTAATTCGTACCACAGTGGCTGACTTCAGTATTACCAAAAGTTTTTTTAAAAAGCCACAGACTGAGAAATGAATGTATAAGTATATACAAATAATTTGTGTCCCACCTTTCTTTGAAGCTATGCACTCTCATCCCGTCCATCTCAGAGAGCGACTACGAACTCCTCTTGTGTCCATGAAAGTTTTAATTTCGTATTGTTTCTTTTACCTTTTTCTTAAACCAGGTGTTATTGCTCTGAGGCCCAAGATCTCCGTGGTCGATAAGGCTGTTGTTGCACAAAAAGGTTCCACAGAAACCTTGATATGCTCTGCCACGAGGGTTAGAAAACTTTCAACCTCAAGCTCTTGGGAATTCAACGGACAAGAAATAAAGAAAAGAAACAACAAAATAATAATACCAGAGCCACACTATCAAACAGATAAAAGAAAAGGAAACTTTACTTTAACCATCAAGAATGTTTCGGACACAGATGTTGGTACATACACCTGCAAAGTCTCCAAAATAAACCTTGACGAGATGCTTGAGGCAAAGGAGAATATAGAGCTGTCAATTCAGGAAGAAAGTGAGTTTAACCAACATTTCTCTTCTCTTTTACCTTAAAAGGTGCTGCAGCTCATTCTCATTTTTCGTCACTTAGGGGAGAAAGGAGAATAACATCCGGTCTTCATGACAAACAACACATCAAAACACACGTCCCTCACTCCCTGGAAAGTCGCTTGAGTTCCTTCCATCTCTCCATCCCTCCCTACCTCGATCTCCACCTCATCCAAGACAATAGAAATGTGAGAGCCCGTTTAGCGTCTATCTCTTTTTTAACCTTATGAATCGCATACATGTAACGTGAATGATTCAGGCTGAGTTTGAAAAACGCAGAAAGCGTGATGAAACCTTGATGTGTAAAATTGGTGTCTTGTCCATTAGGGTGTTCTTCTCAATAAATGTCACTCTTCATTGGGGCGGGTATCGAAGGCAGGCTCAACTCCATAAGTAAACTGCAAGGTTCTCATCTCAGATCTACTTTCATGTGTATCTGAAAGTGTACATAAGTCAATCCATTACCGATACTTTTTTCTTCTACCAGTACTCAACGTCACTTCCACGCAGACAAACATCGCCCTCGACGAAGGAAGCACAATAACTCTCACTTGCAGTGTCATCTTTTCAGAGGCTTTCGCTGTGGTCGTGTACTGGCTTTTGAACGGAAAAATAGCATCTAAACCTGAAGTATTGCACCAAGAAGTGAATGGCATGTCCTTGGCAAACAAAGTTAAACGACTCGGCATAACGCTGGAACTGAAACATGTGACCCACGCCCAAAGTGGAATCTACACATGTGGTGCAAACTCCACCATTGATTTAAAAACACACGACATAGCTGTGAACATACGTGACACACAAGGTCCAGATTTAAAAGCGCGCGCTTATGACTGATTCTGCTTCTCTTTGTCAACAAAATGAAGACTTTTCATTGTTTACCAACCTTACAGATAAAATAGAGTCTATTGACTTAAATTAAGCTGAGACGAATTTTAGCCAAAAGGCTTAGATATGGATAAAGCCCGTCGGTACATTTGATCTGTCAGCTTCTCTTGTGTTGACAGTTTCAAGATTTTTCCCATTTTATTTTCAGAAGAGATAAAAAAAAAGATAGAAGTTCCATGCTGTTCTTGTTTGCTTTTCTGATGTCCCTTAACACTGCATAAACATTATTAAGGCAACCACATGCTTAAGATGTGAGAAGAATCTGTCCTTAAGAGGCCCTCTCCACCCAGGTGATTCAAACATTGCTGAAGGCGCAAGGGAATTATTGCTAGTTCTAGTTAACCTTCATAACATTATTTTTCTTCACCGAAAAACTGAATTATCCGGTACGACGATGTGGACAGATGGTAACAAAACAGTCATGGTGTCAAGTCTTCTGATTCGTTTGTAATTTCTTAACTTAGGGGAATTATTAACTCAAAATTAGCATATGAATAGAAAATGAAAAGTCTCATAATGAAAGAACTTTCCTCGCCATTCAAATTATGACTGAAATGCAAGTTAACATTTCATTTTCATGGTTAAACCCACCTTCTTTGGGTTAATAAAACCTGTTAGAATAGTAATGTTTGCTCTGATAATGAAGAGCAGTTTCATATCATTACTTTTTTCAGCCTCAGATGACCTTGCTGAGGATTTCCTCAGGGAATATCACAGGTTTTTCCCCCTTACGTATGTTGTAGCGTAGTTTGCATTTTGACAACAAGATAAGTTTTGCCTCCAAATAGAAAGACATGACACAAGATTGTCTTTTAGACCATTAGCTGAATATCGATATAACAGGTTCAGGTCAATATTCAAATTCGTAAGCGATTGTTAGGAACACTCAACATTGATTTTTTTGTCCGAACTTTATTAAGCAGTCAGATTGCTGTGTGAATGGCTCATCTGGGTCACGACTAGGACTGGGTATGATATCGGATGATCCAGTTCGTCCAAAAGTACCGCTGGAATTGTCGGGTTCCAACCTCGCGCTGGAAAAAGCGCAATTTAGCAGATGATGAATTGGCAATTGCTCTTCGTGAAATTCTGTGTGACGCACTTTTTAGGAGCTAAACATCTAAAACATTGACGACCTTTTCGTTCTCGACGAATTTAAAGCTAAGTGTGGAACATCGAGAGAGGTTTTCTTGAAGCTGGGGCGAACTAAAGACCGGTAGATGTCATTTACTCAAGGAGGAAGACCATAAAGTCAAATTCAACAAAATAAATCCTTTTTTAAGGACAAGGACGTATTATTATTTTATTAATTTCTGTATCATTTCCAGTATAATTTAAATAAGTTAAATTTTATTAAGTTAAGTATAAAATTGACCCTACGAGTAAAACGAATGATTTAAAATAAATACTGTGTTTAAAACTGCTTAAAATTTAATTTTTAAAACTATCTCCCACAAATCTCAGCATTAATCTGTAGTAATCCAGTCTATACACGCAATTGGTGCAATCTTTGCTATTTGCGACACATCGATTAGTTAAACGGGGTGTGTGCTGACTGTGCAAGTATAACCTTTTACGTTAATCATAGATTAATCTGCATTAGGTGAAAAAAGAGCAACGATACACGATCGCCGAAACTAGAGAATTACTTTAAATACCTATCTGATCCAAGCGCTGAAAAAAGGGGAGCCTCCTGGACAATTAATGAAGCTTCTGTTACCTGAATGTTTGAGTGTATGAAAGTGCAACAAAAATATATCAATGAAAATTTAGCAAGTTAGCCGACCCTTAAGATGAAGATTTCATTCCCAAAGAGCAACACATGCCTTTTTTTATTGTTTTTCGTAGTAGCAGTAATGTAGTTTGACGTCCTTCGTAATAAAAGACGCTGGTACCTCTCCATTATATGAATTTTTGTTTTCTCGGTCTTCACAGTCCCAGAATAACCACTCTTCTGTGACACGCATGCCCAAAACTACCTGGCAACGGCCTGAGTGCTTCAGGAGGAAAAACGGCTCGCGAATGGGCAGCTCGATAGGGTTTTCCGCTGACCCATCTGATCGACAGCAGAACTGCAAAGTAGTATCCTTTTTGTATTCACCGTCAGGTAAAATGCCTTCAGCCATGTTGTCGTTTTTCGTGTCCTCGTCGTCCCATTTGATCTCTCCTTCTTGAAATCCTGTCGCACACAAGAAAAAACTACCTTGAATCTCGTTACTCGGTTGTAAATATTTTCATTGTCTAATCTTAGTATTCATATGCCTTCTTTGGTCCGGAAATTAAATCAATTCTTTATTATAAAAACGTTAGCTGTTAGATCTGTGAAGCTTTTGAGGTCGACATCATCATAGTTGATATCAGAACCATGCAAGTTCTTACAGACCCTTTCCTGGGATGGCCACGGATCAAAATGCACAGTTTTGGTTATCTCGCAGAAGTAGGGCCACATAACACAAAAAAAAAGACCAAGGGAAAGAATGAGAACCAGCGAAAAAAAAAAAGGTTCAAGGTTCATGAACCACAATGGCGAAAGATAAGTTCATATAAGGTCGCTCTCAAAAACCATACACCTTACCGCCTGGGCACGTTCCCTTTCTGTATATACAATATTGCCCTGATGGCCAAAGTCTTCCCCCCGTTTCAGTTGTCTTTACACAGAAATGCTGAGTAATCTGGGTGGGAGTCTTATCTCCTTTCAAGTGAAGTGGACTGGACCAACTACTTCGTGGACCTGTTTCCTCTGTGTCTTGCCGATGATAACCCGCTGACCAAGTGAACTCACTTGTAATTGGACAGCCACTATTTGGCATCGGCAAAGCATAAGTTCCTCTTGGCCACGACACTAGAATTGGTAATAAATGAAAAACTAAGTTTTCAGAGCATCAATTACACATTCGTTGTGAACAGCAAAACCTTGGAATTTGGTCAAAGTTGAAGGGTCTCGGCAATTTCGGTGTTACTGCGATTAAATGGAAATTCTCTATTCTCAGTTCTCCATTGATTTTGATTTATTGGTTCTTTTTCTTTTTAATTACCATTTCTTTGCACAGATTATGTTCCAGTGAATTTCTACTAAGAGAGCAGCGTTGGAAATAAACCAGTGAAATGGTTTTACGAGAAATCAAATGGGGCACAGTAATTGTCAAGTGGCATTTTGAGAGATTTAGAAATATAGATGTCAACAATTTTCTTCGTAATACACAAATATGCGAATGCATATCAGGGCTTCAAACGCAATTATACTGCAATCAAGACCTTTTTCCTATTAAATGTGAACATATCAGGGATTAAATCAAATTTGGTCTGACACGTCTGTCATCCCCTCTACCCTTTCCTAACGCCAGATGCAAACCAAATGCAAACGTAGCTTGGCCTCAATTCCCTTTTTCATACCCTTCTACAAGATGCATATGTTTTCTCTTTACTTGGAATTCTAATTGGCTCATGTTGATGTTCTCTTTGTTCTGACTGGACTTTGTTTTACGCGATTCGATTGCAAGGCTCTCTTTTGAAGGTTCAGAGGAGGGCACGAATGCCATTGTTTTAAGGCTTACTCACCAGTTTTGAATAAATTCAAATGAATAAAAGTCTCTTTGACGATCGCCTTTCCAAAGTCGGCCGTAGATGCGACACACGAATAGTTACCGATATCTTCCTTCGAGACATTTGTTATATGTAGCGAAAAATTCCCTCGTCTCTTTGGGAGGAATTTGACAATGGCTCTCTTGTTTGAGCTTTCCTCGATTTCCTGGCCCTCGAACTTCCACTTAACCATGGTATCGAGCGCTTTCACCCTCCGACCAATGCACGTCAAAGTAACCTTGGAACCCTCGCTGGTCACTACGTAGGAGCGAAGTGCCTTAACGACAGGCAGGATTACAGAGACAGCTGTATGGAGAAAAGGCCAGAGTCTCAGATTACTACACTAGCAGCAGTAAGTGCCCAAGAATACAAAAATTTGCAATTGAAACTCACCTTCATCCTGAAGTGACAGCTCTATATTCTCCTTTGCCTCAAGCATCGCGTCAAGGTTTATTTTGGAGACTTTGCAGGTGTATGTACCAACATCTGTGTCCGAAACATTCTTGATGGTTAAAGTAAAGTTTCCTTTTCTTTTATTTGTCTGATAGTGTGGCTCTGGTATTATTATTTTGTTGTTTCTTTTCTTTATTTCTTGTCCGTTGAATTCCCAAGAGCTTGAGGTTGTAAGTTTTCTAACCCTCGTGGCAGAGCACATCAAGGTTACTGTGGAACCTTTTTGTGCAACAACAGCCTTATCGACCACCGAGATCTTGGGCTTCAGAGCAGTAACACCTGATTTAAGAAAAATTTAAGGGAAAGAATGCAAAACTTATAGTTTCATTGACACAAGAGTGGCTCGCTGTGCTTTGTGAGATAGACTCGGTAAGGGCGCAAAGATTAAAAAAAAGGCGGAACATAAATTTGTTGAACTTACGCATTCCTTTCCCAATCTTAAAAGAAAGTTTATGGTAGGAAGTCTTCTACTGTGGTACAAATTAATCATTTTGAGAAAGGACATTTCAGTTGCAATATGGACAATCGATAAAGAGATGCATCACTGAAAATACGTCTAACGCTGCCGTCAATAAATTTTCAGTCCTCTTAGAAAACAAATACACTGGTAAGGTTATGTTCATGTCTTTCTGCCCCATGATTTCCGTTACATAAAAGATTGATCGGAGAATGGAATGAAATTTAGGTGAGCTCGAAACGCCATAGTTTGCGTGTTATTGAAAGGCGCAGTAACGTATTTATTTGGTAAGAAGAGGATCGCTATCTTTCTGCATTCAAAAATCTGGCTCCCCTTTTCTGTTGACAGGAATACTACGGGAGTTATGCATAAATATTATCTAATTATCAGGTCAAAGGAGCTCTCTGGCCTATTGTCTCAGAAGACAGGAGCAAATCCAGGTTTCCGTTGCAGCATTAAGGGGCCAGGGCGCAGTTGTCCGAAGACCGATTAGCGCTTTCCCTGGGTTAAATTTTAATCCGGATTTCTTTATTCCTTTGTTAAAAAGCCCCTTTTGGACAATTTTCTCTATCCTTTTAAGAGTATCCAATCATCAAATTTTAGATAAAAGGAATGATAGTGAGTTTTCTATTAAAGCTTTCAAATATGAAGTCAGACTTCACAGTAACCCTGGGTTGATCTAAACCCAGCTTTGAGCAACCTAGTCCAGGTTTCTTATAGAAGGGACGCCAGTCCATTAAAGGTGTCTCCCTCAGCCTCTTTTGAGCTGAGTTTCTCTGACAGATTTTCATTACTCATCGAAGTACTCCTGAGCGGGGAGAGATGCTAACACTGAATAAGCGTTTGGCGCATGAGCACAACACAATAACCGCGGTTAGGGCTCCACCTCATACGTTTCGATCTTTTCTTTTGGGCTAACATCTATTTTCTATTTAAATCGTTTACTGTTTCGGAAATTACATCTAAATGTGGATTAACTTTGCTAGGAAGTTTTTTTATTGTGTGCAAGAGGGCTGAAAACACTAAATTGACTGAAACTTTACAGATAAAGTGCTACAGTGCCTAGATCAGGTTTTTCATAAATAATGCTGTGGTTGTTCATCATGGCGAGGCAAAATTATTCCACAGCCGTCTAATGAGCCCTCGAGGAACTTCATGGCTAATTTCGGGCCCTCCAGTCTGGTGGCTCACTAAAGAGAGTGGCTGAGGAGAGGGCTAATCAGAGCTCATTCAGAGTCACAATGAGAATCACAAAACACCTTATAAAGTACGCATTTCTTTGATGAAAAAAGCCTAAATGTATGTAATCATTTACGTAGCATTATGATAGTCATATGATGGATTCTCTTTCTTTTTCTATCAGGGAAAAGGGAAGGAGAGGCTTATTTTAAAAGGATGGCTCAACAGAGTCTATAAAAATAAGGCACTTGACGTTTTTCTCTAGATAACGAACTCATTACCCTCAGAAGACTACCTGTAAGCAGTCGACACGTCGCTATCTTCATCGGAAGCGACTAAATCGTGAGACAAACGATCTTACTTTTCTATGATCTTAGGTATAATGTGACAAGGAAAAAAAACCTTTATCGCGAGTCCGGGGAAACCCCACAGAAGATTTATTTAAAGGAACAATCAATTGGAGCTATTCAGAGCACGACTATGTACTTACACAGAGCCAATTTATACGGTCACCTCGTTCAGCATGATCAGGCATGAAATGAGGAGCACATGCTCTTACTAATTTAGCTTACGTGCACATTTTTTCGGGTAATTTGACTCCTTTTCAAAACAAAGATCATTAAAACTCACCTGAAATTAAGTAATAATGTCCTAAAATACAGGTGATAAAAACAGCTCCTCGGAAAGTCATTTTGACGACAATGTTAATGTGGCATTCCCCAAACAAGTGGAGCAAAGAGAAAGCAAGCTAAATGTCTATTTTAATTGTCTGACACTCCTAACACGTTCTGAAACAATTTGATTTGTCTAACAATGACACCTGCTCATAGCACAAGCTCGTAACCCATCGTCTTTCACTTTTGTCCACGACGATATGCTATGAACATCCGCGCTTCAAATACCTATTTGTTTAGTGAAAAATAACAAAAGAAAGGCAATCAGACCTTCATATTTCATATCTCCAAGGCGAACACGTGCATTTACGTAGAACTTCTTTGTTTCCAAGATAATCAATCATCGAATTGTCAAAACATCTGAAAACCCTCAACGCCTAATTCAAATTGTATTTTAAGAGCTTGACATGAAATGGTCGTCGAAACTGAAACAATTCAACTTTTCCAATTAATTGGCTTTCGCGTGAGTTTACGCGACTCAAGGCCATGACTGAAAAAATTCATTCCCATGTCTTATAGTACTCCTATTTTTCGGATAAACGACTCTTGACCGCGTACAAGAAGATCCCTTCTTCTCAAGCAGGTTCAACAGTCGTCATGGACGATAGATCAATAAATTTACTCTTCGAACTTTCTTCGATCCGAGGCCTTCCTTACTTATCTGTAGTAAGCTATTTTAAAAGCGGAATCAAAGACTTGTCGTGGAAAAAGAAAGCTCGTTCTTGTTCTTCCGTCTCGTTTCCTCCAGTATTGTCTTCCTGGATGAAATACATCCTCTCCTTGAGTATACATCCATGCCTGCTTAATCACGGTTCGAAACGTGCACAAAGCAAAGGGATATATATCGTTCTCTCAACAACTAGTTTCCGTGAGACATTCTTACCATATTAGAGAAGATCGAAGCTGCCTTGAAGGTCCGAATTGACAGAGAAGAATGAACACGCGCAGAAAGTTATTAACTTTCCAAATAATCTTGATGCAACAGAATCAACCGCGCGACAGAAATTTCATGGTTTCATTTAATGTTTTCTTTTTTTGTTTCTTTTTTACGTCTTAGGTGTCTAACATTCCATACGTATCGCTCTCTCCCACCATAGCATCCTTCTTCAAAGCTTTGTTTAGAAACCATCATGCGTCGTGTATAAATTCTGCGTCAGTTAATATACTTCCTATCTCTCTGTTCTACCATTTAATAACCTGTTGCTAGGGTTGTCCATTTTCAGGCCTGGCTTTTTGTGACAGGTATCGAATCAATTTAGTTTACTTGCGATTCATCCATTATAAAAAACTAAGTATTGATAGATAACAATGGTATTCATATCAATGAATAGGGTCATTTATCGGCTTGCCCAGCAACCACAGTGATTGACTTCCATCGAAAGTATAATTGTTATTTTAACTCAAATTACTGGTGGCTTTACCATCGAGGCTACAATCAAATCAGGAAGGGGGAGGGGGGGGAGCTGATACGTTATGATATCACCGTGTTTGCAACAGGCTTCCTGATAAAACCCCGTGAGTGCCGCAGAAGCAATGAAATTACTTAAGGATGGATGTCCTACTCTTTAAGAACTCTGCTTAAAAATTCCAGACAAATGAAACTCGCTTTCTGTTACAATTTTCTTGTCAATTAATCTAAAAACTGTTCCGCATTCCCACTTTATCTATTGAAATGAACCCCTCCCCACTTTTACAACACTTTATTTTAGCGGAAACATTATATCATATATCAACCTTTCGAAAGTGAAAATTATTTCAACCCGTGCAGGAAGTAGTCGAAGCTGTTCTTCAGGCAAGCTCTCGAGCAGACGGCTCGGCAAGTAAAACATGAGCTTTCTCTTTGCACCTCTGCTGCTTGGAGCACTGCTATCGGCTTCAGGTAAGGGTACTTCACCTAAAGCAATATGCACGCGTTGATACTGTGAGTCTAGAGAGGGAAACAGCGGTAAGCCACGTGCACGGTTGATCCCGGTGGATTTGGCAGAAAATAATTTATTTCCTCTCTGAAACTTGGCTGTCGCGAGGCAAATCTAAGCAGTGTTGCGTTGTTACTTTTTCCGCAATTGGCAGCATCCTTATGTTAAGATCTAAACTCGATCTTTCAATTTGCACATCTGATATTTGAAAACTAAGATCAATGGTAGCAATATTGGCTGACAGTTACAATGGTCGGGAAGAAGCTAATAAATATAAAACAAGGAGCTTTTGAAAGTGAAAGTCATGCGTAAATTTTGGTTTACGGGTGGGTTAAGATTTATTCTCCGCCAGCTGTTCTTTATTCAGGCGAGTTCGGATATGAATAACAAAACGAAAAAGACCCATTCACCCGATAGAATCACAAACCAAGATAACGGTAGCTTAAATGATGACTGCAGCTTTGCAAGAGTTTGCAAAGCTCAGAAATAGCAAAAGGTATCTCCCCGTACAACTTTTCTTCATAAACAATACTCTCATCTAAATATCCAGATTAGAAAATTTAAAAGTAAAACCCTTAGAAAATAAACTTCATAGAAGCACCCTTCAATGAAACTATAGCAGTACTCAAAAGCAAGTGGTCTTTCTTATTGTCTATAATGTAAAATGAAATCTAGTTAACGACGATCTTGTATGGACACAAAAAGCACCTCTTCCACTCGGCTCGATCATGACTTAAATAGCTCTCATTCGGCTGCCACTCGTTTAAATAATTGTTTTGCGGCGAGTTCTATTACGAGAGTGTTTACTTTCTATTATCAGAACTTGTAGAAATTTAATTCAATTTAAAAGGCAAATAGAGATCGCTTATCTGATGTCGTGTCATTTAATAGACGCCTAGAAGGTTAAACATTTTCCTGGTTACTCGTTTACGCGAATTGTTTTCATCGTATTGGGAAATGAGTCCTAGACAGTTTGGGAATTCGAAGTCGATTACGGTAGGAATTTCATACTCGGACTTGTTACGGGTGGTCATATAACCAAATCATTTTCAGCATACGTTATGGACATCGAAAGAGGCCGAAGGCTTCGGTGAAGTGATCTATTAATAACGAAGAGACAGTTCAACGGTGATCGTATCAATACACGACTTAAAACTATCATGAAACGGAAACACCCACACTCAGATGGAATACTTCCAAACCACATTTCGCTTTTGACAATGAATCAACTGTCACCTGTTCCCCTTAAAAGGAAGTCATGTGGATGATAAATTGAGTTTAATTGAGTTCAACTCAATTTATCATCCACATGACTTCCTTTTAAGGGGAACAGGTGACAGTTGATTCATTGTCAAAAGCGAAATGTAGTTTGGAAGTATTTTCACCATGAGTCATGAACAGTTAGATGGACGAAAGTGAAACAAGCGAACTACACGGATCCTGGTCATTTAGCTTCAAATGGAAAGCAAATTGGATTTCATAATTGAGCTAGGTTTTTGCAAATGTAGACATCTGAAGACTCATATTGAACGATGACATGTGTATCACACAATCAAGTTACGTTTGTAATATAAATGTAAATATTTAAAGACTCAACAACTAGAGACAGGTCAACATATCTTTAGCATAAATGTTAATCGAGTCGTTGTTTCTGCACAAAACTAATCAATATTTTCGCAGATATTTACAAGCAAGCTTTTTAATTAATCATGATCTTCGTTTAACTACAACAAGGCTTAGTTTTCCCTACACAAGCTGTGACTGAGAAGTAGAAAAAGAGGTTTAATTGAATGCGAGCAGAATGTTTGAAAAGTGGAAATGAATTCAGTTGACCTTTATCATCAAAGTAATTAAAAACCACGTGTAGAAATTTGCATGAAGTCAAACAAATAAAGGATGTGGGACTTACAAGCAGAACCTAATGGAAATTCAAGAGAACGGAAGACGACTGAAACTCTATTCCCTCTCTATTCCCTTCCCGTTTTTAACTCTAGCTCCCATGACTCAGCACAAGTCATCTGGGTAAGAAAGTGCGATTGTAGCAGTCTACGGCAATAAAAATAAAAATTTGTCACCCAACAAATGAAAAAGACTTTTGATAAACAATCACCTTTTTGCGCTCTCCTTTTCTCGTCTTATTTCAAAAGTTTGACTGTTTGAAGAGGTTAGTGATCACTGATCATTGCCAACACTTAATCAGTGTCTTTTCAAGCTAAATGAACCTTAAAGACTATCAAGAAAGGAAAACGAATCCTTGCCATATAGATGACAGAGATTTCAGCGCTTCCCTGAGTTCTTTAGATTCAAGATCATGGAAGAAAAAGGTAAATTGGTTGCGTTACTATTCCTCGGACTCCTTTTCGATTCACAAAGCGTTAGAGTCTTTCATAAAGACAGGGGAGAGTCTACCTTACACCACGATGTCCTTTCTTCGCTAGGGAAAGCAATAGGAGCGCAGTTGCTGATAATTCATGTACTTCAGTTTACCTTAATCCTGTTCGCAAAGTGCCTGAAAAGGAATGTTGATCATCGCGTAGAATGCTGTTACGACGAAAAATACAGCAACTTCTGTTCGCCGTCGAAACTTTGTGTTATTATCAAGACCTTCTCGCCATGCGACTGAGAATGAGTATTGACCCATTGTCATCATTATTTTTCATCATATTTGATTCAAATTTCTTTTATCGGGTATTACTACTCTAAAGCCCAGTGTTTCGGCGGCCAACAAGGTTGTGATAGCAAGAAAAGGTTCCAATGTAACCTTGATTCCGCCTTGCCAGGAAGGTTACATCTCTTACAACCTCAGACTCCTGAGAAATCAAAGGACTAGAATAAATAAAAAGTTACAACAGGGTAGAAATTCTTTCGCCACACTGCTGAAAAAAGACTAATTCGTACCACAGTGGCTGACTTCAGTCTTACCAAAAGTTTTTTTTAAAGTGTTAAACGATAAAAATACAACTATATTTAATCTGAAATATCGTAAGGGTTTCCTTATATTGGTATCGGGGAAAGGAGTGGAAATATTATATTACTTTAAACCATTCCTGCAAAAATTATAAAAAGGCAGGTCGGTGAGCTCTTATTCCTTTTGGAGGTCTTATCTCAAGGGTGGAGTTTGGTCACGTTTTCCTCGTTATGATCGTGAAGTTGACATGGAAACAGTTGTTCAGTTTCTACGGTAATTAGAACTCGTGACAGTGTCTTGGGAAAGTTATGTTATTAATTAAGTTAATTTGTTGGTCCAGGAAGAGTGAATCTCTCTGGTAAAAGGTCACGTTCGACACCTCTCGTTCTTAAAGGTGTAAACATGTGATACCCTTCATGTTTTGCAATTAGATAGTTATTATAACTAGCACGTAGCAACTTGGGGGCGGTACTTGTGAACGCCCCTTCTTCTCCAACTTTTGTGATCATAATGTTGTCATTTAACGGTCTTCTAAGGCAATTTTCTGTTAAGATACCTCTTCAGATGTACATACATACATACATACATATACTATTTGTTAAGGCAGGTCGGTTTGCGGCAACCTAAAGGCTGGTGTGGACCTGCCGACAACTTAATTTAAAAAAAACTATATTTATTTAAAATCTTGAATAAAATAAATTAATTAATTAATTAAAATTTAAAAACTAAAAATATAAGAAATCTGATCGTTTTGATGTTATCAGACAGGCCTCTTTTTCGAATTGGAGTTGGTCCTGTATCTTGGAGGCTTGTCTAAGTTTTTGTTTAAAAAGTTGATAGGATGAAGCGTCCTTGATGGCTCTAGGGATTAAATTCCAAACGATGGGTCCTCTATATCTTGCACTATTTCTGCCAATGTTGCTATTGTACCGTACATGCGAGAAGTGATTTGTGCGCCTTAAATTATAATTAGTATTAGTGTTGCAAGTTTCGAAGAGGGCTGTGAGTTGATCAGGTAAGCTATTATGATAGATCTGGTACATTATAGAAGCGAGCCTACGCTTGTAAATATAGACTAGAGGTTTCCATTTTACAAGGTCGAGAACGTCAGTGTCAGGAGTTTCGGTAGGGAGTTTGTGAACTAGTTTGGCTGCTTTCAGGTGCAGATGTTCTAAAATATAGAATGTAGATGTGAATAATATTCTGTCAGTAGGTTAGTTATGATTTTTATATTACCAATCTCGTTTCTGTTCTGGCCAATCTTAACTGTAAGAATAAGAAAATTTAAGGTTTTGATTTTGTAACTGCGTAAATAACTCGAAGGCGCATACCTAGTAAGCAGGAACTGTCATACGTAACCTAACATGATTCGCTGGCTGAGATGGAACGATGACGATACAAGAAGATTGACCGCTTAGTAGTGTCATCTGCAGTGTCACCTTTATAAATGATGACCCTCGCTTTTCTCATTAGATAGGAGTTAGTCCCCGTCGTAAGAACTTGAGAAGAAAAGAGATTAAGGAAGAATCAACCAAACAAACAACGAGCGTTAGAGATTTTACATCTAACAAAAGCCACAGACTGGGAAATGAATGTATAAGTATATACAAATAATTTGTGTACCGCCTTCCTTTGAAGCTATGCACTCTCATCTCGTCCAACTAAGAGAGCGACTACAAACTGCTCTTGTGTTCATGAAAGTTTTAATTTCGTATTGTTTCTTTTACCTTTTTCTTAAATCAGGCGTTATTGCTCTGAAGCCCAAGATCTCCGTGGTCGATAAAGCTGTTGTTGTACGAAAAGGTTCCACAGTAACCTTGATGTGCTCTGCCACGAGGGTTAGAAGACTTACAACCTCAAGCTCTTGGGAATTCAACGGACAAGAAATAAAGAAAAGAAACAACAAAATTATAATACCAGAGCCACACTATCAGACAAATAAAAGAAAAGGAAACTTTACTTTAACCATCAAGAATGTTTCGGACACAGATGTTGGTACATACACCTGCAAAGTCTCCAAAATACACCTTGACAGGATGCTTGAGGCAAAGGAAAATATAGAGGTGTCAATTCAGGAAGAATGTGAGTTTAAACAACATTTTTCTTCTCGTTTACCTTAAAAGGTGCTGCAGCTCATTCTCATTTTTCGTCACTTAGGGGAGAAAGGAGAATAACATCCGGTCTTCATGACAACCAACACATCACAGACACACGTCCCTCACTCCCTGGAAAGTCTCTTGAGTTCCTTCCATCTCTCCATCCCTCCCTTCCTCGTTCTCCACCCCATCCAAGACAATAGAAATGTGAGAGCCCGTTTAGCGTCTATCTCTTTTTTAACCTTATGAATCGCATACATGTAACGTGAATTATTCAGGCTGAGTTTGGAAAAACGCAGAAAGCGTGATGAAACCGTGATGTGTAAAATTGGTGTCTTGCCATTAGGGTATTCTTATCAAATCAATGTCACTCTTCATTGGGGCGGGTATCGAAGGCAGGCTCAACTCCATACGTAAACTGCAAGGTTCTCATCTCAGATCTACTTTCATGTGTATCTGAAAGAGCACATAAGTCAATCCATTACCGATACTTTTTTCTTCTAACAGTACTCAACGTCACTTCCATGCAGACGAACATCACCCTCGACGAAGGAAGCACAACAACTCTCAATTGCAGTGTCATCTTTTCAGAAGCTTTCGCTGTGGATAAGTACTGGCTTTTGAACGGAAAAATAGCATCTAAACCTGAAGTATTGCACCAAGAAGTGAATGGCATGTCCATGGCAAACAAAGTTAAACGACTCAGCATAACGCTGGAACTGAAACATGTGACCCTCGCCCAAAGTGGAATCTACACATGTGGTGCAAACTCCACCATTGGTTTAAAAACACACGACATAGCTGTGAACATACGTGACACACAAGGTCCAGATTTAGAATTCACACAGAAAACTAAATCGTATGTTGAAATTACAAACGGTACAAATGTTACGTTAAGTTGTCTCGGAATTTACCCAGCAGCATTGTTTGATGAGACTTTCTGGCTTTTTAATGGCAGCCAAATAAAAAGTAACAAGCACTTTGAATTGAACAATGGTTTCGTTGAGAACAATGAGGAAAATATTAAAAGGAGACTTCTCAGCTTAACGATATACAACGCTGGGGTTGAAGATAGTGGAAAGTACGAGTGCGTGCTCAACACTTCACATGGCTTGCGGAGGAAAAACATCAAGGTTTATGTGACATTTTTCCCAGGTAAGGGTTTCTTTTCTATTCGCTCCTGATCTTTTACTGCAATAAAAACAGCGACTCCTTTACGCAAAGTGCCTGAGAGGAATGTTGATGATCGTGTAGAATGCTGTTACGACAAAAATATAGAAACCTCTGTTCGCCTTTGAAACCTTGCGTAATTATCAAGACCTTCTCGCCATGCGACTGAGAATGAGTATTGACCCATTGTGATCATTTTTTTTCAACATATTTGATTCAAATTTCTTTTATTGGGTATTACTACTCTAAAGCCCAGTGTTTCGGCGGCCAGCAAAGCTGTACATCTCTTACAACCTCAAACTCCTGGGAAATCAAAGGACTAGAATTAATAAAAAGTTACAACAGGGTAAAAATTCCTTAGCCACACTGCTGAAAAATGACTAATTCGTACCACAGTGGCTGACGTCAGTGTTACCAGAAGCATTATTTTTAAATACACAGACTGGGGAACGAATGTATAGGTACAAACAATTCGTGTCCCGATTTCCTTTAAAGCTATGTACCCTCATCACTTCTATCTCGGAAATTAAGCGACTGCTGACTGCTCGTGTGTCAATGAACCTTTTAATTTCGTATTTTTTTTCTTACCTTTTCTTAAATCAGATCTAAAGCCCAGGATCTCGGTGGTCAATAAGACTGTTGTTGCACAAAAAGGTTCCACAGTAACCCTGATATGCTCTGCCACGAGGGTCATACAAAATAAAACTTCAAGCTCCTGGGAATTCAACGGTCAAGAAATAAAAAAAAGAAACAACAAAATAATAATACCAGAGCCACACTATCAGAAAGACAAAAGAAAAGGAAACTTTACTTTAACCATCAAGAATGTTTCGGACACAGATGTTGGTACATACACCTGCAAAGTCTCCAACAAACACCTTGACAAAATGCTTGTGGCAAAGGAAAATATAGAGCTGTCAATTGAGAATGGTGAGTTTAATCAACATTTTCCCTCTTTTTTACATTAAAAGGTACTGCAGCTCATTCTCATTTTTCGTCACTTAGGGGAGAAAGGAGAATAACATCCTGTCTTCATGAAATGAAACACATCACAAAAACACTTCCCTCACTCCCTGGAAAGTCTCCCCAGTTCCTTCCATCTCTCCATCCCTCCCTGCCTCGTTATTCACCTCATCCAAGATAATGGAAATGCGAGAGCCCGTTTCTATTTTACCCCTATGAATTACAAATAATTAACGTAAATGATTCAGGCTGAATTTCGAAAACGCAGAAAGCGTGATGGAACCGTGATGTGTAGAATTGGTGTCTCGTCCATCAAGGTATCCTTCTTAAATCAATGTCACTCTACATTACGGCGGGTATCGAAGGCAAACTCAACTCCATACGTAAAATACGAGGTTCTCATCTCAGATCTACTTCCATGTGTATCTAAAGGTGCACACAAGTCAATCCATTACCTATACTTTTTTCTTCTAACAGTACTCAACGTAACTTCCCCGCAGACAAAGAGGGTAATATGGTACCACTCCCTGTTAATTCACATTTAGTTTTTTTTTTTTCAAACAAAAGAGACAAGTCGTCTAATGCTAAGCTGGAGTCTGCATAAGAGACTACCCAGCATAACCACTGCAGACTCGTTTCACTTTCCACTCGGGGAAACCTGCTAAAGGTCTGGTGCTGATTTTAATTCTTAAAATTTTTTTGAATCACAGAAAGCGATCAGGATGTTGATGCCCCAGTAAACACGGTGAAAGAAGAAAACAAGCGCTTACAGTTAGCACTATATATATCTCTGGGACTGTTCGCTGGAGTGGTAGTTACCATAGGAATTTTGGTCAAGTTATATTATAAAAGAGAACCTAAAACTCTTCCATCAAGTAAGCGAACGCGTATTCTTATATGCACGCAGAGGTACAGGCGTCTTATAAAAACGGAAGACGTATACGACCCAACGTTTTATGTCCGCGAAACTTCAACTCCCTCGTCCACCAAAATTCCGCAATGGCGATCACAATTTTTGCGTGGAAACTGACCACGTGTATGATCGCCAAAAAAGGATGTCTTGAGTGAAGACTACGCTCGTTTACATTAAAATCAATGAGAAAAAAATAGCATATTCTTGGCGGAGGAAAATAGTCAGCGAAAAAGTCCTAGAGACTTCAGTTACTTGATTAGAGAAAAGGAAAAAGAAGAACATCGTAGAAATATGACCTAGCTCTTACGAAACTCAGTCGAAAAGTGCCCTAACACCAAATTCTCAGGACTATCCACGAAGGAAATATTTATTTATGGTGGTTGGAGGAGCTAGCTATGAGATATTTCGCGTTTTTCAAATATTTTGAACAGTTTTGCGTTTATTTAACCTTTTTTTGAGTATCTGTATTGCGTTTGTGAATTTTTTCAACTACACAACGGTTTTAGTCGTAATATTTGTTAACAAAGAATTCTAAAAATTTTCTCTTCTTAGTAAAACCTGTCCCAAATGATGAACCAATCTACGAATATGACGTCTTTATCACCTACAGCAGGAAAGACTCTAATTGGGTGGATAGCAAGCTACTAAGCTTGTTGAGTGAAAACCAGGTCAAGTACTGCATCGATAAGATGCATTTCAAACTTGGTTATCCCATTCTGGATTCTATCGCCGATAGTGTGTACCAAAGCCGTTACGTGTTGGCAGTGTGGTCGGGGAGTTATGCAGCCAGCAGATTTTGCAAGCAAGAGCTCGACTATGCCTTACACAAAAGTTTTCATTACAGTGATTACTCAGTAATATTGATCGGTCTCGAATCGATTAGTCTCAAAAAGTTACCGAAACCATTACGAGCAAGAACATTTCTCAACTATTCTGACAGTGTTGATAGAGAAGGATGGGAAAAACGGCTCGTAAAGCATCTTAAAAGATCTGTACCTGAAAAGTATGTGCATGTGCTAGGAACTCCTGTCTGACTACATACATTGCGTTACGACACAGACATCTGTTATTTGTCGGTGTTTCCTTTAAGTGTTTACTTTCTTTAGAAAGACATATTTTTGTTATTTCCCTCACATTGAAGGTGACTTCACAAGCCATGGCGAACGAGTCAAGATACCTTGTATATGCTAAAGTTAGTAGTTATAAAAAGCATGATATCTGTGCAAAAAAATTGATGGGGACAATGAAAGTAAGAGCAAATTGTTTATTTGGCATTGAATAACTTAATGGGTCTTCTCAGTCTAAAACCAGACCGTTGGTGAAGATAAACGCCTCCGCGAGAAATTTAATTGAAAATTCTGTTTTCCATATTGAAAAACGCCAGTTACAAGCGGAAAATTATGGACAAAAACGAAAAATGAAATAAAAATGAGGACAGCAACAGTTATATGTTTTATACTCGTTTTCCTGTCACAGATATTAAGTGAGACGGAACATCAAGAAACAATAAATTACCCTCGACTTGCTTGGAAGAGACGGTTTTTTCAGAAACCATATTGACCCTTTTCTCTGGAATTAAAAATTATGAGTAAAAATTTATCTCTTATGCGTTTTGAGATTCCAGAGCCCGTACTCTTTGTCTTCCTAATAGTCCATTTTACAGTTGTGTGCTTGGTTGCCAAGCCTTTGAACAGGAGTGAGGCTAAGGGTGACCTTGTTATGATACAAACCTTGCTGCTTTTGAAATGCAAATTAATTTGTTATCATGCTAACTAGATTCTGGTCTCTAACACAGCCAGGTCACCTTCAGCCTCACTCCAAATCAAAGGCTTGGCAACTAAGTACACAACTGTAAAATGGCCTATTGTTCAAATATCATGAAACAGGCAGCCTGTGCGTCAGTCAAAATGGCGTTTTATCGAGAACGCACACGTTGCTGTGACCAGATACATACTGTGATTCTTTCCCTTCTCACAACGACTATTTGAAATCTTTCTTTGTGAAATATTACGGAAGTGTCATTAGAACTAAGTGGGTGAAGCCAAAATTGTATTTATTTCCTACGATAACACTCTTCTCGTACAGTAATTGGAAGACAGTGGAAATCAAACCTGCCATTTTGAAATTAATTCAAAGTGTGAAACGACTATCCGAATACTTAGCGGATGCAATAATTTTGAATGAGATTTTCAATATCGTAACGGTTTTGAAGAACCTTACTCCGGATAACGATTAAAGAATTAGTAATTCATGTTTAACCCAACATGGCCTGTTATTTGACGGGTGAAGAAATTCACTCCTGAAGAAGTAAGAAATACAGAACGATAGTTGTTTGCAATCATTCGTGAGATTCATAGTAGAAATCCGGCATAGTAAGTCACTCCTTAGGAACTGCGGAAAATAATAACAGTGTTTACACCTCAGAGCAATTAGGAACATCGCTCAATTTTGGTAACAATTCGCTCCTCAGATGCATGAGGAGAATACAATGCACAGGTCGTTGTTGTCGTTACAAAACGTTTTCACGCAACGCCTTACTTTTTAGCCGGAAAGTGAGGTGTTGACTCAATGAAAGTTCCCTTTATTAATTTGCAGGAGTCGTAAATGAAATTATAATTAAACAGTAGTCGCTGAAAAAAATGGTCGCTGAAGACAGGAGAAGAAGACATTCTTTGAAAATCATTCATTCGCTTTCGCGCCAAACGCGCAGCTTTCGCGAGCTTTGTTTGCCCAGACTTGTTTCATTTTCAATAAAGTTCTCCGAATTTTTCACACTGCAGAAACCTTTATTGAGAATAAACATATCTCTAATTCAATTTCATGTATCCTAAGCGAGAAAATATCGTAAAGCCCACCTAGTAATTACATTGCTTCCTCTGTACTATGTTTTTGTTTGATGACATCTCGACAGACGCTAGGACGCCGGCGAATTTTTTCTAGTGTTTTCTTTTTCGTAGGCATCTGGAAAGAAACTTACTTTCAAGTAAGCTGGTAAAGAAAATTTTCGTGTTGTAAACTAATTGACAAACAAAAGCTTGCGAATGGAATATTTAATTTTTTGTTTGAAACCACTAGGGACATTCTCCACATTTACCACATACGAACAAGTGTCGCCTCTGGGTTTAGACAGTGGAGGGAAAATATTACAACACAAACCTGTGATCCTATGCTTTCTGTCGTTTCTTGTAAACTACTTTCTTAGACATGTTTCTTTGACATGTTCAATTCAGGCGGCGAAGACAAGAGAGTGTGAAATGTGTAAGTAATGAAATTTTATGTGGTGAAATGATTTGGTAAAGCCTATTTTTGTCACTCCGAACAACGTGCTTGACTTCAGTTTCTGATTGGCTTTAAACCTGACATTGATGAGAGTGGCTTATGAAAACGAGGAATACAGCTGACGCTTCTTTAGGAAAACATCAGAGCGATACTTTTACAAGGATCTAATGAACTAAGACTTTCTTTCAGTGCTACCAAGGCTAACGTTATATTAAAATTTTTTTATTTGAGGATCTTTATTTTACCACCACGTCATAATTTTTTGAAAACTATGTAGACACCCTTCAAACTTTATTTTGCGTAAAATCTCTCACATGACGGTTTTTTTCATAGAGTGTTGAGGGGATAGAATGAAGCAAGACAAGATAATATCAATCGTCTATATACTCTTGAGCAAGAGCAACTTCTATAAGGAGTGCTGAAAAAGAGAATTATATATATTTGAAATAATGATGATGAAAATGACAGTTGTTACTATTTATCAAAAATAGTTCTTACCAAATCTGCTTCGCCTTTTGATGATATGAATATCATATCATCCTAAGCGCTCGTCAGACAGATTCCTGCCTGGTTCTGTCTGACGAGCGCTTAGGCACGAAACTCAGAGTAACAGAGAATCGATGCGTCCTCTTTGATTCTTTCACTTATATATACTCAGCTCTGCTACCACAGCATTGAGCACTTCACGCCAAGGTAGACTCTACCCCCACATTTATTTTTATATATATATACATATATACACACACACATATAAATTTAGAAAAAAAGCTGCACAAGGTAATACAAAAAAATTAAGTTTATCAAGGAAATTAAAAATTTTCATTCCATTTCAAGGGCCTGTCCGGGAGTCGAACCCGGGACCTCTCGCACCCGAAGCGAGAATCATACCACTAGACCAACAGGCCGAGACAACATATAATACGTGAAAAAATTATATTTGAAGAATAACTTTTCCTTACGTGACTAACATTTCAGTGACATCGGTTGGATTGCAATTTACAGATTTATAGTGATACAAAAAAGAGCCGTCAGGTGATTTCCTAATGTTCATCAATTCGTTTACTATAATTCTAGGCTAAGTATTTCTAATGTCGTACCCAGTTCCTACCCTTTTGTAACTTAACTGAACTGTTTGCCATGGTAGGTCTGGGTACGAAACTAGGGTATTTCAGTTTGAAAAAATTTCACCTTGCAATTGAGTGTTCTCTCCTTTAGCTTTTAAAATTTTACTCGATAGAAAAATGCTTCCCTAGAGTAATGACTAACGAAAAGGGGACAGTCGCAAATTTCAACGGTGATATTTTCACTCTTCAACTGTGATACATAATTTGCCTCAATTCAGTGTAATAATTATATGGAAATAATAAAAAATAGTAACGTAGTCCTTGTCACGCGATAGGTTCGAGTTTTCTGTGGCAACAATGGCGGCAGTCCTGAGCAGCAGTCCCGTTCGGATATTAATTCTTGTAACATCACCACATCCTAGTAACTCTTCAGCGTGATAAAGACGACGTATGGAGGATCGTGAAGAACGATGATTGACGTCTACTACTTACCTGAACAATGGAGGAAATCGAAAAATCGATGAAACTTGAATCGTTCCATTGTTTCGCTGGCGAGCTATCGAACTTTTTCAAGTTCAGGAGTACGATTCATCAATTATCGAAGGGAATCGAAAGCAATCAAAAGTCTGAAGGTTTTTTTAGTTCGATCAAAGAATTTTCGCATGAACATCGGTTTATCAGTTATGATTCTCAGGGAAAGAGAGGGATGCATGTGTTCGAATGTTCCCTAAGAGGCACCCTGGCATTAAGAATGAGTGGCTCACAAGATCGATACTTCGCCAATTTAAACAACATTAGACCCACCAAGCTGTCTCGCGAAGTAGATATCTTTAAATTCATAACTGAGCCTTTACCTCTCAACACGGCATGATACGTTCCTCGGCCCGTTCTTTGGTTTTTTGTTCTTTTTTTTTTTTTTTTTTTTCCTCGTTTTGCAAGAATAGCACCATTTAAGAAATAACAGAAAAGTGCATGTTTCCTTCCCACCATGGGGAGTTCACTCGTAAAGGTAAAGATCTATATTTAATGTTGCATCACCAGCCTTTCAAGTCCTTCCTGATACTAAAGGTATAATTACCCAAATTAACCCTGTCATAGGTAAGTGCGGCCTGTTGGTCTAGTGGCATGATTCTCGCTTTGGGTGCGAGAGGTCCCGGGTTCGACTCCCGGACAGGCCCGCCAATTTCCTTTTTATTTCGAGATATTTTGAGTACTTCTGTCTTTCCTTACGTCTTCCTATTCTTTTAATTTTATATTTTTTTCAATCATTCATTATTACTTTCACCAGCTACAGTAGAAAAGCATTTCCTGACAACAAATCCAGACGGGAAAACGTTTAATGCAATCAAAACACTGTAAATAGCTGCATTGCAGATATTCAAAGGGAGAAAAATTTGTAAAAGTTTGGAGACGCTCGAGGGAACACAATATAGGGGGTCAGCAATAAGTTAACAAAAAAATTGGGGATTCTAAACCAGTGTTAACATCTATGCACTAATTTTGTACATTAATAAATTTTAAAAAATTCAGATTTTGGATGCAATATATAAGATATTAGGAACAAATTGACATTATCATCATCGTTGTCAGAATCCCAACCATAAGTATCTACTGTTATTGTAACTGCTGTCAATATTGCTCAGGTAGTGTTTGTTGAAATCATTATCGCTATAATTATCTTCATCGTTATTATTATCATAATCACTATTATTATCTTCATCATTATTATTTTCATCATTATTATTATCATCATCAATGTCATCATCACTCTATTGGCCAATGTCAGTAACATTATTTTGCATTTTGTAAAAAGAAAGCACAGCCACAGCAATCTTCTTATGAGCTGCCTCCAAATGGTTGAAGGCTGGTCAACTGTTATTCTTTTCTTCACATTTAAATTATCCTTCCTGTCTTGTCAACACAAAAAACAACAGTATTTTCTCCCAAAAGCGCTGCAAAGAGGGCTCACTTGCATCCATTTAAAAAAATAATCATGGAAATAAAGAAGGTGAGTACTTATCAAAAAGTTGTAGTTTAGATCCCTATTGGGAGCACTCAGAATTCTTTTTCTCTTAGCATGCCTGTGTAATTCACTGGATAACATCACCTTTCAATAATAATCATGCCTGTCTTTATGCAAAGTGTCTATAATTATTTTGCAGCTGACCAAACCCTTTCACTCTCAAGATCCATTAGTAATCCTCCATTCGACCTTTCCACCTTAGTTATTACAATTCTTATGATGTTGGTGCAGAGATTTGGTTTTGAATCAACTAATAATCTAAAAATCCTAATTGACATTTTTCTTTATTCTTGTTTTATTGTCTGCTTGATATTGTATTGATATTGTAAGGAGAAATTTTCGACTATTCATGGGATTTAAAAGGTTAAAATTTAAGTTACTTATAATAATGGTGTGCCTCCTATCTCTAAAATATACCAAGGACAATACATTGTTGAAACATTCTACCAGAAGACAAATTCAAGGTTTTTGATGTATCTCCAGGAGTAATTCAACTGCATCTGAAATTAAACTGTTTATATGAGACAAATAACTTGTAATTTGAGTTTTAAAATTGACATGACAGAATTTAAGGGTTTAGTAACATGATTGTTGCCTAGGCCCACAAGGTTTGGTAATCTACATTAGAAAAAATGTTTATGCAAAACAAATGACATGTCAAAATCTGACAATGTGCAGGATAAGTCTGTTTCAGGCTAAACAATATCAGACTTGAACTTCAGCAACAAGCCAAAAGATTTGAAAAAATTTCAGTTTACTTCCAGTGCTAGAGTTTGACTAATGGCAACCATAATTCTATCATCACTTGTAATTTTTTTCAGAAGGGAACCTCAAAAACTAAAAGTTCAAAATAATCAATCATGATGTTTATTCATAGTTTTAATTCGATTCTGCCCCTTTGCAGACTGATATCAACAAGACATAAAAAACCATGACAACTACTGATCACGTCAACTTTGTCCCTAACTTTGGGCTGGAAATTGCACGTGTTGATGAAATGCTTGTGGAAACCAAGACAATCACTCTCTTTTATGAAAAATAAATAAATGATAAATAAAAAAATATGTATAATAAAAAAAACGATCAAACAAGCCACGAATTAATAGGTGTTTCATGCTAAACAAAGCAGCTCAGATGTTTGGAGAAGTGAGTATCACTACTGTCAAATGGGAGAATTATGGTGTTTGAAATATTTCTACAAACGTAACGTAGAGTTTTTGTAACGTCTACCCACTCAAAAACAAAAGTAGGGAAACAAATTAATTCGTAACTTACCTACGCGATGTGTGGCGCGAAAACTACTAGCTGGGTAGCCGGGCTTTTCGTAGTGTTGGGCGAAGGCAATGCCAGGGTGGCAGAGGGGTGGTTAGAGCGAACAGAACGGACGTTCCGATCCTCTCTTCCTCACTCGATCTCCACGCTTTTTTTTCGAGAAATTTCAAATTTCACAACTTTTTACAATGCTTTTTTGTCAGTATCAACCTCCACCTGTTGTCCCTAATAGGTTGCCCTTGAACATGACCACGAGGATCGTTTTTTTTCTCCGTAGTAAATGAAAAAAAAATAAAATCACATATTTATTTATACACAATCGCTCTAAAAGTTCCATTAAATTATTATCCTTAACTAGAGCTTAGATACTTAGCGACCAGAGTTGAGAAATTTCTGTTCAATTAACAATTTTTAGTTTTCATAACCATGATTGCGTTCGGTTTATTCTAAAGCGATCGGTGTTAGGTAATCCATCTGATCGAACGCAAACAAGAGCTTTAAATCGTGCAAATTGAGGAAGAAATAAAAAAAGATTGAACCTTGACAAGAGAAAAAGACTATTATGTAAAAAGAAAGAAAAAGGGGCCTGTCCGGGAGTTGAACCCGGGACCTCTCGCACCCTAAGCGAGAATCATGCCACTAGACCAACAGGCCTACGAAATTATGAAGGGGCAAATTATAATATATATTCGTCATGCATCTTTATATTCGTGCAAGGGTAGCCCGTGTGTCCGCGAGATCGCGACACGTAGCGAATAAAATCGGTCCGATCATCAATTTTGAGGGAAATTCGTATCATAATGGGATTTTAATTATTCGCACTATATCAAAAATCTTTTCGGGACTTTCCTCATTATGGAACCTCAGAGGTTTATCAGCTATTTGTCTTCACTCTTCCGCATTCGATTCAAGTTTTGGTCCATTTTATTCCTAACGTATTAACTATTGATTTCGAAAAGCTGAGATTGCGAGTATTGGTTTTAAAACAAGAAAAAAGAAAAAAAACACAGAGGCACAGAGGCCATGTGGGTGGCGAATGAATTCACGTTTTAATGCAGAGTAGTGATCCAATTTCTACATAAGGTTTTCGTTCCGCTGTGGAACTCTCTAAAGTCGGGCATGGAACCGAGTTTAGCGACCATCATGCGAGGCTGACGCGCGACCTGCGTCATTGGGAATCATTGTGACGTCATTTCTTACTTCACTCGTTCACTCGCGCCAAGCGCAAGTTTCCCAATTTTGTGATGGAGGAAAAATAGTTTGGAGACAAATCGGAGATGAAGTGGGTGGCTGCGCTAATAGCGTTTCCACTTTTATTTTTGTTCTCAAACGGTTATAGACAGTGCTAAACTGGAAGGTGAGGTATTTCCTTCCTTTAAAAACATTTTTGTCTTACTAACGAGTAATGACTTTTTGGGCTTAATGATAGGAACAACTTTTTCAACCTGGGTCTTCACGTCAACCGATTTACGCTTTTTGAAGGAATCTCTCAGTTTTCATCGCTAAATCTTTCGAATAATGACATTTGAACTTTTCGAAAAGCACATTCCCATGAAAAATACTTCTAAACACTTTTCGCAAAACAAATATTTCTAGTTGCTATGGTAGCTGTGCGCATGGTTTTCAGTTTATTTCTTTACAGCGCGCGCACCACAAACGGTCAGGTTACGCCGAATTCTTTCTGCTGTCTTTCCGACTAAACGGACCTGACCATTTCAAAGAACCAACAATAAGTGCGCGAGGCTAAAAGAAGATCAATGTCTTTTGATTATGAAAAGTTACTGAACATAGCAATTACCACATATTTGCCATTTTTCATCTTAAATTTTCATTTATTTTGTGCAGAATCTCTCAGTCAAGTTAGTGAGAGGCAAAGGTAGAATGATTTCAACCAACACAACATGATGATGACTGGAAAACGGGACAAGGTTTGCGAAATTCAAATTATTGAGGGATACTTTTTGTTGGCTGCAAAGAAATGTAGTTCAAGAAATATTCTATTTGTAACTTGAAACCTTGTTTCCCAGGCAAGACAACAGACTCTTGCAGAGCCTTTCTCAACCCTGGAAATAAATAGGTACCAGAGACCAAGAAGGAGAGGAGGGGAGGGGTAAGAAGATTTCGGTTTTGTCACGATATAATTTTCATTATCCCCCCTCCCACCCTCAGATTCTGTAATATTCTTATAATCGCTCCTCCCCTCATTGGCAGCCAAGTGGTAGTCTATTTTCTCTCGTCCTCTCTTCATTCTCTGTTGGCGACGACCGATTTCCCCCCGCTTTCCCCTGAATATTTTTGTTGTGATGGAAACGATGCCTACGCTCGCATGGTCAATAAATCAGTGATCTTTACTCCTGCTATTTACATGGAATGACGCTTTTTCCAAGAAAATATTAAGCTAGGAGACTAACCTCCGAAAATAGAGAAATTTTCAATTTGGTGTCGGACGTAATCCGGGGATTGTTTGGGTTATTCCTTACTTCGCCTTGTGACTGATCCAAAAGACTCGCGCCACACCCTCCCTCCATCTCTTTTCTTTTTTCTCTTAGTTTATTTTGTATTCGTAACCAGCGCACCCCTCAAGGAGAGCAATGTACTAACTGAAATGATAAAATCCAATCGCATAGCATTTAAATATTTTATTATCTTTCCACGCCTGTGTTGCTACAATCGCGAAAAACGTAACAAATCGAGTGCATGCTTTTCAGCAGTATTGCCTCGCAACTAGCTTTAGAGCAGGTTGTAGTAGGATCACTCAATTTCCTCGGCTGTTTTTAAATTCGTATAATCTGCAGGGGCTGCTTAGTGAATCGCCTACTTGGCACCAGTCTCCTGCCCTTCGAACAGACCATATTGTGCCTCTATTACTGACCACGTGACCTTTCCACGGACAAGGTTGCTGACAATAGTGGGTAACTCGTCAATCTAAGAAATAACAGAAAATATTTTGTTTGATAGTAAAACCAGAAATATTTTCATCTTTTGGGGCTGTTATTTAGGATTTGTTTTAGGTTAAAAATGTTGTTCTTTTTCTTAACACAGTTTATTGGTGTTCTTCCAGGTTTATATGGCGGATCACATTTTAATCAGCATTTCTGGGAGGTGAGAAGTAAGGTCTAAATCCCCATCTGTGTGTTACGCTTACGTTCCCTATCGCCCTTTTTATGGCGGTGGTACATCTCTCACCTGCGCCCGTATTTGGCGTGTAGAGTTCCTCTCTCTTAGCGTAGCACTGTGAGGTTCCTTGTTCACTGTATCAAAGTCCACAGTGATACCGAATGGAATGGCTATCTCGTCGGTTCGAGCGTAACGCCGACCGATTGATCCGCTGGAGTCATCCACTTTGTGAGAGATGTCCAGCTCAGTAAGAGACTCCGCTACAAAGCATAATTAAAACAACAAGTAAACCGACAGTTTTAGCTTGAAAATAAACGTCTATAACTTCACAAAACATTTAGGTACGGTGATTCAATGGTTCGTCGAAATTCCTGCTGGGGTTGTATTGCATCGCCATTAATTGAGTCGTGCTGGGTTTCAACTGTGTGCGCAGCCAGCCTCATCCTCTTGGAACGAGCTCGTTTGATGCTATCTGCATAACGGGCCTATTTTTTGGCGAGCGAGCGCGAAAAATAATTTTTGCTGATATGTTGAAGCCGCCATGTTGGATTTGTAAGATCTTGAGAGGCTTGGAGCGAGGAAAAAGTGAAAAAAGGAGATGAAAGTGAGAAAGACAAACTTGTAAAAAAGTCCATTCACAAAAAAAGAGGCTAAATTCAAAATCCGTTGAAAATGTGTGTCAAACTTTTTAATTGAACCACAACATTTGGCTAAAATAAAAAATCCGAAACTTCTTAAATTTCCATGCAAAGGGTTAACAAATTAACACCAACGGAAGCTCAAAAACAACTCGCTAAAAATCCGCGAAAACAAACTAGAAGTATGCGAATGATGTCCCTATCAGTTTTCCAACGTCAAGGTTAGAGTTCTTTGACATGATTGGCTAATTTGAGAAATCACGCGCGCCGCGCGTGAATACACAAAGGAGGAAAAGTAAAAGGGGGAGAGTAAAAGAAAAATTGTTACTTGAAATTTAAAAACGAAAGAGATTTTCTACAAAACTGGTGAAAGTGGAAGGAGGGTTCTCATAGTCTCTACCCTTACTGCTTTCTTCGCTCCAGACTTTCCAGTCTAGGCTGCCTTCTGCGTGATGGAGAATTATTTAGGCGTAAAAGAAGCAAAAAAAGAGGTAGACTGTCCACAATCTATTTCCGATTCAAAATCATTAAAGTTAACTACTTACACAGCTTCTTGACAAACTGACTAAATTCTTTGTTCTTGCTGAGCGGAAGTACAGAACACTTGACGGGCGCTACTGCAGGAGGAAGGGACAGCCACTACAGAGAGCAAAAATGGAACAGATTTAATTCGAGTAGAAACTTTTTTTAGAGAGAGTTTTGTCACCATTTTGGGGAGTTAACACATGCCCCTTCGCTACTGTTTACGGAGTTTCATTAAAATGTCAGTTGACGTAGAAGAAAAGTACTTCATGAACCCTTGTTGCTTAACGTAACACTGTAGGAAGGGGTAAATTGTTTGCTGTGTGATTGTTGAGGTTGACACCCTCATGATAAGGTGGAGTTTAAACCTTTGACTTCCTTCGAGTGACTTCCATCGAATTCTTCCTACAATATTACATCACTCCTGAATTACGCAATAAGGTCACGAGAATAAACAAAATAATCACCACAGCAGCTTTTGGTTGTTAAACAAATTCTCCTTGTCAGCACCTTAGGAAATGTTTAGAGAACAGTATGGAGAATATGCATAGTGATGTTAGGTTGTTAAGGGTTAAAGAAACGAGCTCATTGTTACATTTGCGCCAAGTTATACCAGTCTTATTGCTAAACCTCATTTGTGGTGAGCTCCCTGTGAAAAACGGTTACCCATCTGAGAGGGTTCCATCGTCTAACTTAAAAAAACCAGGGCCTAAAAAATGTTACATGTCCAGCTTAAGTAAAGACCAATGAGCTAAATTATGGACTTAATGGCTTCACTGAAAAGACCATTCCATATTTATCGCTTGTGTGGGGGAAGGGGAGGACTTTTTTTTGGGGGGGGGGGGGGGGGTCACATGGTGTTTTAGGGGAACTGAGGGAAGGTCAGTCGCCGCCATGAGGGGTGGCTATGGAAAATTGACAGTCAATTAACTGTTAATAAGGGCAGGAACATACAAATATTACAGAGCCTTAGGGGAGACCAGACACAACCAAAAACCTCCCAACCATCCCCCACCCTCCTTTCTGCAAGCGATAAACAATGACCAGAAACAACTAATCAATAAAAATATTACCGTCCTCTGCTCGTCTCCTTCGCGAATTCTAAAGTTGTGTTCAAGGACAGAATACATGATTCTTCCAACTCCAAACGACGGTTCGATCACATGGGGTTCTACGTCACGAACTAAAAAACACAAAAACAGATTAGATTTCTGTAATTTCCTCTGAAAATAAGATTTTGTAAACAGACCTTGGTAACATCTTTTAAACTCACCATGAATTTCCTTCTGGTATCGTTTGATTTCCCTGATCATGGCCTTTTCGATGGTAAACTCCTTGTTTTCTATTGTTAAATTCACCTTACTAGGTAAAAACGGAATGAAAAGCCAATTAAAATAAATCAGACCAGATATGTCACAAAATTTCCTTTTGCTAATACAATTTTGCAAGTTACCAGGTCACACAAAATGATGCATAACCCTTTACGACCTAGCATCAGTATGCCAGTTCTCCATACTGTTTTCGACAAGTTATCTATAGTTCTTATGAGGAGAATTTGTCTAACAATCAAAAGCTTTTTAGGGTCGCGATTATTTCCATTATTTTCATGACCTTAAAGTTTGATTGATGGGTTATACTCTTGGTATAGATGCTCCTCAGTCTCAGGGGTAAAGGGCTCAATGGTAAGAGCGGACAAGATGTTTTTTCTATGACCTGTTGAATTCGCGGACAGATTTTTCGTTTCGTAATGACTCGCAAAAAACTTAGAAAAACGAAACGTTTAGCTCAACCCTTCAAGGGACCCTGTAGCAAAAAATCTTAATCTCTTAAACTTAATATTGCCACTCAAATATTGCCACTCAAATGAACAAAAACCGTCATCGACCATTGCTTGATTGTTTAAATAATACGCTCCTGGGTTAGTGAGTTAAATTCGTTGTTATTGCAACTGGTGTGTGTTGGTTATGTGTCTGTTTGTGTGTGAGCCTGAATAAATTGATTTTATATTTGTAATATTGTAATCCCCCTCATTAAGCCTAGCTGCTTTTGGGGAAAACAATGATAAATATGTTAAAATAAAAACAAACAAACAAACAAACAAACAAAACAAAAACAACTCGGAAATGATGGCAGGAAGTAAGATATTCGCCTATTTATCTTACATGTCATGCTGTTGCTTCCGTCACTCTGGTGTATCAGGTTGTATTAAAGAACGTTTAGCGAGTGAAGCCTCGTGGTTTTATTTCCTTTTTACCTACCCGTTTTCGTTAAGTTTATCCTCGAATGCTTTGATAGCATCCTTATCCATCTGAGCCAGATAATCCATGACAATTTTCCCTTCCTTTTTAAACGCTTTTCCAACTGCTGGCTTCTCTGGGACGATTTCCACTACGTCAATCATTTCCTTTACACAGTCAAGGTTGAAAAATTTTAACTCAATTTCGAGCACCAACTTGTTGCAATCGATGGAGCAACTTTCAATCAAGTTCGGAGAGTAGTCTAGGAATCCATTGCTTTTACTCCATTTCGCTCTATAATTGGTCCAGAAAAGTCGCACCACTCTACCGACCAATCAAATGCAAAACTACAACCACCATGGCTCGACCACTCACATTTCCCGCGCTTTAAACGTGCTAAACCAAATCCAAAAGTTATCAAAACGACCAATCAGACCCAAGCAAAACATCACGATGGGCCAATGAGAACTAAAAGTAAAAACACGACAACTGCTCGAAGCAGGAAAAACGTGAGTGACTAATTCATGATAGAACGGCGCGAATTTTCTGAGCAAATTACAGAGCAAAATAAGTTCCGTATTACTTTCAACAATCTAGTGGAGAAAACGCCTTTAAGGACATTTGAGCGCCAATATTAGAATGTAACTAAAAAAGTCAGAAATGCAAAATTTAAAATCGCGAAAGAACTGGTAGTGACGGTTAAACCAGAATTCGAATGAGACTGATACGCCCTCCGTGTACAAAGTAACTACCGAACGCGAATAAAAGTGTGTTGAATAGTTAAGGATACCGATTGCTCCAAATCAACTTGAGCGACCAGTCTCTCGCCGGTTGCTTTTGTGTGAACGGACAGATCATAACAGGCCCTGTCAGCACATCCAACGCATTCTATCCAGCCCTGGGGAAAAACGGAAAATCGTCATCGTTAGTTCAACACTATTACTGCGAACTTTTAAAACTTCGCTATTTCCTGAATTACTGCACACCAACTTAATCATCAGTTTTGCCAACTAACTTAGTATATTTCCGCTTGTTGCGCTCAAAAACAAGCAATCGTTTATTCGTCTGCAGTTGAAACGTTAGAAAACAATGGGCCATTTTTCTTAGCTCCACGTAAGCCAGTTCATGAACCAGACAGCATCCGTCTCCTTGCGGAGGAAAGAGCGCGTCATCATCGACCAATGAGAACAAAGCAGATCACGATTCGTTTCTTAAAGAGCGCAATTCGATCGAGTGTCGTCAAACCAAAACCAAAATAATCACAAAGGCCTGTTACAAAAAAGGAAAATATCTTTAAGAGTTGATGAGACCAAAACAACCACACAACCCAAGCGCGGGAAAACGCGGGCGACCAAGTTGACATTGGTTTTAGTTTTACATCTGATTGGTTGAGAGAAGGGCTCGAGTTTTCTGCACTAATCACATAGCGAAGTAAAGCAAAAACAAAGCAATCCCGAATTGCTTTTGACGACACTCAATTGAAAATTGCTCAATTACCGGTCTATAATGTACATGCATACCCTACTGTGAGTTACGTTACCTGAGAACAAGAAAAAGTTTGCACTACTTACATAGGAGGTGAGGAGTTCAGCGTCCCAGCAGTCACAAGCGTAATGCGCCATTTCATTGAACATGTGCTGCCTGAAGCGGATCTTACTTGGATCAGCCCCAACCTTCAGCAAGAAGAGGAACACGCGGCCGAGAAAGTAACCCATGGTCTGGGAACTAACAATTTTCTGATGACAAATCAAACATGTTTTAGTACAAGAACTGTCCCCAGTGCAAGGGCAAAAAGCGGAGAATGAAGAGGTGGCGGCATTCCATTTGGGAAATATTTGACTCATGAAAACAAACATTTCGAGCAGCCGCCCAGCGAATCCGAAATCTAACTTGAGTGATTTATTACAAAGCATTACATCGCAAAAACAACCATGCATCTACAAATAAAAGAAAGAAAAAAGCATTCTTGCTTGGAAGCAATGAACCGCTCACCTGATTGACAGCATCTCCTACAGTGATCTCCAGTGGCGGTTTTCCCTCAATCTGATGTTCTGATGGAAACAACCTCAGTGTTTGAGAGCTCACATTTTCAAACTTGGGATGACTCTTGTCGCTTGGATCAACAAAGTGTTCGATTTCAGCCAGGGTGAATTCTCTACAAAAAAAAAAGTACAAGCAAACCATGATGATGATGAATATTATACATTTTTTTACATCATTACTGGGTTGATTGACAAAATGACTTATTAATCATAAAAGACATCCTTAACCCCTATACAACCTAACATCAGTATGCATATTCTCCATACTGTTCTCTATACATTTCGTAAGGTCTTTAAAATGAGAATTTTTGTAATAATCAAGAGCTCCTCAGGTTGTTGATCACGTCCTTTATTCTCGCGACCTTAACAGAATGTTAAAAGAGGGTCCAGAGCAGTCAGATTGGATGATGGAAAAGTGGCTAACCTACTAAGTCAAACAGGAGGTCCAAGAGTTCAGCAGAAGTTTTCAACTGAGGTCCTAAGCCATTCAGTATTGTAAGAGATAATCGCAAAATGAATCACTCCAGTCTTATGCTGAAACTAAAACTGTAACTTCAATTAACAAAGGGAGTGGCATTTTGGATAAACGCAGGAAGGCCATTGCTGAGGTTAAAATTTGTATCAAAGGGAACGATTGACCATTTAAAGCATTGCAGTTTATTACTTTTTGCGAGCGAGTGTAGTATTGTGATCTTAAACTATTCTTACTTCGTTATTAACCCTTTCACTACCAAGATCTGATTGTTAATTCTCCCCTCTAGATTCTACACATTGCCTTGCAAATTTGTTTCAAGAATTTGGTGTTTGATCGAGAAAACAACTTCCTCCTGATACTCCCATTATGTGTTTGCTAGACATTTTAAGGACCTCTTGTGGTAGCGTTTAGATCACCCCTGATGAAGGCACTAGACAGGAGTGTTGAAACGTTGGGTCTATGAACTATAACTTCTTCGGTTACATTCATTAAATCTGTAAATCCGAGTTGCATCAAACCATGTCTCATTGTGTGGATGTTACAAGAAGAAGTTACTGTTAATCACCTCTGTGAGGTAAAGGGTTAAGGACAATCACCTGAACAGATGTACTTAAAGTTCTTTACCTTACTCTCAGAAGACCCGATCGCGGTGATATTTCATTTCTAAAGGCAGGTCCAATCTGTGCTGAGGCGAACGGTAATCTTCCATTATTAGCTTCCAAGAGGCGTTTGAAATTCACAAAGATTCCTTGAGCTGTTTCTGGTCTAAGGAAGCTTTTCAAATAAGAACAAACCATAGAAGACATTTTCAATTGGGTATCAAAAGAAATCCGAAATAGATTTTACTTCACCACGTTTTACGTTTGGTCTGACAAATTCCACAACACCATTTTAACTGATCAGATGCAGAGACAAAAGCAATCCCATAATAAAAACGGGTATTGAAAGAGATCTGGACCGTCTGAATAGGGCCCCCAGTTCACAGTTTTTCTCTTTCTTCATAATCTCTATTAATGTCTCATAAATTGTCTCTTGAGCCTCTTTCCTCTCTCTTTTTAGAAAAAAGCCATGTAGTTGCATATTTTTCTTTTTTTTATCTCAGTGTTTTTTTCCTTTAGCTTATGTAGTTAATGATATTAATTACTTTACTGTAATATGTTTTTTAAATACAGATAATTTACATGTCTGTACAATGAAACTGTAACTTTTAAATCTGCAATTGTTAAGTAATAAGTTTTTTGTAGGTAGTGTTAGTATTCATATTTGCTGTAGTATTATAAGTAGTATTTAAACTGTATTACATGGAGCTGTACCTCGAATGTAATTTCAAAGATTAGAAAATAAGTAATCACCCCATGCTAAGATGGCCCTTACCCAGGGATGAGCCCACTGGGACCGATGGAGGTTGAAAACATCAAATTGAATTCCACAGGATCAGTCAGTTCATTCCCTGTTACTGGAGACTTGGTGTTGTACTTTTTCAAAAGCTCCCCAAGTTCTTTCATCCCATAGTTATCAACCTAAGTAGAAAAAAAGACAACCTCACTTAATACGACTTTACCCCCTTGGTGCTTGCCTCTGCTCAAAAATATCACACACCTTCTGTAGGCTCTGTATCACATTAATAACACCTTAATCAATTCCCTACTTACTTATCTTTATAAAAATCACATTACCTGGCCAATAACACTTTCATACTCTTGTCTCTTCTCTTCCTCCAGCTTTTTATCTGCTAACAGTTTTTCAAGGTGTCCTTCAATAAATAAACAAACAAGAAGCTGAAATCAATCAAACTAAAAATATGCGAGAAAAAGAGCTTCTCCCCCTTATGAGTGATGGACATCTATACACCACATTAAAAGAAATACATTTACATTTCAAAAGTCAGCACTGAAGCCATGTAGCCCCACAGTGCCAAAGGCTATCCCAGTTTCTGCAGCATGAGGTGCCAAGGAAAGATGAGATACAAAATAAGTGTCAAGGAAGGAAGGATATGTTGCAAAATATTTGAGAAAAAGAGCTTCACACAAGAAGATGAGATGCAAAATATGTGGGAAGGAAGGACAGAAGGAAGTATATGATACAAAATATGCGAGAAAAAGTGTTTTTTCCCCTTACAAGTGATGGATATCTATGCACCGCATTAAAAGATAATTGTTTACATGAGTCAGCACTGGAGCCATGTGGTCCCACAGTGCCGAAATCTAACCCAGTTTATACCCATTTACACTCCTGAGTGGAGAGTGACATTGTGAAAGGGAAGTGTCTTGCTCAAGAATACATCACGATGACCCACATAGATCTCAAACCTTGCCATCTTGACCTACAATCCTGCATGCTGACAGTTAATACATTCTATCTCCCCATTTGTTAGCTATATTTAAGATGTAAATCTATGTAATTGTTCCCCCCTCTAAGCAGACCTTCCAATAGATGATCGGCTCTGTAACAATCCCCAGTCTTGACGTCCTTCACCATGAAATCAGCAAACCTGTCAACATGCCCTGATGTTCTAAAACAAAAAAAATAGAAAAAAAAATCAAAACTACCTCATTACTTTAAGTTGATAAGGAAATCGTGTGGGTGAAATCAGTTCCAAAGTAAATTTATTTAGGATCGTAACTTCATGAAACCTGTAAGAGACACTCAGCCCTTTGACCCCTCAGAGTGATTAGCATCCAATTTCTCCTAACAATATCATCCCTGAATCAAACATTAAAGCCACCAGAATAAAGGAAATGATCACCAACTAAAGAAGCTTTTGATTGTTAAACAAATTCTCCTTGTCAGCACCTTAGGAAATGAAAAGAGAGCAGTATGGAGATTGTGCATGTTGGTGTTAAGGTGTAATATAAATAAAGAAGTTGTGTAGGTGAAATAAAGGTTCATAATAAATTTTTCTAGGGTCACAACTTCAAGAAACCTGTAAGAGACACTTAAAAAAATTATAATGCATATTGAGAAACCCCAACTCATCTCAGACTTTGTTAACTGTCATCAACAGTTTACTCACTTAAGAACTGAATGAGGTGTCAGAAGAGAAGCTCTTATTTCCAACATTTGCTCTTCCAAAACAAAATGTGATTTCCAAATGTTTATCATGTTGGCTTCCATAGCACAACCAGAGGGTCCATAATCATACAACCCTGCCACACCTGCCATGCAAAGAAAGAAAGATGATTTTGAAATAGCCTCACTGACCTTTTCTCTTCACCATGATCAAAAAAAAAGGTTCTCAGCACCGTTGTATATTCTTTACCATTTTTTCATTCTGAGAATTTTGTATTGAATCAAGCAATATCCCCAGCCTGGGATCTATATTTCCCTAATTTTCTTTTTTTCTTGAAAGTGTATTGAAATTTTTAGAAGATATTCCTTCCTAGTCACTCCTGAAAGTTTAACTTTTCATCCCCTAGACCTCAATAGTGTTTCTGCTTACTGCCATCACATGATACTTGTGATATTATCAGTTTGGAGACTTTGATGTTGGATCAACTAATAATCACCTAATTGACGTTTTCCTTTATTCTTATCACTTGTCTGTTTGATATTGCAGTAATATTGCAAGGAGAAATTCTGTTTTGATCACTCATGTGAGTCAAAGGATAAAGTGCTAACTCAGACTGTTCGTGTCCTTTATTAGCACCTCTGTGCCTATTAAGGATAAATGAAAAAATGGAGTAAAACACATCAGAGGAGTTTAACTCAAGATCACTGTCAAACAAGATCAACTCAGAGGAAGAGTACATGATTTGGACAAAAGAGCTTCACAAATCAGCACCCATACATACTTGACCATAGTTTCTTTGTGTACAAAGGTAATATAAATGACTTTTTATGGACTTCATCTGATTTCTTGAGAGCAAGATCAATACTGCTATTAATCAATATTTGTACTAAAAGTTCATCCCATCTTTAAGGTGTAAGTTAGAGTTCATAGTATTCACAACATTATTCAAGAATATGTGGAAATTCTGTGTTATCTTGTCTCCAGATATATTTAACACTGCAGTCAGTCGAATTGTCAACTTACCTCCATATATTTCAAATGAAGGGACAAAAAAGAATCGCCTCTTTAGCAAGTCCTCCAATTTTGATCTCTCAAATTTTTCTTGCTTGGGTGCCATTTCTTTTTCCTGAAAGGAAGAGATTTCATTTTTATTTTTCAGGCATAAAGAGAATGAGAAAGTGATCACAGTTTAAATAATAGTTAAAACAACATTCACAACTAAAACAAAATATATTGAAATATGATGGGAGAAATTGAAGTTATAAAGAAAATATCCATGTTCATCTCAAGAGTAGCTACTGGAAAATAGGAAAGGGAGAAAACAATTTTTATGCCCTAACATCAGCATGCATATTCTCCATATTGTTCTCTATACATTTCCTAAGGTGCTGACAAGGAGAATTTCATTCATTATCAATAATATCTTTAGTTAGAGATCACTTCCTTTATTCTCATCACCTTAATATGTGATTCAGGGTGATACTATGAGGAGAAATAAGATGCTGGTCACTCTTATACAAGGTAAGCAATGAATAAGTCAATGATACATCAGAAAAAAACTCAAAAATAAATTCTCAAGTTGTACTCATACCTTGGTCTCAAAGGCCTTTTTCCTAACTTTAAGTTCCTTGATGGCAACTTCAAGGTCTGGTGCTGGAGCATTTTCAGCTTTTAGTTTTCTTACCAAGTCACCCTAGAGCAAATAAATAAACCACGAGACCAATTGCAAAAATGTATAATGCATCCACAGGCATGTGATAAATTTTAACCCAGGTATAATTATACCAGTAATTTCTTTCCAACCTCATTTGGTGCTAATACACATTATGTAGCACAGATGGGGAGGGGGGAGGTACAATATCAGCTGATGTACCCCTATGGCGTAAAACACCCCTCTAATTAGAGTTTGGCAATGGATAAATATCCTTTAAATGGGAAGAAATTGAAATAAATTTGTAGTTCAAGGTAATCTGACAGGGAAATCGACCTAACTGGAAAAATACATCACATTCACCTCCCTTGTCTCCTTCTGTTTGTCTTTAGGGGAAAATAAATAAATTAATGATAGGCTCTAAATTAAATCAACCTTTATCTGGCTTCATGCTATATATGAAGATAATTCCCTTGCTTAAAGATAACCTTTTTGGTGACATATTTCTCACCATCTACTTGTTAACCCTTTAAATCCCAGAAGTGATTAACAAGTAACTTCTCCCTATAATAACTAACCATTATCAAGCAAACAGGTTATGAGAATATTCAAACTTATCAGGTCAAAGTTATCTCCATCTGACACCAAATTCTCGTAACTTATTTAAAGGAAATATGTAGCAGCTAGAGGGGAGAATTAACAATCAGATCTTGGGAGTTAAAAGGTTAAAGAATTTAGTAGCATTCTATGGGGGGAGATGAACACTCCAAGAAATTGAAAGTCAGCTAGTAGGAATAAAAACAAACATCTTCTTCTGACTGAGGGGATAAAAGTAAGGGCCAGCAACTGAACAAGGACCTACTCTACAATTTACAAAACAGTATCTCAAAGAGCCAGAGTTGATTGGCGTAAAAAATGGCTTGAAATGATATGGTTCCTCCATTTACAAATCAACTAGTAAGTATGCCTTAATAGAATCACACTTTCTCACAAACGACAAGAAGAGAGATGTGTGGGCTATCAGTGAGAAGTAGCTGTCGGATCAAGAGAAGGAAAATTTTTTGGGGGGATAATGCAATAAGCAAGACTTGTAACATATCACTGAACTGAGTGCTTATCAGAATTTGATGCTCAGATCCACAAAATCAGTTCATCACGCTTCAAAAAAATTGGAACGAACCCAAACTGAGAATTAAATATTCAAATCAAATACCTATAAACATCTTTCAGTGTTTCCAAGGATCTACTTCCGTTCAAATTTCCGAATATGGTCAAATATGGAAATAGAACAACATTACGTTACTAAAGATGTGTACCCAACCAGAACAATTGTACTGCAATTCAAAATTTTCCTTTTAAACATTGAGTAGCTCTCACTACAAACCTGCTCCTTCAAGGATTTTCGTAGATTCTCCAGAATGGTTGAATTTTCGGCGTTGTCGGCAGACATTGTTTTTATTCCCACAAAAATTATTGACTTTGAGAAGTGTTCTAAACCCCACTCAAGCGATCTAAGAGGCTGAAAGATATTTCTGCGATTATCTAGCCCGAAGATATATCCTTGGCTTGGATTTCTTGCAAAAAATTGCGTCTTCGAAAATAACCTTCGGAAGACAAACAACGTATTCATTCAATAATCAGTGATTCATCGTTCCGTGGCCACGAGGAAATTGTAATGCCAGTGTGCCATGCGCTAAACAAAACGGACTTCAAATATCTCTCATGAAGTGTCAGGAGTAATTGCGTGACTGATACACCGACTATCGTGACTTTTTCGAAAGGGTGGTATAAGTAATGAAATGCACAAAAGTATCTGTTTTGTGAGATACGAACTTCGTAAGGTAATTGACTTGTGTTTATTTGCAACTTTCCATAGACATAACTTCACTGCAATGAGTAAAAGAAGAGCTTCATCTAAAACCGGATCGTTGAAAAAGCGAGGGAAAGTTGAAGATGTCGACCAAACAGCGGGAAACGAGGTGAAAACCTTGGTAGAGAAAGTAGCTCGCGAACTGCACAAGAATGCAGATCCCAAGAAAAGTCAACCCATGAAGAAATACCTGAGGGATAAGTTCGAGTTTTTTGGTCTTAGCAGCCCTGTAAGGAAGAGCGTTTGTAAGGAATTATTGAAAGAAAAATTGAACTCGGGTGACACGAGAGACTTCGTGCGGCTTTTATGGACAAAACCGGAGCGAGAATTCCAGTACTTTGCCATCGATTACCTCGAGAAGCACTTAGAATCTTCCAAAGACTTTGAAGAGAACATCCAGTGTATGAAAGATTTGATCACGAACAAATCTTGGTGGGACACTGTTGATGCGCTAGCGTCTAAGATGGTTGGGCAACTCGTGAAACAACATCGAGATTTAGGAAAAGTTATCATGGAAGAATGGATCAATCATGAAAACATGTGGCTCAGAAGAACCGCCATACTTCATCAGCTTTCTTACAAAGAGGAAACCGACGAGGAGATGCTGTTCCGCTTCTGCAATCTAAGGGCAGCCGAGGAAGAATTTTTCATCCGAAAGGCAATTGGATGGGCCCTAAGACAGTACGCTCGGACTTCTGGTTCCAAGGTCAAGAAGTATCTACTGAAGCACAAGGGGGAATTAAGTGGCTTGAGCTTTAAGGAGGCTTCCAAACATTTGCACTTGTGAAGATATACCCACACTGCCTCTTGTCTCCTCTAACTTTGACGAGAGGTGTACCCTGCCAATTGGGAATTTTTCTCCCAGGTTATATAAATAGATGAATTTTTCAGTTGTGGTTCAAAATTTTTTCTTGGTTTGCAGTTTTCTTTAAACTGGTTTGTTTTTATCATTATACAAAGAAAAATATTTATCACGGTGGCTGAAAATTTTCTTCGAGGAAAAAGCTTCTCCATAACATGTCTTTCGTGTTTACATAAGCCTGGGATTTCTCTGATATATTACTATACAAAGAAAAATATTTATCACAGTGGCTGAAAATTTTCTTTAAGGAAAAAGCTTCTCCATAACATGTCCATTGTGTTTATATAAGCCTGTGATTTCTGATGGAAAGTTGAAATTTTAGAGCCTTTGCATCCAACCCACAAGCCTTCATATCTTTTTAACTAAAGGCATGCATTTCAACTTGTATTTTAGACATACACACAAAATATATGGACATGTAAATCAGAATTTTGAATCAATTAAAACTCAGGATAACCAATCTTTCTTTTAGATCCTTGTTTCTATTTTTTTCTTCCTTTTTTCTTCATTGTCTGAATTTCTTCTCAATCAAAATGTTTTCAAGGAAAAGTTGCAAGGATGCAAGGAGCTACCCATGTTTCAAGACAGAGCCTTTGGGAGGATATGGGGTTACTTTTTCTTCCCATGATAAATACAGCAGAAGGTTCGGGTAACTGGTGTAGATAGGCTATTAGCAGTTGAAGCTAAAAGGGACTTTCCCATACAGTGGCACAATTTTGCAAATAAAATTATTTCTTGGATTTTTCTAAAGGTTGTTGTTTATGATGGTTAAGTTTAATCATAATTTTGTTTGTTACTTTCATATACACCAACCCACAAACGAATTCAATCTGTCAGTAATAGATCACAAATAATGCCAAAATGTGGCGAGAACAAAAACGAGGCACTTAAGGCAAAGCCAAGTGTGTCACTGATGTTTTTAACACGTTTTGACATCTTCTGCAATCTCTTACTATACAGACCCACATCAACATGGAATCTATTGGTTAAAAAAGCAAAATGTTGTTAATGGTGATATCATCCATGCATTTTTCCTACAATCGATCATGGGCATAAGCCAATCAAAATGTTTGTATAAGATTCAGCTTATTGTAAACCCAGCTTATCATATAATTCCTGTCGCATAACCCACGTGTTTTTCTGTCCGTTCTTTTTTTTGAGGACTTTACTCCTGAAAACAACTTTGGACTGTTTCATGAGTTACCATAATCCAACAGAATTTTCAGTGTACTCATTAAAGAAAGAAGCCATTTTATTGAAAGAATAACCATGCAACAACACAAACAATACAGTAATGTTTATCATGTATCCACATTTACGAGTAAGATAGGCAAGCCGCAAATCATCAGCAGTGTCATTGGTGCAGTCAATTGACACCACTCATCCTTCAATCAATGTTTGGTCTCTTATTTTCCAGCTTGCTGTAGTCAGTATGGGTGTAAAACTGCAAAAATAAGTCATACAACGTAAGGTTACCAGATCATTTTTGCCTTGAATGTAATTGGGGCTTATTTGTGCTTTGTAAAAAACTATCCCCAAGTGGATAAAAATACACCAAAAAAAAAACTAACAAACGAACAAACCTTCAAGCATTGGTCATGCTTTATGTTTTGCCATGGATATGGATTGTTCTTCCTGTCCCAGCTACCATGTAAAACACACAAAAAGTTCAAAATATGTCAATACTAAAATGTTTATATGGTCAACACTAACAGACTCACAGAAAGAGTTTCAAAACTAAGTTAAGGTAGGAATTCAGGTCTTAAGTTTCGAGACATTTATCTTGCTTTGAAGACATTGTGAAACGCCTTTGGTAACATTCAACTTAAAGACAATTCTGTTAACAGACAACTTTTGAGAAAAGTGCCTTTTAACACAGTGATGTTTCAGTTAGGAGACTTCTCACTTAACACATCCCACACTTTCAGAAGCTGAAAAGGTCACATCATGAGTTGTGAAAAGAAAATTTGGAACTTGTTTTAGTTATGTTTCCAACTTAACTATTTACACCCTTAACATCAGTATCCATTCTCTCCTTACTCTTCTCTATACATTTTCTTGGGTGCTGTCGAGGAGAATTTGTTTAACAATCAAAGCTTCTCAGGTTGGCAATTGTTTCCTTTATCCTTGCGATTTTAATGATTGATTCAGCAGTATTATTGTTATTAGAGATTAGATGCTGGTCACTCTAAGAGTTTAAAGGGTTAAAGAATTCTCGGCTGGTAAAGTAATACATGAAACTAACAGAGCTTTGAGCTTGGATACAAAAGTATATAAAGTAGGGATGGTCTAGACAAGGGGATAAAGTTGATCTTTTTTTACAGCAAATATAGACTCATCAGACAGGTATCTTGGGCAAGAATTCAAGTTATCTTTTCGATCATACAGTAACTTAAAGCCTCAAGGATCACATTTGTAGAGGAAGATTATCCTCAATGCAAAGGTATTATCTATATCACTTGTTTAAGTCAATTAATTTTTCATGTACATACGTAGCATCTGGGTTTTTAGTAGCCAGTCGCATTAAGTAATAACCAGCTCCAACACAACCAGCGCCAACCACAACAAAGAGTGGAATCAACTGAAAAAAATTAAAAGATAAAGTGTTAAATGACACAGACACTGCAATGGCTAATTTTCAACCCAAGATTAAAGGGACCCTAACCCAGGGACATAATTGATCTGATTGTTAACTCTCCCCTCCAGCTGCTATACATTTCCTTTTAAATTAGTGAGAAGAATTTGCTGTTAGAGCAATTTCACAACTTCGCTATGATGTCGGATTCCAGAAGTACAATTCTGCATTTTTTTCAGTAGTTTTACCCGTGATCTTCGTCAAGTAAATAAGCACAATACATAATACGTCACTATCAATATTAATTACAATACAATAACCTTAGCATTGCTTTCATATCATTTTTTAGGACAACCTTGAAGGTTTCTTTAACAAAAAACGGTAGTTCATTATTTGGAAGATCAAACTGACGAAGGAATCGCAAAAATCAAGAAGTAAGCTTGCCTGCTTATCGATACGCACACTCTAAAATGAACTCAACTCTAGAAGCTACATGTATCTTACACTGACACCAATCAAACAAACACCCAGCTAATACTTTAGAATAACTTAGTCCAGCTTAAAACCACAATCATACCTCGGGGTGTTTTCTCAGATAAGTAAAAGCCATTTTAGCCGTTACTTGGTCGAAACAGTAGAAAAACGATGTTAAAGCTAGATTCGATTAGGCTCTTCCAAGATGGCGTTCGCACGAAACCGGACCCTTAAAGGCTTGGTGGCTAAGCAAAATATTGCGTCACAGTTACGGAGTACAATACGGCGAAATTGTTAGGGGAACAGTCTTTAGCTACATTAACAAATAAAGAGACTGAGAAAATCTAGACTATCAATGCTGCAATCAAGGAAAATATACATAAAGTATTTTTATTTAGCTTTATTTTCTTCTCAAAATTCTGAAGTGCAATCACGACATGTTTTCAGAAAAGGCATGGACTATTTTACCTTAAATATATATAGAGAAATCAACTTGGCCAGTCTGCACAGGCAACAGAACTATGGCATAGAATGATGAAGCGAGCTTAAATCTAAGTAGCAGTACTGTAGCCATGCACTTGCCTGCGTAGTTAGCGGTTTTCTGTGCACTTAAAAGCGATAATCGAGCGCCGGTGAAGCTGTGCCAGGCTTAGGACGAAAAAATTGGCAATTTGAAAAAAGCGTCGCAGCAACTCCGCCCTTTTTTTCAGATGTAGAGCGCCCCAAAAGGCCACTAAATACGCAGGCGTATTGCACACGGAGCACGTTGTTCAAAATGGCTTATAACGTAACAGATCTCATTGTCGAGTTCTGCCATAATGTGCAAACTGACTTATAACTACAATAGTATGAAGTGTTCACGTATGTTTCTGGTTTATAATTACTGCATACCACTCGTGTGCAGAGCGTCAGTTGAAAGGAACTCCTTAGGAAGGGACTCAGTAATTATAATGGCAAGACTCGTCCAATGAATTATCAGTCAAAAACTTCAAACACAGAAGACTTTCCCTTTTTTTCCTGTCACCTCAAATGTGAGAGCACTCTCCAAAGGTGGAGACCTTTACGTTTTTAGTCTTTTACTTTTATCTAAAAGTTTTTGTTAAGCATATTTAATGAAACAAGCACAGTACTGATACCAATATAGGAACTTAAAAAAAGGATTTGACGAGTTTTCTTGTAGAGGTAAAATTGAATATGTTGTGTTTGTCTAAACATTAATGGAACACAATTTTTTAATGAAAATTTAACAGAACTATGTTTCGTCAAAATGAAAAATTTATTTTCAAAGTTCAGCCAAGAGCAAGGGCTTATACAGATTAAAGACTTTCAAACTATGTTTGTCATGTCAATATTTGAATCTCATTTGAAATGCTAATGTTTTTGTAGATTGGTTAGAACAGTTCAAAGAAAAATAACAACTTAAGATCTATAATGAAAAGTACATCTCTTGAAGCTACCATGTATTTGCTAGGTGTTAAGTATCTAATATCATGTGATAATTTACTATAAGAGTTCTTATCAAATGCAAACCCAGTGGGCCTTATCCTGACTCCCTGGTAATCTTTTCCGTGCACTCCAAGGCTCATTGCACTTCCGCATCTGGTCGGGCTTTTTGAAGCTTTGAGTAATCTGTATGACTGTAAAGCTGTTGGAAAAATTAAAATGTTTGTTTCAGCTGCAGAATCGAAAAAAAATTTTTAATTGATGATATGGTTCTGTAAATTTTTGTGATTCCCCATTTAGGGCATTTTCTAAGAATTGAGAAACACTTTGTCGAGATGGGAATTGTAAAACTACTGTAAATGCTCACCTTGAGTTGTTCATCATGCTTGACATTGAGCCAAGGATGAGGGTTATTCTTCTTGTCCCAGCTGTAAAGAAAAGACACCAAGCTAGTTCAGATAGAAGATCGTAGAGGCAAGATAATACACACATATTCAAACATGCATTTCTTTTTCGGTGTGAATGCAAAACGCAACAGCGAGAACGCCGACAAATTAGACGCTGCTGGTTACGGAGAAAAACACCCGATCGCAGGTTATCCTGTAAGAATCACTTGAAACGCATTTGGTTACCCGAGTTGCGCATTCAGGTCTGAGGTGTTTGTTACATGAAGTGAGGTAATTTTGCTTACAAATTGCATCAATATAAACCGTCCCTTACAAGGTCGATCTTTCCTATACCCGCTCTCATGTCTTACTCCCCTCTTATTTGGACAATAACATGTTTCCCTCCTGCCAGCGAATTCACCATTTGCGCCTAGTTCCTGCAAAGTAACGCTCCCGTTTGAAAGCTAAAGATCATTTTAGAACTTATCGTGTAGACTGACATGAGAAAAATATCGAAAAATTTCACAGAAGTAGCGCGATGGGCAATTAACAGGTTCTGCACCCCTCACGAGAGAAAACTTGCTCTCTTTTGTTATATAATATTCGAAAGAAATGAAAGAATCTAGGAAAAAAAACTATCTTCCCAATTCCTCAGTAATATTTCATTAGACACTTATTATAGACAAAGCTTTATGTAAATATGTGGCGATGTGGCATTTTTTCGATTGACAAAAAGTACTCGTTTTTGCTTTTGCAAAATCATAAGGAAGTTTAGTGGAAAAAAATTTTGTTTAGAATCTTAGGAAGAAAAGAAAAATTACATCATCCGTAAATCACAAGTTGATCAGCGATCAAGAAGTCAAGTGAGAAGGTGTACAATGACTGTCAAAACAAAACGCCGTGTAACATGCCACAGATGAAAGTGTAATCAAACTGCAATCATGTATGACGAAATAGTGCGGCCTAGGTTAAATCTCTGAGATCGATCAGGACAAAAAGATGGGTAAACTGTAGACTTCAAGCGAATTTCGCTTTCAAGATCCCTTTGGACTCTTCAATCTCTTCAGTATTAAAGTCAAGGCAAGTCCGTGACAACTTGAGTGACGATTAAGTCATATTGAGTCACAATTAACTGTCATAGAGATAATCTTTGCTTTTGAGTTAGCATGATAATGGAGTCAGTCAAATTAAGAAGCAGACCATTGGAGAAAACAGAATTGTTCAGTTGATGTTCAGACTTAAATTGATCAGTACGGTCGTGAGTTGGACGAAGAAGACATTAAGTACGTGAGCTGAAGGAGGAAAATTATTTATGACTAAGAGAATTGTATTTTTTTCTTCCTGTTCCGATATTTGATCAGGAGTCCCAAATTACATGCGTCACCTCATGCAAGGAGACAAAATAAGCATCAAATTACATTGTTCTGCGACAATTACAAATTATTGCATTAATTGACGTTAAATATGTTACCCCGTCAGAGAAAAGTGAACCAAGAGCACAACATATTAGAATCAACTCGTTCTATCCTGATCCTCTAAAGGAATGGAAACAACTGTGAAAGCGTTTGAAATTTTTTCGAAAGAGGTTATAATCCGTAGAACACTTCTGCTTAGATACAAGGTTGCCTTTGAAATGGGTTTTTTCGTACTTTTTTAATGAACCTTTTTCATTTCATGCCCCAATAATCAATCGACTTTTCTCATTTAATTTTCTAAGTTAAAACATACCTTGCCTCAGGGTTTTTCGTTGCCTGTCTGATCGTAAAAGCCACAGCTCCAGCACAGCCAGCGCCAATAATCACGAATAGAGGTGTCAGCTGCGAACAGGAAGTTAGGAATAAGGAATAAACTAAACAAATTTTTGCCACTTGGCAACAGAGAATCCTTCGTAAGTTAAATTGACACGAATTCCATTTTTTGTTGCTTTTCGGCTATCGACCTAGTACGTCATACGTAAAGTATAATCTTACATCAGAACTGCTATGTTCTACATAGTAGTTCTGATGTAAATCGCAGGTCCTGACCCCTGTCCGTGCAACGAAGCTCTACTGAATTTCTGCTCATCAGAATTGTTTACAGCAAAAGAATTGTTGAATGGTTTGCTGTGTCGTAAAACTGTCATTTATTGCTTTTTGCGTTTTCACATAAGCAAGCAGTGTTGCTTTAAAATTCAAATGAAATGTCAAAGCCCAGCCGTCTGGCTAGCTTTAAGAAGATAATCTACATAAAGTTGTTCCTTTAATTATCTTCAGCAAGGTTTTCAACGTTTAAAAAATATTTTCCTCTTTAAATCAGTAACTTTCTTAATAACATTGGAGTATGATGAGACTGCGGAAAAACTCAAATCTGTTTGATGTAAAGCTTTGCGAATGAAACGTTTTGCGCGACATTCATTTTGTCAGTGGAATGAAATTTTCGTATTAATGAATTCACACCCGTAGTGCAAACTACGAAATTTTCAGTGGCAACGAAAAAATCTGCTGCTTTTGTGGCTGTTTCTTCCACCAGTTTCACAAAAAAAATGCAAGACCAATTCCTTTAGCGTCGAGAAGAATTCCGCATGATCCCCGAGCCCATCTTTTTCTCTTATCGATAAGCGCATTTGAAAGACCTCTTGTACGTGTAGAATTGCACGGAACGACATTTCCTGATAATCGCGAATTTGTATGGTTTGAAAATTGATAAAAACTGACCAGCCTTACCTCTGGTGATTTTCTGAGCAAAGCAAGGACCATTTTAGATCTTCAAAGGGAACAATTAAAACGCTTTTGCAAGCTTAGTGAGGCGATAATTTGCAGGGAACGCTGCCAAAGTGGTCCGAAACACTTCACCTGTATTCTGAACTGAAAGGGGTTATAAATAACCAAAATAAACTGAAAATGACATGTGTGACGTCACGCGTCCTACCCGGAATTATACTCATTCTACGCAGCTGGGTAGTTTGCGTGAATATCAGCCATATTTGCCTCTGGAAACAAAGGAAATGATTCACCGCTCACATAATGGATTTCAAAAACCAATATCGACATTTTGTATTTTTCAGTTTCACCACCAGAGCCATGCTAAACATCACGTAAAGAAAAAAACATGCAACATCCTTTCATTAAAATTACAAAGGTGTGATCCGTGTAAATAGAAGCTATGTTTGGATATCCAATGAGATGTCGGGCATCGAAAAAAAAAACATTGACGTGAACCTAACATTGTTGTAATTCTAACCGAGTGTTAAGTCCTTTTTTTTTTCTAATTTTTCATCAAGCTTAAGGCGTGCTTATCCTGATGGGGCAAATGTATATATTTTTTTTGATGACCAGATGATATTTGTAGATCGCCATAGGTTCGTTTAGACCTACCGAAAAGTTTCGTCCAATAACTTCCTTTCCTATACTATATATCGATATCCCTGGTGAATTCCAAGGTATCGAGGAATTACGATTAGTGACTTCTCAATTCTCGTTCTGGTTCGCGTTAATTCCTCTTTGTACATTCTTGGACAATGCGTCTGGAAAGGGTGTCGTGTACTCGCATGAACTTTAACGAGCCCCTTCTTTCATGCAGGTTAACTGAATCGAATGAAAAATATGCTTCTCAGTTGTTTTGATCTGTCATTCAAATCTAAATACTTCGCAGTAAAAGAATTGAAAATTACACAAGATAGAATGCAAATAATTATTTAATAAAACTTTAGTCGCCTTAGGTCTGATATATTTACACACGCGTACACGCCTAATACTAGACACATCATTCATTTAAGTTTTTAACGATCTCGAAATAGTGTTTCCAGTAGGAATCGACAGGATACAGTTGTTTTCTCTGAAAGTGACCATACACGAGGGTCTCAATTGAGTGACGGTTTTTACGGCCAACAGTTAAAATTTTGGCCAATTCACGGCTAACGGTTAGTATCTTTCCATTGTTGTCACTCAAAATTTTTTTTCACGGTGAACTTTCTTCTCTAGACTAATGGTTGAAGTTTGTCAATATTTACACCTTACGGCTAAATTTTTTAGCCGTTTTACAGTTGACCCAATCGAGACCCTCATGCATCTTCATGCTGCATTCGCATATTTTTGGACGTTCCTGCCATTAAATAATACTTATGGTCCTGATATAAATTATTTTCATGATTTAAATATATAATACATTATTTGGAATGTTGAATTTTTCTTGTAACATTAAACTTATAGTAGTTTTCCGCGGACCTTTGTATTGTTTTCGCCATCACAATCCACGTTCTCAGCGTTTTCCATCAGCGGCTGAGGGATGTGAAGGTTTGTAAAGCTGTCGGTTGAATAATGAAAAAATACACGAATTAATAAATATATTGAAATATAGCGGACTTATAAATATAATGGACTTTCTCTTGACTGTAAGTATAAGACCAGCGCTGTAAAGCAAAAGAACGCGACTCCATTTTCTCCCGATGAAAATCATCCAGGACAATTTTAATTTCTTAATTTGGCTCTCAGTTATCACTCACCAAGGATTCGATGTTTCATCTCTATCATGACATTAATTTAAAGCAAGTAAATTTTATGATAATACTTTTTCCCGACGTTTCCACTGAAATGAAAATAGACTGTAAGAATTCTGCTTGTTCACCTTCACTTGTTCATCTGGTTTGATATTAAGCCAAGGATGGGGGTTGTTTTTCTTGTCCCAGCTGTCAAAAAGAAAAAAAAAACAGTTATGATTGAAAAATAAAGCTGTTGCAATCCATGCATCACGTCAAGCGTCAGACGAAACCTTGGGAAGTGCTCTATTGATCAGTTTCGGATAAAATAAATGAGTGCCACATACCATGCCTCAGGGTTTTTTGTGGCTTGTCTTATCAGAAAAGCCGTGGCTCCAGTAGTCGCAGTTCCCATAATCACCAAGAGAGGGATTATCTGAAAAGAAAATGACGAAAATGAAATGATAAATGAAACCATAAATCCATAGAGCTACATAAAATACATATAAAACACGACCAAATTCCGTATCTGCAAAAAGTAGCTAAAGTGCTATCGGAGACTACACAGAAATATTTCTATGAAAGCTACGTAAAGACCCAATTTTTTGCAGAAGTTATTTTTAAGTTGATGCCAATATTAACAAGGAAGTTGGGATCCTCTCTGTAAAATGTCTCAGTTTCCAGAAATCTGATACAAGAAACGTGCGGAATGTCACGTCAATTTCACAATCTTTTCTCATCTGAAATAATCAGACATGCCATTGGATGTTTTTAAAAGTGTCTAAAATTGGACTGCTTGCTTATTCAAAAATCTTGGCTTTACCGCCCGCTTTAAAATGGAAACCGGCCTAAATCCAAGGCCGTTTCTCAGGGAGGAATGGATCGTTCACCTATGTTCTCAATTTTATGTTTGGAAAGTTTTCTCGTAAACTGACAATATTCATTATTTCAGGTTTCGTCGAAGATTTCATTTTCCCTCAGTTCTTTTTCCTGTAACAAATTATATCTTTGCGAAAAAGCAGCTTTTCACATCGATTTCCTTTTTTCGTCAAATTAGAGTTTTTTTTTTTATGAAATGGAAACAAAATTGAAATAAATAATGAAAAACATTCTACTCCAGAAACTTCGCAAAAACTTTCCTTAAACGATATTTATCGCTAAAATGCTTTCAAAGTGATAGGCTCGTGCAAAATTGCACGTTGAGGGAGGAGCAACTCCCGGCTACATAATCAATACCTGCACTCACCTCTGGCGCTTTTGTTATCGCAGAGAGAACCATTTTCCTAACAAATTGGAATGTTTTCGTCGCAAATCTCGGAGCAACGTTGACTGGTAAGAATTTATCTCAAGGGTTATTTAAAACAGCCGTAACACTTCGCTTCTGTTAGAACTGATCGTTCAAATCTCCAGTGACGGATATTTATCTCAATAATGTAGCTAAATTTATCCCACATGGGACGTCATCTGTGACTTTCCGTTTCAGCCTTGACGTGCAGGAGACGCCTGGGACGAGCCAAATGGCACGCTCAGAGTTGTAAAGGCTTGGTGGCGGAGCAACCAACATGGCGGCTACAAGGATTCTCGCCTGTTCCAGAGTTAAGGTTTGTTGATCGTAAGTTTGATCAGCTTTCTCGAATCGTGGTATTAGTCGCTTAGTTCTATAAAATATAAAAGCGTGATTACTTTTCAGTGAAACGGGCCCACTTGGAAAAATAAGCATGATTGCGCTCCTTTTTGAAGAATAATCTAACAATCTAACTCAGTTTTCCTATTATTATTTTGCAAGTAACTGATTTTCTTTGTTGTCAATATTGAGGATTTGGATGATGTAATTTCCCCGCCACATTTTTGGTCTATACTGACAGTTCAGAGGTCACATCGCCCCATTGCCTTGTCACTATCGCCCCCGAGTCACGTCAACCCCAATTTGTTTGAGCTCGCCCACGTCACGTATCTCCCTAACAAAAACATCGCAAGGAACAGTGGGAATCCAGAAGTTTCAATGGAGGAGTCAGCAAAATTATACATTAAAGGGCCACTTATTTATATCTTTTTTAATTATAAGATCGAGTTGATATTGTGTTATTCTTTATTCTGCGAAGACTGCTGGCAAAGTGGATATTGGTGGCCCTGTATTCTATAGTTACAACTTAAGTTTCTCTTACTACACCTTCCCTGGCTTCTACTCTCACCTAGTAATTTTTTTTTTACTGATGGAAATAACTTATATTATCTGAACAAATTTTGTATTAATGAGGATAAATGAAGTTAAGCTTTTTATTATTTATGACAAGAAAAGTTGGCTCGTTTCTTTTGCCTAAAAGCTTTCCTAATGGATTGTAATGGTTCTTTTCACAGTCATGCAGTCTTGCACCAATCTTCAAAGTACATGAATCAATGTTTACCTCAGTTCTGGTCATACAAGCAAGAACAAAGGTCAGCAAAAAATCACCATTTCATGATGGAAAGGGCCATAAGGAAAAGATGCAGGAAGCAAACAGCAGCAGACAGAAATATATTGACAAAATGACTGTCAATAGACCTTTGAATAGACCCTATCTTATTGAAAGCCCAGGTGACAAAATTATAGTTATTTTGATTATGACTACCATTTTTACGTTATTTAACCTTGTGGCCCTCTGTCAACCCTTTTAACTTGCAAGATCTCATCAGTAGTTCTCCTTACTGTCTGCCATACAGTTCTTGTAATGTTAGCTTCGAGAATTTGGTATTGGATCAATCAATAATTCCCCAATTAATATTTTTCTTTATTCTCATTACTTGTCCGGTTGATATTGTACTGACAATGCAAGGAGAAATTTTGTCTTGGTCACTCATGGGAGTTAAAGTGTTAAATGAATGAAAAGTTTAAAGCTCCAAAATTGTTAAGTGTGCTTCAGTAGAAATAAGGAAAAAAATGTAGTTAAAAATTACTGAACTACCTTTTATTTATTTGCAGGAGTAATATTCAGTGACTACCTTCCAATAAGAAGATATTACTTTTTCACACCACGGGTAAGAAGAACTTAAAGGAAAAGTCATAGTTTTATGTTATTATTAACACTTTATAGTGTTCAGCCAACACAATCAGTGATATGCCCTCAGAGACAGTCTGGACTTGTGATTCTAAATGTCTGGGTATGAGCCAAGGACAATTCAAAGTGTTGAGTTCTTGGGCGTGGTTATTTTCTCTCATGTTGCCTTCGTCCCCCAAATTGCATTCATGCATTCTGCTCAACCATTAAAATGATCCTGACCACTGAAGTCATCCCCAATCCTGGGACAACACCCAAACAGACCTTGAAATGATCCAAATTTTTTTAGGGTTTTGAACCCAAAAAGATCCCAATGAATTAAAAAATATATTATAATTATAGTAATCAATGGGATAATGGATTGCTCTGTTGTAAAGGAAACTATTAAGTCATTATATTTTGGTCCTTGTAAAAAACTTATTTGTGGCTTTAGTGGGAAAAGTGGGGATCATTTTGCAGGCAGAATTATTTCATGATTGATTTGCAAAACATTTTTGTACCATTTATATAATGAAAGAGGTCTATTAACTGGATTTCTTTTTTTTGCTGAAGGGAATAAAAGAAAGATGGAATGCATTCAAGAATGGTTTTTGGACCATATACAGGTGATAGATAGTTTGCCAATTATGATATTGCTGATAGTGAGATACATGGCTTAGGCACCATCATTAACCCCTTACACCCTAACATCAATGTGCATATTCTCTTTACTGTCCTCTATACATTTCCTAAGGTGCTGATAAGGAGAATTTGTTCAATAATCAAGAGCCTTTTTAATTGGTGATTATTTCCTTCATCCATGTTACCTAAATGTGTGATTCAGGGGTGATATCATAGAGAGAAATTATATACTGGTCACTCCTAGGGGCCAAAGAATAAATAGTTATTTGTATGGAAGAGCAAATTATAAGGCATAGCATGTACAAGAAAGCCATGGCGCACTTTGAAAATTGCATTACTATTAGGTTTTAAGAGAACAAGTTAGTTTTCATAGTTTTTGTGCTGTTGTCAAAAACACACTTCAGTGGGCTTCTTTGAGTAAGCATGGACATGTTTTGTTATGAAATAATAGAATGAGCACTTTTTAATGGTAAAAATTTTTCTTTTGATAGTCTTGTCTACATTAGAAGACATATAAAACCCTTCAAATTAACAGACTTTGGCCCAAGTGCCCAGGAAATCTACATTGCAGCAAATGAAGCACTTGCTAGGTGAGTGTTCAGCAAAGGAAATGCAAAATCTGTCTTAAATTTCACATTCAAACTAATAATTGTAAGGTTTAGACTAGTATTCAGGGGTAATAAGGGGATTATTAGTTACTCTAAAACCAAATTATTTGCACTAACATCATAAGAATTGTATAGCATATAGTAAGGAAATATTTTCAACTACTAGACAAGTTCAGTAGTGTTCTCAGCTACAAGGATCTCTTCATTTCATTTCTTCACTGCAATACAAATATATGAATTTCATATATCTAAAATCATCATTCATCACTTGGATGGGTTATTTGGACCCAAAACATTGACCAGCTCCCAGTTGGCTTGTTAGCTCAGTTGGTAGAGTGCTGTACTGGTATCACAAAGGTCATGGGTTCAAACCCCATATGGGCCTGAATTTTTTTCAGGTCCTATTTTCAACTACCAGTTCAGTAGTGTTCTTAGCTGGGATCTCTTAATTTCATTTCTTCACTGCAGTGCAGATATATGAATTTCATATATCTAAAATCATTACTCAAAAGGTCTTAGGCATGAGAGGGTTAACCTACGACAAGTGCAAAAGTTGCCTCCCCTTATTACTACTTCAATCCACTGAGTACGTTTTTGTTTCTTGTATATCTTTTGGCAGAAAAAGCAAAAAAGATCTTCAGGAGGTGGTGACCAACTCAGTATACCGGGTAAGGATGTTATGAAAAACCAACTGTTTTAAAGGTGGATGAAAAAATAAGGGAAATATTTGGTAGACTCTGAGGAGAAATTTCGTTGAAATCTTAAGCGCAAACAGGTGAAAAGCAGGGAGCAATATTGCACAGATAGCTTATACATAGGCATCCATATACTCCATACTGTTCTCCATACATTTCCTCTGATGCTGACATGGAGAATTTGCTCACCTATAAAGAGCTACTCCTACTAGTTAGTGACCATTTTCCCTTATTCTCATGGCCTTAATGTTTGATTCAGCAGTGATACTGTAGGGAGAAATTAGATACCAATCACTCATTGGTGTTAAAGAGTTAAGTGGAGTGTTAACTCTTGGTATACCTATTTTAATTTGTTGCAGAAATTTACAGATTTACAGCGATCTTGACTTTGTTTCAGGCACTTAGCAATGAGTTCTTTCCTCCAAACAAGAATCTTCACTGGCGTTTTGTTTCAGCTGTAACAAGGCCTCAGGTTGTACATGTAAGAGTTGGCCAGGTTCAGACCAAAGATAACTTGTTTGCACAAATTACTGTGAAAATTCATTCAAAACAGGTAAGATATTGCTGTTCAACCCTTTACAACTTAACATCAGTATGCACATTCCTCATACCTTTCTCTGTACATTTTCTAAGGTGCTGACAAATAGAATTTGTTCAACAATTAAAGGCATCTTTAGTTTCCGATCATTTCCTTTATTCTCATGACCTTAATGTATACTTCAGGGGTAACATTGTAAGGAGAAATTAGATGCTAGTCACTCCTAGGGGTTAAAGGGTTACCTCTTCAACCCCCATGAGTAACCAAGGGCTAGGTTCTCCCTGCAATTCCAATGTTATTTTGCAAACAAGTTGTGAGAACAGAAAAGCTTATCTGCAAAGGGGTGTTCTTTGATATAAGAACAAATCCTTCTGTCTCAGTAAAGAGAGAGGAGACACTGAATTACTTTATGAGCCTTGGGGGTTGAAATGGTCAAAACCCGAAAAAGTGCCTTGGGATGTGATAGACTGTCATCTTAACCAGGAGGGGATGTAGACACACTCCTGGTCACTCCTCATTGCAGAAATGCTCTTACTAGGAATTATGAGTGATGATAGATGTTATCCTGGCTTCATAATGGCAATCAATGAAATTTTGCTTTTTTTTTCCCCTTAGGTCATGGCAGTAAAAGATAGGTATGGAAGGCACATATCTGGGAGTGACAAGCTTCCTAAACAAGTCATAGACTATGTTGTGTTTGAACGTCCCTTGACTAGTACTAAGTATGGAACATGGAAAGTATGTGGAAAGCTGCACGCCTTCCCAGCTGAGGTAGATACAGGAAAGCACCTCGTCAAGAATGTTCCTGCAGTTTAGAGAGGAAGCTAAATTTTGATTGCGTAATTTTTACGAATGGATAGAGTTCAAGTTTTCTTACATACAGTGTACAGGTTCATAGGAATTGTACTTTTCTGCAATTATCTGTTGAATACAAAAGAGTCTGTTTTAGATAAAATCATAACCCCTCCAAGGGGAACTCAATTATGTTATGTTTGATCTGAAAATTTGTGTTGGATGAAATAAATATCTAATTTACAAACTGGCTTAATTTTTTGTTACAATATTGTGACATTCAAGAGATATTTCTCAAAAGTCTTGACAGTTTTCTGATCAAAATATATCTTCTCACTATGATCTCAGAAACAAGGCCATTATTAAAATGAAACATGGACCATGATAGAACTTTTGCAAGAGTATAATATTTATTTCAATTTAATACACACTACAATGCATTTATCATTTAACTCAGTTTGAGTAGTTTACACATTAGCACTCCAAGCTTTAGGCTCCATCCTCTTCCTCTTCTTCAGACTCTGTTTCTAAAAACAAAAAAGTGAACTCAGTTAGGTGCACTGTCTTCTAATTAAGCCTTTTACCCTCAAGATCTAAAGACCAATTCTCTGTAAGATCTGCCAAACATTTCTAAAAATGTTAGTTCTAAGAATTTGCTGTTACATGAAACAATTTCCCATCGATTATTGTTTTTTCTTTCTTTCCTCAAATCACCTTTCTGATTTAAACTGTATCAAGACTGTGGGGAGAAATGTTTTTGGTCACTAATTTTGTACAGAAAGCCAAAAATAAATAGGTTGACCAAATATGAAAACAATTTTTTTGATTCCAATGTTAAGGGAGGTGGAGGGCATTGTTAAGTGGTGTTGTTTATTTGAAATTATGCTGAAAATCTGTTAGAGTGACTCCCTTTGCTCTATTTATTAAACTCTTAACTACTAAAAGGGTTATCAGAAGATGCCCCTGTCACATAATGCAAGTAGGCTATCATTATAAGTATAGCAGGATGGGTGTTTCTCCTCCCAGGGGAAATTCAAAATGAATCAGGAAGAAGTTTGTTTGCAGTCTGGCCCTCCTTCAATCAGTGCTTGACCCACTATTGCAGACCTCTTGCTAGCACACATTTCTCAAGGTGTTATACTTCCAAGAAAGGGGGAGAGACACGCTCAGGCTGAAACACTATGCACACATGCAACTGCCAAATACCTTCTTCTGCACTCTGAAGCCATTCCACCATTTTCTTCATCTGCTCAAGGAAAACAGTTTTTCCTTTCTGGGAGTATCCTCCTTTGTACCACTTGATGATGGTATCTTCACTTAGGACATCAGCTAAAAATCAGGGAGGAAAAGATTTCTTGAAATGCCGATTATAAGAATCTGAGCAGTACATGGAGAATTAACCTTATTTGACATTTTGGATTTGGGATTCTCTCATTTGGTCCTTAAATTATGCTCCAAAATTGCCAGCCTTTTAAGTTCAGGGAGTTTCTAATTAAAAGTTCTCTGTTCCCAAAAGGTATGCTCAAAACAATCTCTGTTTAATGATATTGACTGCATTTTGTTGCTCTGCATTAATAAAATGAAGAAGTTTCTTTTTGGTCAGTGTGCTTCACTGTAAAACCCTGTAAAAGGTTAGCTAAGTGTAACAATTGATATCCAGTTTGTTTTTAGTATTCCATGACTGAACAAGCGTTAGGCTAAAACTTAACAAGCTAATAACCTATGTAAACCACATATTATATATATATTTTAATTCCCACTCACTTTTGTACAACAGCAGCACCATTTTTTGAAACACTTTTGTGAAATTCATGTTATCATAGCAGTATTCCTGAAATGACAAAAGAAGGTTTTTTTTTAAACCAGAAAGTGCAAATAATTAAAACTGGCCTAAGTTTGAACCAATAGTAAGAAACATCTGGCACTAGGTTTGTCATGTGAAAACATTTGCTCTTAAATTACAGCAAATCTTAACTGAATTGACTTTCATTGTGTGCAATTTGCAAATTTAAACCCCTAAGGGAGATACTTTTCCCAACAGTATTACCCTTGAATCAACCGTTAAGGTCATGAATATAAAGAGAATGATTGTGAACTCAAGAAGCTCTTGATTGCTAGACAAATTCTCTTAGTGAACTCCACAGGAAATATATGGAGACTAGTATGGAGAACTTGCATACTGATGTCAAGGTGTAAGGGGTTAATACCTGAACCTTGACCAAAAGATTGATCTCAGACTTGGCTTGTGAGGTAAAAGATGCAAGCAATGGAGCATAAACCTGGAAAGCAACATCACAACGCTTCAGTTCTAGGCATCACTAATTTGTTTCAATATGGAATGTTCCAGTAACATACAAATGGTGGAGTTTGAGTTACACAATGCAAAATTTCTGTTATCAGTTAAAAAAGACACAAGTGCTTTATCCTTAAGGGTGCTATATATTTCTGAGTTTTGGTTGCTCCTTTTAGGAAACTTTTATAATCACAATTGACAGCAGTACAAAATGTAATCATAAGGTACGTTGACAGCAGCACAAAATATACCAGTACATGGTCTTAAGCTGGCATGTGCAACAATGTTTAATACAAGAAATACTGGTTTCAGCTTCGTACTGTATCAATTAACTCTTTAATCCCTGGGTGTGACTACAACCAAATGCAAAATGTACAGAGACCTTGAGTGAAAAAAAATGCATTTACCAACATCATCAGGCCAAGAAAAAGTTAAGTGCAATAAACAAAAGCTGCCCTCCTTCCCCTATGCAATGTTATTCGTTGAAGTTTTGTTCATGATACTGCTTAGCTACCAACATTGCAAAGGGTAATTTGAGTTTCTGTACCAATCATAGAGTGCTAACCTTCAGGTGACGCAGAGCTTGATCTGCAACAAGCTCTTCTTTCTTGTTCCATTCCACGGCACGCATTAAACATTTCCAAACCTAGATTTTATGTGCAAAAAGTTTGTCATTTCTTTTAGTTCTATGCTTGAGTTAATTGAGATTAAAGCTGGTCAATGCAATAGAGAGGTGCAAAGTGCCAAGTACAGTATTGTTAGCAAATAAAAGTATTCCAAGGAAGGAAAAGAAATATAAGTATGGTTTAGTTTGAACTCAGTCATCCAACTAAGAAAATGGTTATACTTCTTATCTGAAAGAGTGAAAAAGCCTAGTATTCTAGTTCAAAATCTGCCTTGGCAAGCTGACCATACTTTAAAGGAAAAAAGTTTGAAAACTCTAGACTGACTGTTTCTTTGCCTCTAAAAGAGTTTTGCACAGTGTTAATAGTAATTTTAATTTCAGAAACATAACTACAAAATTGCCTTACCAGGAACACAACATCATCTTCAGCGAGTTCATATTTCTTCATTTCTTCTTTACAAGTGGATATCATCTGTTAAGAAAATAATCAATTGTTAAATATGATGCAACTGATGAGAAGATTTTAAGTAATTACCACTCTAGCTTCATTATTTGAAATTCTTGGGTTTTTTTCAACCAATGTTCAATAGAGAAGTTGTTTTAACCTTGGTTCATGATGGTGGCATTGAATGAAAAAAAATCCCCAGTGGTGAGGAAGTAAATTAAGTTAAACATTTCTAATAATTTTGCCAAATTTTAGCTTTAAAAAGTTTTTGTTAAATTGTGCAGAACTTCCTGATGATGTTTTTCTTTCCTGTGTTAATTTTTCAGATTAAAACAAAATGTAGGTAGAATAAATTTCTCATTGGTTGGTTGTTAAGTGAAATGGTCGATACAGATTGATCTATGTCCAGCAGCTCAAAGTTTGTTTAAACTTAAGCATCAGAATGAATATTCTCCATACTGTTCTCTAGACATTTCCCTAGGTGCTGACAAGGAGAATTTGTTTAACAATCAAGAGCTTCTTTAGTTGGTGATCGTTTCCTTTATTCTCATGACCTTAATATTTGATTCAGGGGGGATACTGTTAGGAGAAATGAGATGCTTATCATGCTCAGGGGTTAAGGATGAAGGGAGGAACACATATTCCAAACCCAATTATAAACTCCAACTACTGACAGTGTAACTTACCTCCTTGACTGGTGTTTCATTGTCCAGCATCTCTTTAAGTTGCTGCTGAAAATTTCTGCGAGTACCCAGGGTCTGCTGTGCTTTCTGAGGACAATAAATAAAGAAATATATATTAAAATTTTTTTGTGTGAAATTCTGAGGCATACAGAGATAACACCACACAATGATGATTGTCAAATGAGGCAGCCTCTTCTAATTCCACAAATTCCCACTGACATTTGGGAACTACATCATGTACCACACCTTCATGTACATGGGCTGATTGAAGTAAATAATTTGTTATAAAACATTGTTATGTTAAGGGGGTTAACAACTCAGTGAGGGTTGTTAGTTTTGGGATATACAAACAATGGCCAGTGAATTTTTTTAAAAGTACTGTGGGAGTGTCCTCTTTTGACCCACCATCACTGTTAAGAGATTTTGCAACCATGATGCTGTACACAGCTTTGTTTGCGATGAACTAACAATAGTCACAATTAACAAATTAAAACCCTTGAGACAGAAAGGAGAACATTTCCAAAAGGGAAAAATATCTCCAGGATTACAAGTAGCAATGGAAGATTAAGTACACAGTTTAAGGTTATTCAAAAAACATGACCAAAATAATAACATTCATCTTGTAAAATTTCATACCTGAAATGCCACAAGCTTATCTAATCCATTTGCATTGAAATGCTTGTCAAACATTTCCTGAGTTTGTTTGTTGGGAGGGAAGAAATCCTGCAAAATATAGACCCAAAAAGATTAAAATTTATACAATTAAGAAACTGAATTGAAAAAAATAAAATGACATAAAGAGAAATTAGAATTTCAGGCCCTTTAGAATTGGATTGACATGTGGCTTGTCTGGTGCTTTGGTCAATGAGCAAGCAAGAAAGAAATCTGCTGGCTTAAGCTTTTAAGATTCCAGTGTTCATATTCTCCATAATGTTGTCTAAATGTTTCCTTAGGTACTAAGAAACATAGTTTGTGTAATAATCAAGAGCCTCTTAACCCTTTAACTCCTGTAAGTGACCAAGACAAAATTTCGCCCTATTATATCTATACAATATCATGCAAAAAATTGATAAGAATAATGAAGAAATGTAAAATGGTTTCTGTGTTTACATAGCCTGATGTAAACACGTGGGAGGTTTGGAGAACACAACATAACCTCGACACAAAGTGGAGTGGTTTCCAGCTTATTGAGTGTTCTCCCAACCTCCCAAGTGTTTACATCAGGCTATGTAAACATGGAAACCATTTTACATTTCTTTTATAAAATAACTAATGAAAGAGGAACAAAAACCGTGTTTACATATGCTCATGTAAAATGGTTTTATGGCCAATCAGAGCACGCATACTATTTGAATTATTTTATAAAGAAAAATATCAATTATGGGATTACTTATTTATCCAACACCAAATTCTCCAAACTACCAAAGTGAACATCATTTGGCAGACAGTTAGGAGAATTACTAATGCCATCTTGGGAGTTAAAGGGTTAAGTTGGTTACTACTCCAGAACCTCAATTCTCAAGACCTTGATGGTTAATTCAGCAGTCACACTGTATGAAGAAATTTGATGCCAACCACTCTTGTGGGTTAAGGCAATAGAAAAAGATTTCTTTCAAGTCTAGTAAGACTGATACTAAGGCTACATTTACACATATCTGTGTGATAATTTCCATTGACCCATACACTGAAATCTAACAGGGTTTGAATATTCCATTTGTTTAACAGCTGATTTCACAGTGCAGACAATTGCCTCTAAGCAAGTTGTGAAAGCTTTGGAGAGTTATGGCTATAAACATCTCAGTCTTCTTGAAATACATGTATGCCACTCCATCAGTCTTGTCAATAATGCAAGGTACCATTCATCCGCTAAATAACAGGGAAATTTCTTTATAAAATGAAAGTTGATTTCAGTTAAGTCTCACTCACCAGTAGTTTGTTCTCCAACTCTGCTTTTCTCAGAGCTGAGCTCAGACTAGTGAAATCCTTCTCCTTCACCCACACCTGGAACACTTTGGTCAAAAATGGCAAAGCAAGTCCTAAATAAAAGAATTCAGTCAGTTATAATAAAAATAACCCTTTCAGCCTAGCTTTAGTATTACTGTTCTCTTTACATTTCTTATGGAACTGACAAGGAGAATATGTGTGACAATCAGGAGCTCCTTAATATTGGTGATCCTGTCTGTTATTCTCATGACCTTTACATGTGATTTAAGGGTGATACTGTGAGGAGAAATGAGAAGGCAGTCAACCTTAATGGTCTAGCTGTTGTCTGGCAGTTGTAACACTGAGATCTAAAATTGAAAGACTCTAAACCAAGAGACACATGATTTAATATATCCATTAACCATCATAACCCCAATGAACAACAAACAATTAAATTTTTGTAGGCAAAAAATGTTTCTGATCAATAAATCGTAATACTTCATGGGGCCACCTAGTGGAATGTACTAAGCATATATACCTTCTTTAACAAGGTTTTCATTGAGTAGGCTTGAGAGTGCTGTAGGTGAAGCCATACCTGAAAGAGTATAAGCCATCTTTAACATTATTTTTTAAAAGGAGCCACTGTATTGCTAAATGTGAATTTATACATGAACCTTGCCGCATTTTTGCTAGGCAAGAGTATCACCCCTCAGATGTATTTTGATCAGATTAGAGATGGTCCACTGTGTATTGTTAACTGGGCATTTTCTCATGACTTCAAATGAACATTCATAATAGTGGAAAGAACATGAAAGAAAAGTTTGGAGAATTTACCATTTGCTAGAATGATACCCGCAGCGATAGCAAGCTTGTTCCTCTGATCTTCACTGAAACCCTTGAGGAAGAGCAAGATCTGGAAAGAAAGGGGAAAGTCAGGATAAGGTAACAGGGTAAACCTCTGATCCCCAGGATTAACTAGCATCTAATTGCTCCTTAAAATATTACCCCTAAATTACACATAAAGGTAATGAGAGTAAAGGAAATGATCACTAACTAAAGAAGCTCTTGATTGCTACACAAATTCTCCTTTTCAGCTCCTTAGGAAATGTATGGAGAACAGTATGGAGAATGTGCATACTGATGTCAGGTTATAAAGGGTATATTCATTAGTAACCTATAACTGCCAGATACATCTAATAACTGAAGTTTTTAATCCTTTTTACTACTTGCTTAGATCTGATGTACAAATGAAAGCCTCCACTTGGCATGAAAATACATTTAAATATTTGTTTGCCAATATGACGGCATTGTAAAGTGAGCAGTTGTGGAGTGAAACTTGAGGAAACCTATAAGCTCCAAGGAAAAGATCAGGAAAACTATACAAACATCTTTTCAAATCAAACAGTGGTTATTGTGTTTATTATTCATCAAATATTACACTTAAACTAGGACTTGCTGACCTTTTTGATCTCATCTTCAAAGGCTTTTTGCAGGTACCTGTACCTTGCTATAACCTTGTTGATCACCTAAATGAACACAAAAAGAACATAAAAATGAGAATTTCAACTATGTTACAGTAAATTGGTTTGTTTAGTATAGTGCCATCCCTTAAGCTTAACAAATAAGACATAGTTACATGGAGTGAAATAGCTTATAATTTTTTTTTACTATTTGTAAAAGTACATAAAGTCAGAGTATCATATAAAAACTTTAATTTAAAGCACACTATACCTGCACATATGTCTTGACATCATCATCATTGGCATCAAAAATGCATACAGATGTTTTCCACGTGGCTTTTTCACCTTCTTCAAGGATACTTCCACCAGGAGCTATAAAAAGTTAAATAATTCATCTATCCTTGGTTGAATTATCAAATAAACAAATGCTAATATCTTGAAACACAAAATAAATGCTTTCACAGCTTTAACCACTGAAATGCTTTTTCCTCTCAAGACAATTTAAAACATACAGAATGGTGTTAATGCCAATCCTACAGTATAGCAGGATAAGCATAGTAATGCATGTAATGCGAGTAATGCATGTATATTGGACAGATAAAATGAATTGTTTTTGCAGAGAAAAATCTACCTATCTATGGGTTCAAAGTACCTAGAGTAAAACTTTTTGCACAGCTTAGTTCCCTCAGATGCAGAAAAATTTCTTTAACCCTTTAACTCCTAGAAGTCATTGACATGTACATGTAGCTTCTCCTTACAACTTAAGATACAATATCCAGCAAACAGGTAATGAGAAGACTCAAACTCATCTGGTATATATTGTAGAGGTTGTTATCTTGATGTAAGACCAAATTCTCTTCACTAATTTACAAGGAAATGTCTAGAAGTTAGAGGAAAGAATTGAAAAATAGGTCTTAAGAGCTAAAGGGTTAACTCATCATACCTAAAACACCTCCAGCAAACAGTATGTCAAAGAGACACTCTCCATACAGTCGGTAGTTGAGCTTACTCCCCGACGAGTCCAAAAACTTATACACCTTTGATAAAGAACAAAAAAATATCATGTGATTACTTCTGGTGGAGAATACAACCCAGGTCAAACACTTGAATTTCACTCTCCTTCAATCAATAAATAACTAGCAAACTATAGCAAGCCTAGCGGCCTGTTGATACCAGAGCTTATATTTGTTTCTTGTGCATGAAAAGGCAAAAATACTGTTTCCCTTCTGAAAAGGAAAGCAGTCCAAAACAAATAAACTTCCAGCAATTGAGGCAGGTGAGGTCGCCTAAGAGTTACCATTTGGTTAGCTAGAGCTGTGAGATTTAGACCTAGCTGAGCCATTGTGTTTTTTGTTTCCAAGCAAGGCATGCAACTCTTACAGCACCTCTTTCCAATCAGGAGTGCAAATGGGTATCAGTAAAAACTTGATGAAATGCTAAGGAAGGGTAATTTGTAAAGGACCAGCCTCCTATTCAGGGGAGTAGTAGTACTGTTAGTCACTTCATGCTACAGAAACTGAGATAAACTCCAGTTGGATGAGCCACTTGGCTCTGGTATACATATAACAGTTTTATCAGTACCCATTAACCCTTTAACCCCTAAGAATGACAAGCATCTAATCTCTCCTTACAATATCACTCCTGAATCATGCAGTAAGGTTATGAGAATATTATCAGCAACTAGAGAAGCTAAAGAAGCTGTTGATTGTTACACAAATTCTCCTTGTCAGCACCTCAGGGAATGTATGGGGACAGTATGGAGAATACCTTTCCTGATATTGGTGTGTAAAGGGTTAATACTCAGGTGAAGAGTAACACTTTTAGAGTTTAGTGTCTTACTCAAGAACACAACAAAATGGCCTGGACAGGACTCGCACACTGATGATGAAGACTCACAAACTGATGGACAGGACTCACACTATGATTCCATAATCCCAAATCAGTACACCAAACACAAAGCTAAATTTAACTTTTCACCATGACTGAGCATAGCAGTACTACAGTGTTTCATTATTACCTCCAACGACTGAAAGTGTACGATTGCACCTTTCAACACATAGGATCTCAAGGATACAGCTTCTTTTGATTCTGAAATTGGTTTCTTTCAAGCTTACTGATTTAGCAGTGCTAATTGCTACCTTATTTGAATATCACAATGCCAACTAAGGATTTTGGCCTTCTGTCACATTAGTGCAAGATCTTGTTTGAATTATTGTGGTTTTGGTGTTACCAACTTAACCCTTAAACTCCCATGATCTGATTTTCACTTCTTCCCTCTAGCTACTACACGTCCTTGTAGATTAGCTACGAGAATTTTGTGTTCAATCAGCGTAATATCTTGTACTTGATGAGTTTGAGTATTCTGATTACCTGTTTTCTGAATAGTGTATGGTAGTATAGGGAGAAGTTACATGTTTATCAGTTCTGGGTGTTAAAGGGTTAAAGGAGGATTTGCAGTAAGACCACAAAAATTTGACGTAGTGCAACATACCAATAATTCTGAGCAGTAAAGGACAGAGAAAGCTGATGGTATAACTAACCTGTTCTAGATCATTGTTACCAATATCCTGGAGCCCTTGTATTATAGCATCTCGAAATGCAAGAGGGTCTTGCTTTTCTTTTTCGTCTGTTGAGTAATTAAATGACATTAAAATCTGGTTCTTCTAACTTACATTTTTTAAATACCTCTTATATCGAAAACTGTTTCTCTCATTCTCCTCCTTAAATGAAGTTCTAGAACCATTTCCTTCCTCTTGCTCCAAAAAATATTTTCAAGTTTTTTACAAATATGCAAAATAGATCAACAATTCAAAGAATTCACAAGTTCAAGTGAATCCATCAGGAAACTAAACAACTACTCATACTTTCTTTTGGCATAAGACCTAGAAAAAAAATAGGCATGCTGAAATCTGGTAAAAGATTGTAGATTTGGTGCACACAGTTCCATCAGCAAGTTCGACTTCTGCAAAATTCACCTCAAGAGCATTTGTTCTAAGTTAAATCTTGATCAGAGAATTGCCCCTGAAACAGATACACCTTTAATATGTTGAGTATTAACTACAGTATCCGGAAATCTACAGGCAAAAATGAGTCAAATTCAGGATTTATGTTAATCAGGCTACGCTAGATGCATATGTCTGGATAAAAAAAACTTAGTTAGTGAGTCATGATGTAAAAAAACGTTTCCTCTTGACAACATACATCATTTAATGTACATTTCTGATTAACTACATGTCCTGCAGCTACTACATAAATGGAAAACTGGAAACATTTCTTAACAGAACATACAACAAAACAGATTTAGTTTAAAACCGAAATTGAAAATATTTGAATTTTTATCCGTTTCCTCACAAATTCGTGTTTTTCTACAGAAAGTGAAAGCAACACTGTTTTTGCTTTACATTCAGTGGAAAAGTGCTCTAAACGAAATGATGAGCATTACCCCAAAGTAAGGTTCGCGAAGTCGAGGTAAATTAGCTGACACTTCAATTCTGCGTGCACCACTTGTTAATTATAAGGAAATTAAATGACTGAAATGGTACATTAGTTACAAAACATATACCTCTTTTGCGGGTTCTGATCCGCTGGCCACTGAGTGTAGGTTTGGGTTGCTTTTGACTCATAAAACAACTGGCTAAAAATACGATATACGAGAAGGCACAAGTGAATAGTTGTTTCGTGAATCTTGAGAAAAATAACTGTACAAAATTGTGTGAAGGTCTTAGGTGTTCCTTAAGCAGATCGTATTTTCGCATCAAATTAAGCTTTCAGGCAGGCCTACAGAGATGAATGCTGTTTTGATCAACATAAATGTAACTGAAAAATTATTAAAGTTAAGGTGAGGCTAATGGGGTTGGGATACTGATCGAACGCTCGATTTCAAGAATGCGTTCAAACGGTAGTCGTTTCAAAAGCCGAAAAATAAAGAACGTCCAGCGATTGATCTATCCTTGGAAATTTTCACAGCACTGTCTTCGAAATAGAAGCCGAAAATAGGATTAATGTGAAAACATTTACACATCTAAGAAAACAGCACACAAAGCCCGAACAAACGCACGTAAAGATCAGAAAACATAATCATTTGCAAAGACCGTAGAGAAGAACTTAGTCACGTAAAATACAAAGTTTCTGTTTCATACTACAACTCAGTTAAGGATTATTCGAAGCTATGATCACCCATAAACTGAAATCGCAACAGAGCCGGATTAAAGACATATATTAAGACTGAAAAACGAAACTCCGTCTCAAGAGTGTTAATTTCAACGTGCGCGTAAGAAATTATGAAAGCTTCATGCTTTGAAACAATAAAGGAGCCCGATTGTTTGGTGAAATTTTCTGTGGACCAGTTTGTTGGCTTGCAGAATTGATGAGTATACATCCTGCATCGAGAGATGATCAATGATCTTACCTGGAAACCGTTTAAAATATGGGAAAATGAAAGAAGTTGTGAATGTCGTCGAGGTTCTCTCTTCACATCCGCTGTAATGTATGATTCAGTCGGAGCACGAGGGTGGCAAGCGTGCATTGTAGGGGACTGGTACCGAATCTGCAAAACCACCTTATATGGACACTAGAGAATGGGGGCTGTTAGGAGCTTAGGATGGGGCGCGGGGCGCGGTCGGGGGCATGTCCGCAACAGCGTACCTGTTCCCGTCAACTTTTCGATAACAGTCACATTCTAGGGAAGGAAAAATTCTTCGAGCTTAAAAAAAAATTGAACCTATGCTCTCGCCACCTTGTTGCTTATCGGATTTGTTCTCGCTTACCTCTTGATGATAGTTCAACCAAGAGCCCATTGATAGATCCTTCTTCCGTAGAGAACCAATTGGTGTGCTCTCTGGAAAGGGAGATGTAGGAAATGCGGATAATTCTGAGCTCGATAGTGGAATAAAGAAAATGTTCTTCGTCTTTTTATCGAGCGTGGGAAAAAGAAACAATCTGTAAACAGGAGTTTCCGGATTGCGAGGCACGGTTGGGATGGACTCAGGGACTTGAATCTTTTATTTGCTGCAGTGGGTAAGAGGCAGCTTACTCTACTCTCATGAATGAAGGGGGTAAGTTTCTAAAGAAACTGTGCTGTTGCGTCGGTGGGAGAGTATAACAGGGTAATTTAGTATTTTCAACTGAGTCATAACGCAAATTGGCCACCGTAAAGAGTTTGAAAGCTGACGTTTCGAGCGTTAGCCCTTCGTCAAAGCGACGATGAAAGGCTAACGCTCTTTCAAACTCTTTACAGTGGTGATGGTGGCCAGTTTACGCTATTAACTAAATTACCCTGTTATACACTACCTTTAGACAGGTGAAATAATTAGGAATGAGCTATACGAGTTACATTTTACCAAAGCAAGCTCAACCCTCAGGTAAGATCTAAATTAAACCGATTGTTAAAAAAAAAATTTAAAAAAAATAACTCAAGTGTGTCTCATGCTCTGTCATTTCAAATGTTCGGAAATTTATCCTTTCCTTTCCAAACAACTTCTTTCAAGTCATTGGCTCTTTTTCGTCCATTCACTTTTTTTCTTACATCAACCGAAGGAAATTAAAATCACCAGCTTGTAAGAAATTTAATTTGTCTCGCCTGAAGAAACCATTTCATGAATTTCTTCCGTAACCAAACATGAAGTCACTTGTCGTACATCACGTGACCCTTTCTCGCTCTGACCTTAAACATGGCGGACTGTATCGAAGAGAGATTCGATGCTGCAGTAAATGTAGTGAGATCAATGCCAAAAAAAGGTATCGATGACCTTCTAGAGAAATTTTCCAAAAAAGCATGAATCATTCACTACTTTAAGCGTGTTTTTTCTCCATAACGACGATATTCTGATTTATATTACAGGTTCTTACAAGCCATCTTACGAAACGATGTTGAAGGTACAATATACAATGTTGAAGTGGGACTAAAGTCCATTTACGAATTCTCTTTGGCGCATTGATCTAACAAAGCTATATGATGATAACATAATGGTAGCCTTTCGATGCTGAAATTCGTTGTCATGAAGCAACTGATCGTTAAAAAATATGTTTTTGGTAATTTTATTAGCAAATACTTCGAGTTGTTTGTTCCAAACACACGTCTGAAGTCTTCAAAAGATTTTGTTATTTATTTAAATTTTGCCATAGCTTTGAGCTGGTGATGACTTTGAACGGTGAAAATATTGGGTACTTTTTTAATTTTACAACTTAATGGACGATCTCATTTCAAAAATTTTCAGCAAAATTCCAGGAATTGTAGTAATTACGGAAAATACGTGTGAAGTAGAATGAATTCGGTAGTTCTAGAAGTAAACGTACACCTGTTCGAGCTGATCTTTTATGTATGTTGGTAGATCCTGTCATTCACTGTCAACTTTAAAGCTACAAGGTGTTTTCTCGTCGACAATATTGATTTCCATAAGCTTGCACATGATAGATAATTTTGACTACTGATTTTGTTTACTTTTTGTCTCTTATTTTTTATCTTATTTTTTTCACTTTTAGTTTTATGCATTTTACAAGCAAGCTAAGGAGGGAGAATGTTGTGAATCAAAGCCTGGATTTTGGGATGTTGTGAAAAAAGCAAAATGGTAATTTCCCTTGTACAGCAGTCATTTTTGAATGGAATGCAAGGCCAGAGGAAACAAAAATTCTGAAATCCAGCACAGATGCATGTAACATGGCTAGGACAGGGCTTTACCCATGGATCAAGAATTGAGCAAGAAAAATTACTTGCTTGGCAGGAATATCTCTGTGTTCTGGATGACTTTACTTTTTTCCTATCTCCTACCTTAGAAATATTTTTGTGGGGCATAGACAAATCAATGTTAGGGTTTTCAAAACAGTTTGTGTGCATTGTTTTTGTTTTTCTAATGCTGGTGTTTGTGTGACTTGATGTATGATAAAACTGTTGATTACAAAAACCCTGATACGACAACAATTTTCGTTGTATAGTAAAACTTTGCTAACTTGAACTACCTTGGGAAACAAAAAGAGATTCAAGAAAGCAGGGCTTAAGTTAACCGATAGAAAAAGACCAAAAAAATTGAATAAAAGGATATTGGATCTTGTAGGAGTTAATGGAGAATTGTCAGTTAACAGAGCTCGAGTCAGTAGGGTTCTAATTTAATTTTCCTTACAGTTAAAATAATTTTTGTCTAGATAAATACTAAGTATGTACATGTAGTAATAACTCTACAGGTAGATTTGACCAGATTTTTATGCAGGGTAAATTTAGTTATCTTGACATGCTTTCATGTTAACACACCTATCAGCCAATGATTGTGCCAACAATACAATTTGATGTACAATTTCAAGTTAGTGATAAAGGAGTTAAACCAATTAATGTACAGTGATCACATAATCTTGTCACCACTCCACTGCACATCAAATAACAAAAGGTGCTTTTGACTAAAATCAGAATGACAGTTATGCACAAGAATTTTACATTTGCTTCTAAGATTTGAAAGATTTTATTCTTTGGCTGAATACTGATAAGAATGATCAATTCTCCAAATAGATTTTTACTTTATTTTCTTTTACAGGGAGGCATGGCATGGCTTGGGTAAGATGACAAAGCAAGAAGCTATGGAATCTTATGTCCATGAACTAAAACAGGTATTAATAGTCTTCAAACAGGTTCTTCACACCTTACAAGGGGACAGTTCCACCTGCCACGTGGCTTTTAGTGAAACCCTTGAGTCACTAGAGAACTGTCTCCAACTGTCTTTTACATTAGTGGATGTTTAAAAACAGTGGTACAAAATATTGATCACTTGATCAGGGACAATGGCTGACAAGAGTCCATCTCACAACTAGCCTTGTCTGTGAGAGTACTGTACAGAACTTACCTATTTGGGAGGCTTATTACCTTTTGCTAATGATTTATTGCTAAATATGTAATACAATACTTAACACATGTCGTTAGGTAATGGAAAACTTACCAGAAGGTGAAGAAGCAGCAGATTTTAGTGAAGTGCTGAAGACTTTTTACCAAGTAGTGTATGAAGGCCAAGAGGAGAAACCTCCAGCAGTTCTTAAAATCTTTGAGAAAGAAAGTGTTCCAGAAAAGATCAAAGCAACAGGAAAATTAAAATCAAACTCACATCATACACCCCAGGATAAAAATGTGGTGAATGGTTATGGTAATGTACACAAGGTAAATGGAACATGTGAAGAGTTTTCTCATGGGGTGAATGGATTCCCTCACAAAGATAGCATGGATATGCATGCACAATTTCCACACAGGGATAGTTTAGAACTCAGCAAGAAAGCAGGCATGGATTTAAAGCGACTGCAATTTTCAAAAGCAGTTAATCCAGTGCTTATAATATCTTCGGATGAATTAAAAGAATGTGATGAGGAAGATGAGAATGATGATGATAATGACAGTGGAATTCAAAATGGAATGTGCGAAGGTATGTATATGTGACTGTAGTGATGCAGTAGTTAAGTTTAAATTTCACTCCAAAAAATTTTTCTTTCTGCACTCAATCTTTCTACACTACTGAAGTAGGAATTAAACTACAATAGAAATTTCATTCAGAAATCCAGAATAATTGTCTCTTTCCCCGGGACAGAGGTGTCCCTTCAATTGAGGTAATGGATAAAAAGATTATATGAACATTTTTTTGGGACAGAAGTCTGTGTCCCCTGAATGGATGTGTCTGCTGATTAGAGTTGTTCCAAATGAGAGGTGCCATTGTAGTTTGAAATTATTCTGACCTGAACTGTATTGTAAACTACAACATACACATGAAAGAAGTGACATCCAGATTCCTGGTTATTATGTGGTGGTCCTCTTTTTTCAACTTCTTGATATCAACTTTATGATTTTAATTGCAGTACCACCTTTGAGACCAAGTGATGCTGAGTCAGCAAGACCTAAAGAAAAGAGTGGAATTATTCTGACAAGTGATGAAAGTGAAGAGGATGAATTTTGTGACTCCCTAGATCCTGAGTGTCTGCGAAAATTACAAAATGGAAATCATGTGGACAGAGAACTGCCAGATCTTGATGCTGCATTGAAAAAGGTTGATTTGACGAAGAGAAATAGTCCCAGCAGCTCCCCTGAACATGTCACAAGTTCAACAATGTCAGAATCTGAACATTCAGATTTAGAGAGTGATTTGAAAAGCTTGGAGCTTTTAACAAGTACACCATATGCTAAACATGTAACTTTTGCCGTTGATGATACTGGAAATAGTACAACTACTGTAGTTAATTTGGACTTGTCCAAGGTTGAGCCTTCAGTCACTGAGGAATGCTTTTCTGAGGTCACTCCTCTTCTGGAGAACGGACATAGTCACGAAACTAATGTAGATGTGACAGAGTATGAATCATATCTACCTTTGGATCAAGCACCTAAGAAACCATCAGGGATCCTTAAGTCACATTATTCTGTGAGAGAATGTGGGGGAGGTGATGCTTCTCAACAGCCATCTGGTCGTGGTCATGGAGGTCGAACAAGACAGTCACAAGGAACTAGAACCAAAGAAGGTAGTTATCATATAGTGATTTAAAAAATTGTGTCAAGGTTGTAGTGATATTTGGTGACATGTCTTTCCATCATGTGTCTTGCTAAGTGTTTAATTTAAACTTGCTGTTTCTTGTTCTTAAATAAAGTTTGAGTTATCAGGATGGCAAATTTTCAACAAAAATGACATATGAAAACAAAAAAAATTGTCTGGTTTTTAGTTGATTTTGTGAAAGAACTATTAAGACTACCATGCTACCATTAAATTACTGGTAGTGACGCTTTTTTTTTTTTTTTTTTTTTTCAGTAGCCTACCATAAAACAAACAAACAAACAAAAAACAACAATACTGCACATAGGGTTTGAGTCATCAGGAGTTAGCTGTGCCTTTAACAATATTTTCACTTTCTTTTTAACCCTTTAAAACCCAGAAGTTATGAACTTGTAACTTTTCCCAATAATATACATACATTATCCAACAGGTAATGAGGATACTCAAACTTATCAGGTAGAAGTTTTGTCTTGATCCAACACCAATTTCTCCTAACTGATTTGCAAGGAAATGTGTTGCAGCTAGAGGGGAGAATAAATGGTCAAATTCTGTGATCAGATCATGGGAGTTAAAGGGTTTATTAACCTCATTCAATAATTTATAAAGCAACCCTATATTAATCCACCAGGGACCAGCTCTATGAGTGGAGTAAGTCGTCCATCAAGAGGGCACAGACGAAGGAGTGACAGTGACAGTGAAGATGAACTGACAAGTGATCATACAAGTGGCCCAGATTATGACTCAGCAGGTGACAGGGATGAAATCAATGAAAGGATCCTACAAGCTCTTGAAAGGCTTCACCAGGACATGAAAAGTGTGCTGCGGAGACTTAACACTATGGAGGAAGCACTCTTATCTAGACAGGTAGGTTGTCACATTTTGATAAAATGGGTTTTATGGATTATTGCAGATAAAGAGGACTTTATTTATTTTCTTTTCCTCCTTATCAAAGGTCTCAAATAATACTTGTATGTCCTAGGGTATCTTACCCTTTAACCCATAAGAGTGACGAGAATCTAATTTCTCCCAACAAAATCACCCCTGAATCAAATAAGGTTACAAGAATAGAGGAAACGATCATCAACCAAAGCAGCTCTTGATTGTTAAACAAATTCTCCTGGTCAGTAACTTAGGAAATGTATAGAGAAAAGCATGGAGACTGGTATACTGATGTAATAGGAAGTAAAGGATAAGACTTGACTTGAGCCATGTTCCTTGAAATTTTGTTGGATCCCTCACAAGTTTTGAGGGAATTTCAAATTACCTTTGATATACTTAAACTAAAAAAGGAAATCAAACAATTGTATGATGATTCTAGCCCAAAATTTATTTTCAACGGCCTTATTTTTAAGTTTTACAGATCTCAGCAATGATTGATAGAGCTCAGAATGTTATTACCAATTGATTATTTCCCATACATCAATAAATTGTCAAGATTACAGTTTCACTTGAAAAAAAAAAGTGCAGAAACAATGGGAAGTAATTTTTGTTTCTTAACATTGTGGCTCTAATATTAATAATAATAAATGTCTTTATTGCTCATTGGATGAAAATACATATGTAATGTTACAGGATAAAAAGATGCAAGGTTCAGCCAAAAATTACAATAGAATAAAATTACAATAGATTAGCATAGACTCTAGCATTGCCAATCTAGTAATACTAGAGGTCTGTTGTATTGTTTAACTTTCCTTCATATAAATGGTAAATAATTAATCTGTGTTTATTTCTCTATTAGGTTGTAGATCCTAGATCTGAGCAGGCATGGTGGAAATCTTACATTCCATCAAAGCCTTTGATGTTCCTCGTCTTGTGGCCTTTCATTGTGAACATTGTCTTTTATTACTTCAGACGAAGGAAGGTGAGACAAATTGACAAGCATATTTACAAACAAACAGCAGGGAAAAAAAACCACTGTCTTAAACAATCACTGAATTCAATCAGAACAAAGGAAATGAACACTTGGAGCCAATGAGAACTCAAAGTGAAAACATGCAAACTGCCCAAGAATAGGAGACAATGGGTGACCAAGATGGGGCTGGTATTTAGGTTTGGTATATGAGAGGTTAAGAGGATTGTTTGACTCACAGCTTAGGCATGGATAAGGGACAGTATGTTTAAAATTTCTTACTATGCAAGTTTTTGGTAATAAATTTAAATTGGACTAACAGGTTTAATTTCTTCTTTATATCTGGCAGAGTTCACAGCAAAGATGATAATCACAAGCCTAATCACTCCAGGTTGTGATAATTTATGGCAATGCCATGATGTGCAAGGTTATTGCTCATTGACTTCCTTTATTTAGTGGGTGAGGACTACTCAACAACAAGCGCCATCAAAGGTCAACATTAGAAATATGAAATTCTGTTGTACTATCAAGAACTGGGGAATCACAAAAATGTTAGAGTGTGAATCTGGTCTCCACAGAATTTCTTCTCCACTTCTGAATATTAACAAATACAGCAACAACAACAAAAACAACAAACAGGCTTTGTTTTTGGTACCATCATATTTATTGACTCAGTCAGACAAATACAGGTAGCATGATGGTGAACCAGCACATTATGAACAATACATTATTTATAAGTATTTTTTTATAATTATTTGTGCTGTAAATTTCACTAATACTCTCAATGTAACAAAAACACATCAATTGAACAATATTAAGGTCATTCATTCACAATTCAGTCACCCATAAGTACCTTCTTGATCAACGACATTCATATTGCTTGTCCTGAATTCTGTCACATAGTATGATGTAGGTAGACAGACAAAAGTGATTTAGTATTAATTAATTTAATGTGTATTGACCATATAATTTGCATCATTTGTTTAACTCTTGTTCCCCCAAAGAGTGACTAGCAACACTTCTTATGTACAGTATCACTTCTGAATCAAACATTAAGGTCATGAGGATGAGGAAATTATTTCCGACTGAAAAAGCTTGATTGTGAAACAAATTCACCATGTCAGTACTATTGGAAATGTCAAGAAAACAGTGTGGAGAATATGCATACTGATGTTAGAGTGTACAGGGTCAAGAGTTTGCTCAAGTGAAGGAGATGCAATTGGATATGTTGTGAACAGATAACGTCAAAAAGAAGCAAGGATAAAATTGAAATACAGCTCTCTCACACAAACACTTCCTTCTTAACTCTTTCTTACTCCCAGGTGTTACCACTAAGTGAATTTTCCCTACGATATCTTTACATTGTCAAGCAGTGAGGTGATGAGAAAAATTAAATGCATACTCCAAGTAGAAATTGTAACAAATGTGTAGCAGACAGCAAGAAGAAATATTAATAACCTCTGGAATGAAAAGGTTCAGTCGTTAACAGTGCATTTGCCAGGCTATTGTGGTGATGAAACCATAGCTGACCTTTCATATTGTTGTATTGGGGTTTCTAGTTGATATTGTTTTGTAATATGATTTGAGCAGACACTTAGCACACAGTCACAGTTCACAGTTAGGCATTATGTACTGGCACCAGAATTAATCTTATTGGTTGTGTACTTGTGATGCACTAGCAAAATCAGTTTCCAACTTTAGAACTGAATGGAGCTAAATAATAATTCAGTTCACATAACACTCTTGTCAAATCCTACATGTATTCCCCATAATCACACTTTCAGCATTAACAGTGTTTGGTTTAAAGGAATTTTTTTTTTGTTGATACATTGTGTTTTCAATGGGAACTGTACTGGTTTATTTACTGAGGTGTTTAATATCAATTTTTAATCTGACTGTGATATCACTGACTTCATAGGAAAGTCATTATTTAACAAACAAAGTGTTTTTAAAAATAGTTTTACATGGAAGTGGTTTGAATGGGTTTTCACCCAAATTTAGATTATGCAATAAAGACTTCAAGTCAGTAAAGTTAAATCTGTATGCAGTCTTTTTCAAAGAAGTTGATAATTTTCTGAGCAGTTTGTTGGTCCAAACTACAGTCTAACAACTCTTCCTTGGTAGCCTGTGACACCCCGGTTACATTCTTGCAACCATCCTGCAGCACCAAGCATTCTTAAGATGTGTAGTTAAGGAAACTTCAAGGAAAAACAAGACCTAATAACTCACTCTGTTTATCACCATTGCTTATTCAAAGTTCTTCTTGATTTAACAGTATAGAGGGAGACAAAGAATGGGGAAAAAGTTCCATTGTAAGGAGACAAGCTTTTAACCAAAGGATACCATGATTACTTAGACCTATAGTAGCTAGGGCACCAAGAACAATGTTGTCATTGATTGTGGACTCTTGGAGCCTCTTCATTCTTTCTTGGATCACTCCTACCATGGGCTTGCTAGTAACCTAGATACAAAAAAACAGTTCTTAGATATAGACAAAGTTTTTATAAACAATCACCTCTACAATTCAAAACATTGTTGGTTCAACTGCACTCAGGCTTTAGCAGGTGCCCGTTCAGTGGCCCAATGGTCAGCTTTAGGTTTGATTAACCAGACTCTGTTTCTGAAATAAAGCCTCGTGCACCCTCTGCCTCAGAGGATCAAGGTCTAGGCTCTGATAGAAACAGCAGAGGAAGAACCTTGGTCAGCTAAAGCAATGTCTGTCTATGATGGATTTACACTCTGTCAGTACAAGTGGAAATACAAGATCAGGTCCAATATCAACTTTGTTCCTGGGGTCTCATTTCCTCAAAGAAGGGAGAGACCTGGGAACAGGGTCAATGTAATATAGGTAGCCTTGTTAACATATAGGTTGATAGTAGACCAGATGTTGCTTAATAGTTGACAGACATTTAACTATTGCTGTCAATTTTCAACCTCTACCCTATTGGCATGATGTACTAAGTACACCATGCAATTTGCAGTTTGTGTGCCTACATGACATACTCAGTTTGTTCAAGGTTAGAGAGTAACAACATAATCTGCAGCTCTGGGTAAGCAAATTAACCTGGCTCTCAGTCTCAAAACAAGTTAGAATTCTTAAATATTATAAATCAATGTATGTTGGCACAGGACTTCCCTGCGGGGTTGGCAGCAAGAGGTTAACTGAGAGCTGTCTTCCATGTAATTTCCAACTGACTCATCAATTAATAGTGAAAGTAAAGAGGTGATGGTCTCTGACTGATGATGATGGCCCTATGTGACCAAGAGCACAGAGAGAAACCAAGGCTAAATGTAGTGCAAGTTTACCTCATGCCAGGTAGACATCATTTGAGTCATCTATTTAACAAAGAAATATTTTATCTTCTGAAGCTTATCTTACACACCTTAGAAATAGTCATCATGCATTCAAAGCATTCTTTGGCACTGTGGGCAGGAATAAACCTTGAACTTGTTCCTAAGAATCTAGTAATATTATAGTTACTGTAGATTGTATGAGGTTCCCATATGGTCAGGATTTGACAAAATTTCTGCCATGCCTGAAAATTCTTCTTGAAGTTGGGTTTTGAATACCCACAACTCACCAATATGGATTTACACCATTGTGATTATAATCACTGCAGGCATAAATGAGTGAAAATTATCTTTTTGTGTCATATTATCTCACTGTTTAAGTATTCACCTCAGTGTCAGTGGCTAGCAGTGAAGATTTCCCTTGCCACTTCATGACTTGGTAGATATCCACCACAAGCAACCTCCATTTTGGAAAATAGTTGTTAACTATGTAAAGTTTTCTTCGGGGTCTAGCCCTGAGTGAAACAAGCTTGGAGTAGGAAAACGAAACTTAACGTCACGAATTTTTTTTTCCCATTTACAAGTATTTAGTTTATGGGGAAAACACCTTTTGAAGTGTCTTGATGCATTTGTTGGTGTCGTATGTTATAACTTTGGCTGAACATGGTGTTATTCAACGTAATTATTTTTTGGTGACCAGAATTGTGTCTACACTTCGTAAACTTTCACCTGCTTTGCAAGGCTGTCCAAGCTTTTATTTGTTCAGGCCCCATAAAAGCAGCCACAAGAATAACATAGGCTTTGCGATGTAACTGGTTTAGTTTGTGTATCCTAAGGAAAAAAATGATTATAATTTAAGACAGTAACTCAGTGAAAATAAAATTCTGAATTCAATAAGCTCGCGTTAAGATTTTGCAGTTTTTTTAGTTCAATTATTAAGGGTAAGGCAAAACTTCGGAACGTTTGGTTATACCTCTCTATGGTATCTTCGTTAATTAAATGCTTTTCCTGGTTCTCCGTCAGTACCTGATCCAAAGGCATAATCATGAAGGCGACGGAAGAGAGTGGAAAAATTATCACTCCATGGCCCGTTGTGTCTGTAACTATAAGATTTTCGATATATAACTTACAGTGGGTGTCTATTTGGAATGTAAAATTAAAAAAACTTAAAGTTCATTCTGATTTATGATTACCCCGAACTTTATGATATTGCATCAGAAGTCGATGAATGTCGCTGTTTTCGAGTGATCTGTTCAGTATCACTGGCCAACTTGTTATAACGCTGTCCGCCATATTGGTTAAAAGGAACCGATTTAAATCTTCGTGCCCAAGAAATTTCCGATCGATGCCGACGAATCCCGAAGTACTGAGATCTTGTGTTGATGAGGGTCCTAAATTCGATTTCCCTACCCCTCGTTCGCATCTTTTTGCATTCACATAATTCTCTAAGAGTTCATATGTTAAGTCAACATATAAGCCTTAATACAATCGATGCTTGGGTCCAAGCGGTGGGTGTAATACGCAGCTTACTGGTCACGAGTGGCGGATCGCGGGTCAAGGATAGCGAGTACGGGTGGCGGGTCACTAACCATGGGTCACGGGTTGCTATTTCAAGAATTATTCAGCGGATGCCTGTGACCCGTAAATGCGTTTCGAGCAGCAGGCCTGATATTACTGTAAGTTCTCATGTTAGCCTTTGATCTGGTGGGCCTTTAGGATGACTTTGGTTTAGTTTTTCGACACGTAATATTACGAACCGCTCTTAAGAGGCTGATTCTCTGTATCCCTAAATATGACTGACAAAATTGTGATTTGGCTCATCGCCCTTGACAATGCACGTTAATCATTACTTTGGGTAGATAAACAGCACTGTAGTCATTATATTGAAACATCGCCACTTTAATTCTTCACACGACCATAAATATCGAGTTTTCAATACATACTCCTGTATGGTGGAGATTGAGCATTAACTTAATGTTAGTATCTCCTCACAGCAGGTATTAAAATGGCAATGGTATGAAGAGAGAATGTAGAATGTAACTTCGCTATTAGGAGTTAGGTAACAAGTACTTTATTACTTGGTAATTATTTATATACTCTGTACAAAATGAGTTGTAAAGTCTTAAATTTTCATGTCTTTAGCAGCGAGAGGATTATCTTGTTATATTAAACAGGAAGAAAACGTTCCTTTAATGAAGACGACCAGAAATGGATCAAATACAAACATAACACACACAAAAGGGATTTTCATTAGGTTGTAATTTCTCATTATTAATGAAAGACTCTCCCCTTTCTTCACAACGAAAGACTGATATAACAAACCGTAAGCATTAAAAGAAGATTACTTCAAATTGTCACGAATACCTTGGTGGATATAAAACTGTTCACGAAACTCACTGTCTGGTACTCCTCTTTTACCCCCCAAAAGAAAAGAACAAAAAATTGCGAATGAAAGGAAAATAACAGCAACAGTACTTCTGTTCTAAACTTTTTTTTAATAGTACAATATAAACCCTTTTCAAGATAGCGTTCTCACCACCGGAATTGCCTTTGCAAACTTTAATCACGCCATTTTCCACTAAAAAAAATGTCGACAGTCTTCGATTTGACTGGGTTGCCGTAATTCGACAGACATTTTGAAGCAATCTTATTTCCATGCTAAAAAAAGGACGGGTAACAGAATAGTGATAAGGTTCAATATATATTAAATTTCCAACAGAAGAAAAGATAAACATATCTAAACAGTAGTTTGTGTAAAAGCTTTAGTAGTTATTGCGACGGAGTGTTGTAAAGTACCAAATAAAATCCAAAAATCGTACTCAACAGTGGTTCTTCTGGTGGTTGCTTTTCTAGATGTAAACTTTAGCTATGTGGTTTAATAACTGTGGTCTGGTTGCTGGCGATTGTAGGCGTAAAATGGGATTTTTTTGCTACTAGATAAAGGCACAATTTCCCTCCGGCGAATTAGTGCGTATTTTTAACGGAGATTTCTCTTCACTTAAATGAATGAGAGACTTTCTAAGAGTACAAACACTCTCACACTCTCCTATAATCCATCTCTTGGTTGTGTATTTTTCGTTGCTCGATAAAATAAATACCCGGGTCGAGAGCTCCTTTGTACACTGAACGTCTATCCGCTGTTTACAAGAGATAATTTACATTTTTACAAGCACCGCACCAGAGCAGTCCTTTTCATCTGGATGTTAATGATACACTGGAGAGCATTTTCTGTACTTTTTCGTCATTTCTCAAGATATTACACTTTACTGTGCTTATCCTATCGACCTGGGATAGAAAACGAAAAAAAAGAATCAATATATACTTGGCACAAGATCGTAGGGTCTCAAATATCTATAATCTCAACCTTACTCGTCTCGTACACAAAATCGATAGCTTACCATTTCTGTTATTTCAGTGTCAAGTTCATCTAGCTGTGATTTTAAGGGTGCGATCTCATTTTGTGTTATGCTGTGAAAAGAAAGCATGAAAAAAGATTGAAAGATGCCAAATTTGAGCGAAGAGAGACCATAAATTCAGTCAGTCACGAAGGTGGAAGAAGGCTATGGCGATTCTCTTCAGAACACAACAGACAACAATGTGACGACAGACTAGGAAAAAACCTCAGGAGTAAAGAGATTTATGTTACCTTTCCTCTCTTCTTAACGCTATTTCATGCTCCTTATTTTCCCGTCTCCACAGATCCAACTCCTTTTGCATACTATCCATATCTTCCTGTTATCAAAAATAGTACAAAAAAATTTGAAAAAAGCCAGCTTTTCCACAACGGCCACCTTTGGAAAATAGAACCTCCCAGCTGGTCAAAAAGAAAACAGTGACCCTTGTAAGGAAAAAAGACGTTGGCAGAGGTTCGACTGAATACCATTCCAGGCATTAAAACTACAGCAGATTTATGTACAGTTCCTTTCTTTTTTTCCTTCCATGATTAACCCTTTCACTCCCAGAAGTGAACAAAAACGAATTTCCCCTACAATGTCAAATATATTTTAACAGAAAGGCGACGACAAGAAAGAACAATACCAGTATCAACCAACCAAATTCTCAACTAAAAATTATATGAAATGCGATGGTGAAGAGGATTGGGGAGAATTGATAATTAGATTTTTGGAGTGATAGGGACTAACATAGTTGCAGTCCCAGAAATCGGCAGTGTATTGCAGTGAATCGCAGTGTATCGCCGTCTTTAGCATGCCCCCAAACCCCTCTTGGAGGGAACAGCCACTTATTCCACTATCGGCAGCCACTTATGGAAAAAAAAGTTATTGAAACCTTTCCTTAGTTGATGCTGCAAAAGTACCCCTTACCTGAATATAGTCCATAATTTTTCCTAATGGATTTGCGCTTCTCGTCAATGTCTGAATACTAGTTCTGAGTTTTTCTATCTGTAAAAAGAAATATGCAATTTAAATCGAACACAGAAAGAAAAATATCGCGAATGGAGATACTTGATATCTTGTTTACGTTGCTCTTACCTCCTTTTGCGCAAGTTCCCTTTCTTTTTTCCTTGCAGCGTCTGATATAATAGGAGCTTGTCTTTCCTACCAAACAGAAAATGAAATCAAACTGAGTTTTGGACAGTTACTGATTTTCAGGTGGTCTCTCCAATACACAAAGGAATGCAGTGTTCTCCTTTTCAGACGGTAACTGATAATTTTTGCCATTTGAAATATTTCTTGTCACCGCCTAAAATCGCTCGTAAATCTTGGAAATTCAACAGGTAAAATAATTCCTCTACTAGGTTGCAAACGTATTGTACTTGTCACACTCAAAATAAGGCAAGACTCAGCGAATGAACTGTAAGTTTTGACGGCATCGTAAGAAGGCCCTATTCACATTTTCTTTCCTCGTGAATTGAGGGAAAAAGATTCATTTCTACCAACTTTCAGATATAAATTACTCTTACACAAGGACACGTTCATAACAAACAGTCCCTCACCTGTTTTGGTCTTGTTTCTTGGTTTCGACCTCCTTCAAGCTCTTTCTTTGTTTCAAGAATTTTTCTAACAAGGCCCCCTGAAAGGAAAGGAAACTCTCTCGTCACTCTTAGACAATGGTTTTTTAGTGCCATGATAGACACGGATAAAACTCCAAACGATCCGCCCTTTCACTTCTTAGTTATGATTAGTAATTCTCCTTGATCTTACATTGATATTGCAAGTAGAAATTATATCTTGGTCACTCATGGGAGCTTCTGTTAGATAACCGATCCCTGGACCCAAGCGAGCTTGTTTTTTCTTAATATCAATCGAGGGAAATAGTCATAACCCTCATTTGAACTTTCATTTTATTCTATTTTAGTGTCATGATGAAAGATAAAAAGGAAGGATGATGAGTACAAGAGGAAAAATTTCATCTCCAAAAACAACAACAATAACCATAGATAAATAATCAGTACATATGAAAATAATTACCGTGTTCACCATCATCTTCAGCTACTTCTCCTGTAGGAGCCTGAGAAAATAAGAAAATACCATAATTTATTGAAGTAAGAGCCTGGTGACTGAAAAAAAAGGCCACTTCCATATACAACCACATCTTTGCTTCAATGAGTTTAAGAAATACAGCCAAAAATGCCCTTACAAAAGCCTCCCTTGCAATTTATTATTATGCAATATAAGGTGTGACATGTTGGATCGTGTACATGAAGATACAGTAGAACTGCACTAACCGGAATTCCCAAAAATTCCCAAGGAAAACAAAAGATGGTTTGAGTTAGCAGTGGTTATGGTAAGCTGATAGTAAATGACTGAAAAAATGGGTTAAGGGAAAACGGATCTTGTTCAAGTTATGGGGGGGTTCAAGTTAACCAAGTTAGTGGGGGGGTTCCACTGTACAAAGATGTCTGATAGCTAGAGAAGAGAATTACTCGTTAAATCATGGGAGTTAACCACTCACCACATCTACATCATTTTGGACTGCATGTGCATCTTCAACTACGAAGGTATCATCCTCATCATCATGTTCTTTGCCATCATCCACAATAACACTGGCAACTTGTTTCCCAGACCCAATTCTGCAACAAAGAAAAGATTGCCACTGGTTAACTTTACAAGCTCAAAAACAAATGAATCCTATTAAAACAGCAATACAGTTTGAGGTTGAATTATAGATGTTTAACAGCAAAGACATGCCCAGACATGGATGCTTCCTTCTTGTGTGCAGGTTCCTTTCTTTTCTTTTTATGAATTCTGATAATTTTTGAAAGAAAACCTGGACCCTGAAACACAGACAAAAGTCCTGCATAGAGATATTTTTTAAACTTTTTCAAAAACCTGTTCTAAGGACCTTTATTCTGCTAGCTTGAAATTGGTTTACCACGAAAAAACTCATGTTCTCAAGAGGTTTGATTTTGGATGGTCTTCTTATCATCAGTTTATAATAAAAAATCATGACAAATGCTGGCAAAAAACTGAGTTCTCAGCGGCCTTCTTTGCAAATTGTCTGCTTGTTGAAAGGTTGCAATAGCAACACAAAACACTTTTGTTTTTCAGCTCAGCAAAGTCAACAAGCCAGTGCCTCCTTTTTAAATTTGTGGTTCTTGAAATAGTTAATTACTAATATCAATAAAAACAGACAGTTATACCTGGCTATTTGCTCTTCAAGGTCCTCTTGTTGCTTTTTTATCTTAGGTGGGGCAGGCCTTGCACTGCTTGGTCTTGCCATACTACGACTGTTCATTAGAAAGAAATTTGATGTTAAGCAATCTCAGTAGTACAGCATTGTAGAACAAACAAGCTAAAAAAGAATCATTTAAAGGTAACTCTGACCACAAAAGGGGAGAGCATAGAGCTCTAGCCTTCATCAAAAAGTTTGGAGGGGGCATGACTCTCTCATTTCAGTGTGGAATTGATCTTAATCAAAGCATCAAATTGGTTTGGTAAATAATTCTAACTACTGTTTCTTGTCATCAAAACAATCCATAAAGGTCACATTTAGCCTGAGTAACAAAACTATTCTCCTAACTAAACAGATGCAGGTAGGTAAAGGTAGCGGTAAACCTCTTTTCTTTCATACCTTTTTATAACTTGAGGAGGGAGGTCTTCATCATGTAATACCCCATTCATTTGCTCAGTTGGTCTGGGTTGTTCATCTGTATTTGCACCTAAAGGAAACAAAATAAATTGGTTATGAACCAAAAACTATGTTTAGTTGATCTTGGTGCAATCAGTATATACAACTTCTTCACATAAAGTAAAGAGATGAAAGTTCCTGAGGTACTCTTCTTGACTCAGCATTTTGGGATTCCTTCTGAAGAAGTTTGCTGATAGAATACTGATAAAAAAAACCCCGACATTTCAATTTTTTAAATCAGTTTTCTCCAAGAGGTAGGAATATAAAACCCACATATGTCAAAATCATGGCTATTTTGTCAGCCATCCCACAATAAACATATGAAATACCAGCAGTTTCAGTGGTATATCAACAACAAAAAATTATTGTTAAAGAGTAAACTCTAGATAAATACTGTACAAAAAATGCCACTCTCAAAGCAGTCCACCCAGAAAATGGAAAACTTTCTGTTTCTGGTAATCAAAGATAACAATTTAATACACATCATTGCACATCTCTGCCACTACCTACCATCACTTTCACTATCTTGAAGATCTGAAACACAAATTATAAATATTAATGATTGGGCACAAAAAAGTAGTCACTGACAGCAACTTAAACTGTTACTTCATGGCTAATACAAAAGACCAATAAATATTATACACCATGGGACCACATTTTCATGTCACGACATGATTTTATTATTGATTTTTTCCAAAAGTAGAGGAATATAACTGATTAAGAAAAACTCTAAGCATATCCTTAAATGGGCTCCTTTGGAATGCAGTTTCTGCCTTCAGCAACATGTTCTACCCTAACAAAGCCAAGTGCACTACACTACTAAAGGAAAATGTGATCGCCAGCCACTTAATATCCATTTTTCTCTGTTTCATCATTTAAGTTCATTCAGATAACATAATAAGTTTGACTTTCCTAACTATTGTACCACCAATGTCCAAGTAAGACTTGGGTGCAAAACCAACAAAGTCTATTACAATAAGGTATATTTCCAACTCAGAAGTACATTTTTCAAATAACCCTTAAATCTAACAGCACTGTGAACACTTTGTCTGATGTGATAAATATTGTTTTCTTTCACACACAAGCATACCCTCTCCCTCCCCTGATGGTCTGCGTCTCTGACCTTTAGCAGAGGATGGTCTTGGAATGCGATTTGCTGGTGCCTCTCCATTCTACAAGTAGAGAGATAAAAATAAATCAACAGATCCTCTTCCAAAAAGACTGCTCAAGATCACCAAATATTAATTTTAAAAACAAGAAATTCATGAAATTAACATTCAAGTTAACACCCTCTGTTTGGTAATCTTAAATTAATTTAACTAGTTGCTGACTGGCTAGTAAATTTTTCCAAGAATTTAAAGAATACCTACATTTATATGTTTATGGGTTGAGCAATGTTAGGTCAATCCTGCCAACCAAAAACCTTATTTTTCCAATACTCAATCTGGTGTATTAACTGTATTATCGACAAATGTGATTATTCCTCTACACCAGATACTAAGACAAAATCTGATGAAACTTTAAGAGTCAGTATTCCTTTCAAAGATCAAGTCTCAGCGAACATTGCCAAAAGACAAATGCGTGATCTCAGTTCAAAAATCGGCATTGATGTACAACCAGTCTACACCAGTAAGAAACTTGAGCAGGACCTAAAGCTTAAAGAAATCAAGCCATGCATCGTAAGTCAGCATAGCGTTGTTTACTGTTTTAAATGTGATTTGTGTGATTCAAACTACGTCGGATATACGACGCGCCATTTGTTTCAACGCATCGCTGATCATCGATACTCTGCCATTGGTCGCCACCTGAGAGATGCCCATGGGAACATAGACTTACTCAATGAGAGCCAGTTTAGAATGCTTAAAAAATGTGGCACGAAATGGGATTGTCTTGTTTATGAAATGTTGTACATAAGAACAATAAGGCCCAATTTAAACACCCAGAGCGATTCCATTAGGGCCAAACTCTTTGTTTAACTTTTAACGCTTTGTAATTTATTCACCGCTTCATTATATATATACTCAATTTTATTATTCTAGTTCACTTGATAATGACGTTCTGGAAACGTCGAAACGTCGTGTTATGTTTTATAATATTTTATCGCAGATTTTTATTGTCAAAAGCAATTTAATTCCCCTGTTTTTCCTATAGCTAAGATTGGCCTGAGTCACTGTAACTTTGCCATTAAAAAAGAAAAATTTGCATCAGAAAAGTAAGGGTTGCTGATCTGAAAAGATATAATTTGCCATGGAAAAGTAAGTTTTGCCCGATAAAGAAGTTTTGTCCATGGCAGATGGGACACTGGATATACTGTTGTATGTGGTATACCCAGTCAAACAAATACCCACAGGTAACTACTATTTTGCCATGAGGTCTGATTTTTCTTATGGTAAATTTTTAATCTCTGTCACCATTTTGGAGATGATTATCAGTTTTTTCTAAAAAAAAAAAGAGGTTTTGTATGTCAGTTTGTGGTAAAGTTACCTCTGATTCACCATCAACTGCAGCTGCTGTTGCTACATCAGGACTATCCACATCATCATCTTTTCTTTGCAGCTGCTGAAATGAAAGTGGTACCCCCTTATATTTGATTTCCACATTGATGTTTACTTAATTCATGGTATCATTCAGAACTTAGTCAACAGTCTTGACTCAACACTTGATCTTCAATGTTTTCCAGCATCCAAAACAGAGCTTCAAAAATTTGCTTCACTCTACCGAAACTAAGATAAATTCCAGTCAAATGGACCACAAACATGTCACTTGAACAGTTTCTTATTTTTTTCCCACACCTTTTCTTTTTCTTTTTCTCTCCCTCTGTCAGATTGCTTTTCCTTCTCTTTTTCTCTCTTTGCTGATTCATCTCTTTTCTTTCTATCTGAACTGTCTGCTTTATTAGATGAACTATCCCTCCTTCTGGAAGAGTCACCCTAAAAATAAAATTCAAGTAAAATGCTTGAAAATACCCTTTTGGAATGTAATGAGTGATATTTCTTGAAATAGTTTATCTTGCCTTTAGCATGATTTGACCTCAAAATTATGCTTTGAAGAACTTAACAAGCTTCCATTTAAAAAGATATGATTGAAAGGTTTCCATTCAGGGGTATATGACCACAGGACTAGCATATTTGCTTGTTTTCTTGTAATCTATTTCTTTGTTTACCAACAACTGGGCCAATAAAGGTCAATTAGGAGACTATAATACCATAAAAACATATTTTTGTATAATACCATAAATAAGTATTTCGCTCTTTGGTAAATTAAAAAAGTAACCATTGAAAATATCAATGAAGATCAGTTTAAGGATACTGCCATAAAGGATAACTGTTACATCCGCATTCAGCACTTAAATGAGCTATGCTGACAAAGATAATTGTCTAAGTATACACATAGATAAATCTGCTGCCGTTATTATCAGAACTTAACCAACTGCATTGTCACATCAAATACCTTGTAACAGAAAATGAATGAAAAGTACCTGTTTATGTTTGTCTTTGTCATCTTCTTTCTCTCTGTCTCTACTTCTGTCTCGATCTTTACTTTTTTCCTTGTCTTGTTCTTTTGATTTCTCTTTATCCTTGCTTCCACTTCCAGTTCTAGAATCTTTTCTTTTGTTATCACTGGTTATAGACACAGTAAAAGTTTTTTAAATATAAATTTACTAATCAATTCTCTTAAGGTTGATATGCCTTCTGCTGCTAAATGTAAACTTTTGACTCAAAGTTTCCAAAGTGATAATCATGAAATTAATAGGAATGGCAAGGAAAATTAAACCAGAGGGAAATGCTCCTAAAAATTGTTTAACTCTCTATACCCCAACATCAACATGTAAATTCTTCATACTGTTTTTAATAAATTTCCTAAGGAGCTGACAAGGAGAATTTAGTAAAAAATCACTAACTTTTCAAGTTTGGAAAAATTTCCTTCATTTTCATCAGCCTAAAGGTTGATTCAGAAGTGATGCCTTCATGAGAAATTAGATGCTAGTCACCCTCAGGGGTTAAAGGGTTAGCTCATACATGAAGGTTATTTTGTGCCTTTTCATCGTGAGCCTTACTGGCTAAATAAATCATAACATTCTTATTTGGGTAGCATTAAAAAAACATTTTTATCTTCATAACTCAACTGAAAAAATGTAACTTTTTGTTATTGATAGATAACATGATTCATGCACCATATTAGCAAATATAGCAAAGTACTTAAGGTTGATCATACAGGCAAAATCATATTTGTGTACACAGCTCAAAGCTATGTGTACTTGGGGAATCTATATATATATCTCTTTTCCAAAATTCCTTTTTCCTTCCATATAATAAGGGTGGTCAGCCTATTTGCCAAGATTACAGCTTTTGCAATAAAATCTCAGTCACTAGGTTAAAATTTTTTCTTAGAGGTTCCTATAGAAGCTTTAAACCAAGTTTGTTGACTATGTTAAAATTTCTCATGTTAAGTTTGAATTTTAATGTCATCAGCCATGCAACTCACATCAAAAGGTCCTTATACAACACAAATGTTTTAAACCAACCTAGGTTCTTTTCCTGGTTTTTCTCCTGCTAATACTTTTTTCACTGCACCAGTACTACTTTTCTATAAAATAATAATAAAAATAATTTAAATTTCTTAAAATCAAGTTAGCTGAGAGTAAATGACTGAAAAATAGGGTCAAGGGAAATTAGATCTCCTTCAAGTTACATGGTGTTTGAGGTAAAGAAGTTGGAGTTACTAGGGTTTTACTAAAACTGTATATATTGAAACTCTGAGTAAATTAGGAAAAAAGATGTAAAGAAAGCCTTGCTGTGAACTCAGAAAACCATGAATATCAAACATATTTTTTAAATATGATTATGTCCAAGGGAAATCTTTGTGAATTTGAGGTTTGCTTACAATGTACCAGTCCAGGTTATCCATGAGATTGATCAATTGAAAGTACAGTGAACTCTCCAGACATATTTCCATTGTTTATAGCTTTCTGAGTTTGACAAAAAGACAAACCTGACCTACCTTGTGTAAAATTGCTGTGCCCATTGCTTGCAGGAACTCATTTGTCTTTTCAGGTTCATGGCCTGCTACAATTTTTGATGGACGTACTGACAACTGTCCAGTTATCATACCTGTGACCATTTAATTAGACAACAGAGACAATCAGATGTTTTTTCATTGTTTATGAATTACATAACACCAATTTGAAATTTCCCATTTGTAATATCAATGTTTAGTTTGCAATTCATTACCAACTGTAGTGTCATCACTAGAACAATATTTATCATTATAATCTGATTCTCTCTGATTACTAAATGCTCTATATAAGTTTTTTCTTTTCAAGTCAAACAAATTGTGCTTCCTCACCAACTTAAAGGCATAAATACATTAAAGCACCACACAAATTCAATCTCTTAAAATTACATGAAAATTAACTGAAAATTAGTTGAGTGAAAATGTGAATGTTAAACATGAAAATGACACCAGCAATGTTATGTTAATGGTAACAACAAATATGATTTTTGCTAAATCCTATTGACTAAAACAATTGCACCACAGGAGAAGGACATCAAATTTTGGACAGTGAAGTGTTAGGAAAGTTTGCAAAATAAAAACTAAATTAAAAATATGCCAGTATAAAACAATTGCTGGAAAAGTATCTCTTTTTTTAGTAGCCATTTTGTTACCTTTAACCACATTACTTATAACCTAGCCGTTATCTATGAAGGTGCAACAAATTACATCTAAAATCACAAACTAAATGTTTGGTTCACAGGTTTAAATTTGAACTTTTTCCTTTGATGAAATCATTAATTTTCAAGAACAATTTCTCTAAGTAAGCACATCAGGCTGTTACTAAACAAAAACAAATAGCAGATCGGTGAGGCAAATGTCTTTTCTTCTATAACAATTAAATGAGATTTCGCGAAAAGTTCCTGTAAAAATATTAAAAGTTCATTTTGTAACTGTTCAGTGCGGATTCGATTTACAAGTCGGTATCACAAGAACACTTCTTTGTGGTCAGGATTGCATTAAACAGCGAAATTTGGCTTAAAAGCACTAACCGAAACCTAAAAAAAAAAATTTTTGTAGTCACTCGGCTGAATCTTAAGTGTTCCATTGAATGTATTTAATTTGAAGAAGTAAATGATGGAAGATAATTTTTCATCACGCTCACTTGCGTGCTACAAAACAGGCACCTGATGGTGCATTTTGTCGGATTATAACGAGTATAAAGATCAAATGTCCTCGATGGATTGATAAATGTATATGGACCTTCATGATTTATGGTTTAAATGGTTAGATATAAATAGCGTTTTTGCCAAACGAAAAACCTGTGCGAAGTGTTGCGACTGTTTCTTAGCAACACACAACATGACCTCGGTGTCTTACCTACGACGTCTATTGCTTTTTGAAGAAAAAGAATCTTGGCTTCTTTTTCCTATAATTGAGAATCAGCTGTTAGTATTAGGATGTTAGTCCTAAAATGGGAAACGAGAAGGATAAAAAATAAGCAATATCCCCTCTCGCTTTCAGTGAAGAGCACACTAAATCTAAAGCCTTATAAATTGCAAGCTGCTAATACCTTGACTTTCGCTGAGTCCATCTCATCAGCGGTGTACAAGCCTTTGAGAAAACCAGTGTTCCTCACCACCTAAATTTTTGCAGAAATCACAAAGGTATCAAGAGGAAGTCCTCATATCAATACTGTCTTTTTGCCACAGTAATCAAGAGTACCTCAGTGATAATATCATGAAGAAACCGGAATGGAGGCTTGCCCAGCAATTTTTCCGTTAAAGGAGGTTTCTTTATGACCTTCCCTAACGTATCTTGCGTTTTCTTTGCTATTGAAGGGTCCATGGTAGATCTTTCTTCACTGAAATGTTAATAAAACTAGAAAAAATCTCTGGGAAGCGAGAAAAATGTTAAATAATTCTCCAACGATGCACCGCCATTGCTAAAGCCGCCTCGGGCAAAATGTAATTAACCAAAATGCATTTCGGCCGGGTTATTATGTTGAGGTTGTACGTTCGGGATAGATCGCGGGATGAATCCCGCAAGATGTTACCATCCCATCCCATAATACCTACAAGCGTAGCTTGTAACCTCGCCTTACCTTGCATTCGAACAAGAATCCATTTCAATGAACATGGCGCGGTCGTGTTGCAGCTAAACCATCAACGATAAGACCCTTTTTTCAAGTTATCACGACCTTGTAGCTGCCATTTTATCAATCCTTAAATGTGTAAAGCATAAAGGAAGAAGAATCACACTCTTTCCTGATGTCAAGGATGGATTTTTCAGAAATCCACGAAGGTAACGTCGGTCCAATTATATAATGACATTTCAACCTGACAATGCGCGTATGCCACAGCTCACCTCGTGGTAGATCTAAGGCAAATAGTTTGGTTCTAAACTTGGTGACGCGACCTGAACACTATCTGGAAATTACTTTGATTAATTTAGGCTATTAAAGAGGTATTTTTGCGTATGGAGTAGTCCAAGGGGATGTTTTGAGTTTGACGACCAACTTTGAATAACAAATTTACTCTACTGGATTTTTCGTTTGCAAGTTTAAGATATCGAGTCTACCGTGGAGGAGAATGTGTTTAGACAATCAACAGCTCGAAAAACGTTTCTTGTTAAGAATCAGTAAGGTGGGACATTCAAGTGACAAACAACGGACCAGTTACACGCTTAGATTGAATTTTTGCATGATCGAGGAAGTAATTGATCAGAAATAGCGTTAAACGTTAACGGACTGGTTCGAGCACATATGAATAACTTCGGACATGAATCAGGAGGCAAAATTTTGGGCAAGATTTGCGCGTAGCCCTTTACTTCTTGGATATAGAAAACAATGAAAAAATACAACAGATTGTGTTTGGAACCTCAGCTCTGTGTTGGAGTAGTGTGGGCTTATGTGGTAGTTAATTACACATATATGTAGGTATGCATAGGGTTAACAATTGTTTAAATTAATGAAAGAGCAGAAGTTATTTTCTACAACATGTAGATATATATCCTGACAAAGGAGAAAAAGGAACTAGAACATTTTGTTTTGACATCTTCTTGTACTTAGCTTAGTGTGGATATGAATTTTAACAACCTCCTATTAAGGGCTGAAATTCAGAGTTCCTTGTCTGTTATTGATTATCATTTGATGAAGGTGGATAGACTACAGAAGGGAATTTTTAAAAGCTGATGTTAGGAATGTTTGGCTATTTCAGAACAAAATTTCAGAGGAGGGTTGGGAAGGAGGAGAGTAACTGTTGGGTGTGAGTGTGTTAATATAGTTGAGAATGAATCTATGCTACTGGGGTAAACATTTCTAACAGATGTTAGCCCTTGTACTTCCAAGATCTAACTAATACTTCTCTATACCTTCAACCATATAATCCTTCTAATTATAGCACTTAGAATTATTTGTTTAGTCTAACTACTTCCCATTCTGTACATGCTATACATTCTATAAAGAAGGTGATGAAAATTATTTTACAAGTTGGTACTCAGATGGCACTCATTTCTGCAATATGTTTAAGCACACAAAGGAAGCACAAGTGGTTTTTTCCTCTAAGAGTATCGTTTTTTTGTGATTTACAGATGAACTGGTGAGTTTGGGAGTTGACTTTGGTAAGTATTTTGTCGATGAAAGTGCTTATAAACTCCAGAAGTGATTAAAGAAGTTCTCCTTTTTATATCCATGCATCATCCAGCAAACAGGAAATGAGAATACTCAAACAAATAGTTGTTAACTTTATTGAACACAAAGTTCTCATAATTAATTTACTAGGAATAACAGGGTGTTCAAAAGAAACTTATTGCACTGAATAACAAAGGCACATGTGTTGCACATTTCGACCATGCATGCCAAAAAATCGTCTATGTGCGTCTGACTACCCCATGTCTGAGTGTATGAAATTTGTTGGCATAGTTAACATACATGTGAGCAGTACTGTTTGTAACAGCTAGAGGTGAGAATTAACCCTCCAACTCCCAGAAGTGATCAACATTAAACTTCTCCCCATAATATCCTAACGTTAACCAGCAAATAGGTAATGAGAATATTCAAACTTATCAAGTAGAAGTTTTTATCTTGATCTAACACCAAGTTCTCATTACCACTTCACAGAGAAATGTGTAGCAGCTTAAGGGGAGAATTAATAATTTGATCTTGGGAGTCAAAGGGTTAACAATCAGATCTTGGGAGTGAAAGAGTACACTGATTCATTTCATTTTAACCTCTCAACTCCACGAAAATAAGCTAAAGCTTTAACATTGAACATATTCTTGGTACAACTTGCATGTGGTTTAAATTTTTTTCCTTATTCCTAGCTCCTTATGTTGGTCATAACTCAGGGCGTGAAATTACACCTAATACAGGCACCAATGTGACTAAATTTTTCACTTTTGTGACCAAATCCTGAAAATTAGTCGCCAAATTAGCAACTAGAATGTTTCATCATAACCTTACTTAGAGATATAGTGAATTAAAAAGATTTGTAGAGATAAATCTGCAGCAAACTTCCTCATTAAGTTTGTTTCTGAAACGCAGCACATGCATCTTGATTGATAACTAGACACCATCTTGGATTTAGGTGAACTTGGACATAGCATATCATCCATCCTAGTGTCCACTTTGTAGCAGGTTAAAGATCTTTTCCCTAACTTAATTTCTAGAATGATGACAGTGTAAAAAAGAAAGTTTTGTTTGTCTTGGAAAATGGTGACCAACTTTTTTTGAATTGGCTACTACTTTGTAGGATTTAGGAGCCAAGTGGCAATCAGAAAAAAAAATTAATGTCGTGCCCTGTAACTTGAATTGTATTGCGACAGATGGATGATAAGCACAACTTCATGTGATGTCTCAAGAATTCACACTGTGAAAATGCAGTAGAAAGCTGATGTTTCATTTGCTCTGAAAAAGGGCTGATGCTCAAAACATCTGCTTTTGAACTCTTTAAAGTGGCCAATTTACATTATCAACTAAGTTGATAATAATAAATTACCCTGTTAGACTCTCCCACCAACACAGTACCACAGTTTCTTAAGAAACTTACCCTTTTATTCATTTAACTCTACAATTACTTGTTTAATTAACCACTTGATTGATATTATGCAGATTGTATGAGTGTAGCATTGAAAACATAAACCATTGATAGAAATAAACAAACATCTCATTCCAAAAGATAGAAAAATCCCAGAATATCTAACTGTTACAAGTAGCATCCATTAGATTGGGTAAGGTCAGGCTTACTGCCAAAGAAACAAATCAATTGTATGATAAAGTATTCCAATGTCTAGAATTTTTGTCTAGTATGTGTCTTTTTGTCTGATACCTGAATAAGGAATGTCCAAAAGCCCTCAAGGCCAGTGGCATGAGATAACCTATTATCAACAGACCGAAATCAAAATGGCAGTTACAATGCTTTTAAACTGTACTCATTTGCTCATTAAGTAGTGGGAAAGCAAAAGTCCCATGAGTGACACAATAACATCTCCTCAAAGAATGTTAACTTAACTTAGCTACAATTATTTTCTCAGAACATGGAAGACGAGGACCAAGACCACCTTTCCGACACCCTGGACCACACCCTTTTCCCCCATTTGGTCCAGGTGGGCCCCATGGACCTCGCATGCCTCCAGGAGGTCACATGCCCAGACCACCAGGTCCTATGATGATGGGACATCTAGGTCCACACCCACGTGGACCCATGGGGCCCATGATGCGTGGCCATATGCCAGGCCCTCATGGTCCTCCAGGTCCTATGGGGATTCCAGGACCCATGAGAGCGAGGCTCCCTATGGGGGAACATGACATACTACCTCCATGGAATGACAGGGGAAGAGGAAGGAGGCCACCTGGCAAACCACTACCTCAGCGACAACTAAGTCGAGAAGCACCAAAGCCCAAAAAGTCTATAACACCTGATAAAGCAAAGTATGGACATAATATTATTGGGGAGGAGATTTAAAAAAGGGGCTAAATTAGGCACTGCTCAGCACCCCCACTTTGCAAAAGGTTTAACATTTGATTATGAAAGGCTGATACGCAAAAGGTTTAACATTTGATTATGAAAGGCTGATACGCAAAAGGTTTAACATTTGATTATGAAAGGCTGATACGCAAAAGGTTTAACATTTGATTATGAAAGGCTGATATGCAAAAGGTTTAACATTTGATTATGAAAGGCTGATACGCAAAAGGTTTAACATTTGATTATGAAAGGCTGATACGCAAAAGGTTTAACATTTGATTATGAAAGGCTGATGCGCAAAAGGTTTAACATTTGATTATGAAAGGCTGATGCTCTTAGGTCATCACTATGTCAGTGATAATCACATTGTGGGGTCAGTGAATTGCTACACACTGATTTTTAGGGGAGTTAGTGGTGTTTTTGGAAGTGCCAAGTAAATATGTTTGGGTTAAGGAATGTTTTAAGCAATAAGTCCAGAACCTTTGCCCCAACATTTTTTTTCAGGGGTGGGGGAGTAACTTTTACACTTCCTTACTGTGGGGATATTGCAGTTGGGTAAACTATTACCATAGCAACAGTTGTGAAGGAAAACATGATAAACTTTGTTTTATGGAATCTAGCTAAAAATTCCATTTATATTATTTCTTATTAATTTTCAATTGAGGAAAACAATCACAATCATTTTGGGTCAATTGTTAAAGTTTTGTGGTTAATTTTCTTGATTTATACTACAACCTCAGCAAATCTTATATGAAAAGCTTGTGTGCTCTAACATGGCTGGTGAATGACTTTCCTTCAAGAAGCACGATTGTTAAACAAAAACCATAGATTGAATTCCCTGAATATATTTTTCCTTAGTAACTGTTGCCATGACAAACTAAACAAAATCATCCCACACAAAGTACCTGCCAATGTTTCCACCCCCCTCCAATTCAATTTTATCTGGCAGGGTTGTTTTGCATGTATTGCCAAAAGATCACGAACAAATAAATATCAGTACTTTAAAAAGCACTTCACTGCCCCTTGTGGCCAGTCACTGACCCCTCAGTTTTTCACCATAACTAACGTTGCAGTGATCTCTGGGTATCAGGCTACCATGATCTGATGTCAAACCTTTTGTGTAGTGAGTGTGCTAGGAGGTTGACTTATCTGACTTCTCCTCCTTGACTGTATTTTGAAGGATAGGCTAAAAAAATAACCAACAAGACTTTGCAAAATCAGAAGTGAATTCAAAAAGATTTAAAGTTAATTGAAATCTATTTCCCTAATTTACATACAGTCATCGGGTCACAAAATATAATTTTGTCATGTGGAGAGAACAGAGTGGAGAGGTGGATAAAATGATAAATTGTATAGTTAAGTTTCAGAACATCCTCTTTTTCACATGATTAAGATACCTCTTTTTCCTATTGTAAGTAAGCTGGCACGCAACTACAAATCTTAATAATTTACCTTGGAAAAAAAAACAAAAACAAGAATAGCAACAACAACAACTATAACTTTACCCAGTAATGGTGTTCTGCTCTCTCTATATTTAACTGTTTGATAAGTTTGGTCAACTCTTCCCTGACATTCATTGAAATTTCCCATACTTTCTAGAAAAGAAGAGTCAAAACCAGCTGATGGAGAAGCTAAAGGTCCTCCTGCTAAAAAGGTATTTTGAATTGATTTAGTCCTATTGAATTGGCTGGCTGGTGACTTTATGTGGCAATAAAGTCAATTGTGCTGTACATTATGTAGGGTTATAAGTTACCACCTTCTTTATCAGTCTTTGTTTCAAAATTCTAGACTTAAACTGAGGGTATTCTTTTGAATGCAATGTAGAAGTGTTTGGGGACTCTCTTTTTAATTTTTCAGCCTAAAAAGGAAGATGACGACCTGGAGGATCTTGATGAGGTAGAAAATGTTTTGTTAACCCTTAACACACAAATATCAGTATGCATATTCTCCACACTTTTCCCCATACAGTTCTTAAGGTGCTTATTTTTCTTTTTTCTTTTTTCTTTTTTTCCCCCTCTGCTGTGTAGGAAAAGTTGTTAAAGAGTGATGATGAAGGTGAAGGGTGAGTTACACTTGAACATTATTGTTTTTATTACAATTAATTAATGTTGAACTATTTTAAATTTGCATCCTGTTTATTTGATTTAAACAGTATAGCTACTAATGAAAAAAATTTGCCATTTGTATCAAACTTTTTAAATCACTCCTCAAAAATTTAAATCACATGACAGTTTCTTTAGATCACTAGGAAAGTATCAAGTCAAGTCAAATTAAAATGCTGTTGAAAGAATCCCTACTCTAGTGATTGTTTTCCAAATAGTTAGTGATCAGGAATTCCTATTGATCACATCACAAGTTGTCATGTTTAGATATATGAAATTCACTTGTGATGAGCTCATGCTAGTTGTATACGTTATGATATGATCATCATTTTCCTTTTTCTTGTTTTTTGCTTGTAATAACCTATGAAGGTGTTCCATGCCAAGTTGTTTTTGTTTCTTTTCAATGTTGTTGTCCAGTCATATGCAGAGTTGTCTCTGATATCAATTCTTGACCCCCAATTTCATAGGGCAAATAATGTTGATTTGGATGCTGTGAGTATCCATGGTGATGATGAACTGGATGATATTGATAAAGAGATCAAAGGCCTGTCAGAAGGAGCAGCTGAAAACAGTAAGAAGACAAATTCAAAAGGTATGGATTTGTAGGGTGAGCTTGTCAATTCAGCTGATCACATACTTGAAATTTCAGGGTGCCCAAGTCTATTTGGTTGACCAAATTAATTAATCAATTGAAAAGATTTCTATATGTATATTATATTAGCTTGAAACTATTATCAAAATGACTGAAAATTTGATGTTGTTTACAGAAGAAGTTAAGAAGGAGCAAGTCACACCTGTCAAAAAAGAGATAAAGAATGACAGTGATAGTGAAGATGAGGGCAAGAAGGACAGACAGCGCTTTAAGTCCGAGCGACCAAAGGAGGCACAGTTCAAGATTGAAAAGCATGAACAAAGTATGTGGCATTTGTATCAAAAGTGATTTTTGTTTTTTTTTTTAATATAGTTGAACTTCCATTCAGGAGTACTGAAGGGAACCTACAATAGAGGTGTACCAGTTACATTTAGAGCCACAGGTGTTAGAGAGAATGATGGGCAAGAGAGGTGTAAGAGACTAGAGAAGGAAAAGCAAAAGACATGAGGGAAATGCCACACTCTTTAAATTTCTTCTCATTAATACACAATGCAATGCAGTAGTGCAGTGGGTAGTGTTGGTTAGAATAGAGGAAAGTTGTCCCTCCCCCCCCCCTTTTTTGCCTTCTCCCTCCCCTTATTTGTGTTCTTTAAATGTAGATGGTCCAAAAGAGAGAGAGAACAGAGTAAAAGATGAAAGAACCCTTATTAACCCCTTACAACCCAAGACAGCTTTGTTAATTCACCATAATTTCTGCCATAAATTTTGCATAATACTGGTTCTGAGGATTTGTTGTATCCCTTAGTTGCTAGTTTTGAATCCTTTACTCTCATCACCAGGCCCTAGTTGTTCAAAGGGTGGAAAATGCTATCCAACGGATAAATCGCTAACCAGTGGTTAATTGTTAGCAAAAATTATTGCACTATCCATCGGATAGGGACTTTTCCAGTGGATAGTACTATCTACCCTTTGAAACAACCATCACTGTTTTTTTTTAATGTATTATCGGGAGAATCTACTGAGTAGTCATCTGAAGTATATAGTTTCAGCCTTTTATACTAGAAGCAATGTAACTTCTTTTTCTGTTATCCCAGAGAGAGAGTTCAAAAAGCATGATGACAGAAACTGGAACAGAAGAGATGTTGGGCGGGGCCGTGGCAGAGGAGGGCCAATGATGTATGTATTAACAACACACAGCAGTTATTTGTTTTGATAATTGATGCAGTTTTTTTGTAAAATGTACTCATTATTGTCAGCATGAACAAGAATGCGTAATTTACTCCTGAACTGAAATTGATATGTTGGGGGTAGTAGCCAGAGCTTGTTTTTTTCCCTCTTAACCCTTTAACTTTCAAGATCTGGTTGTTCATTCTCCCCTCCAGCTGTTACACATTTCCTTGTAAATTAGTTATAAGAATTTGGTGTAAGATCAATACAAAAAATTCTACCTGATAAGTTTGAACATTCTTGTAATGTGTTTGCTAAAAAATGTACAGATATTTTAGGGAGAAGTTGCATGTTAATCACTATCAGGAGTTAAATGGTTAACCCTTTCACTCTGTGGATCTAAATACCATTTTTCCTTACAGTCTGTACTACATTTCATATGATTTTGCCTGGACGATTTGACGTTATATCGTGCAATATACTCTGAGTGATATTTTTCTTTTGTCTCATCATCATTCTGCTTAAAAAATGTATTGATATTGCAACGACAAAAAAAAATTTTTTTTAGACACTCTTGGGAGAGAAGGGGTTTATGAAATGAACAATAGAGCTCGTTTGAAATAGGCCTTGTTGTTTCATCATTACTTCAGGGGACCTCCTCTACCAGGAATGGTTCGGCCAGGAATGCACCCTCCTTTTCCACCTAGAGGGCCAGATCCTTTTATGCATGGCCCCAGACCTGGTATGGTGCCAGGCCTTGGAGTAGGACCAGATCATGGCCCTGGTCCCCGACCACGCTTCCCACTTGGACCCAGTGGACCAATTCCTGGTCACATGCCTGGGCCCCCAGATGGCCATGGAGCCTTCCCCCCACCAAGTAAGTTAAAACACTATTGTTGCTGATCTTCTCTTTTCAAAAATTTTCTTCTCGTAGTTGTTAATTTTTAAGTTCCTAGGTCAGCTGCCAGATGTAGTTCAAGTTTATTATTGAAATCAGTGCCCTAAGTGTTTATGTGTAATGACATGGAAGATGTGTAGTGTGCCTCTTTTATCTTGATTTTGGAGGGTTACCAAAATATGGCTCCACCCCCCAGGGAACAATCCCTCTTTCTTTTACTTTTTATCCAGTTTAAATCCTGTTGATAGCACCAAGACACTTGTTACAGTGTTGGGATACAACAGCAGGTGCCTGATTTTAGGGACCCTTTTTAAATCTTTCCCGAATTGTGGCCAGGTACATGAATGATCATCTTCCTTCATGCACCATATGCATAAGGAATACAACTTTAACTGTGTATTAAGACACACAGAGAGTTGATCATGAACATTTTAATAGCTGCATAGTTGTACTCATTGTTATCTTCCAACTTTATTTCTTTCCCTGCTGAATTAAGTAAGGTATGATTAAAAAATCACCATCCCCAAAATAGTTTGCTGTCTTAGTGTCTTTCCATAAAAGTGCATAAAGGAAGCTGTGGGATTCTTATTCAATAGGGTTCTTGATCAAAGGAAGGTGCTAATTTGAGGACTTACAGTAGCAATTCCTAATTCTTCCTCTCTGCCCCAGAAATCAAAGGGATAAATTCTTCCCAGGCGTTACATGATTATAGTGTACTAAGACACCTTAGGTAGTACAGAATGTCAGCAAGGAACTGAGAGATATGCTTCTTTATAACAGGGCCACCTCAAGGAAAAAATATTCACATCAACCCACACTTTAGACCTCCTCCAGGGGGAAGAGGAATGCCAGAGGGTGAGATATATTTGAATCATTTTACAAAGTGAAGTTGTAACTTTCTGGCTGCTATATTTTAACATCACCCAGCAAACCGTTTAGAAGAATTGACACCTTTTACCTTAACAGAGTTATCTTGATGTGACACCAAGTTTTCTCTGATGGACACGGGATTGTGTCACAGAGAGAAAAGATACAATGTTTTTTTTTAATTTTTAACTATTTCTTTCGTCAGTTCTTTTGTCATCTTCAGGACAATGTACTTAAATTTGAGCTTCAAGGGAGAAATGTATTCCTATATTAGACTGTAAAGTTCGTTCCATTTAATGTACAAAAACTGTTCTCGTTAATGTGTCTTAATTGCATGCATTAAGAAAATTTCACTACCATGTGAAAACCCTTTTTTTCCTTCCTTTAGGGTGTTTGATATGTGTGTTAACATCTACATGTCAATTGTGAGGTCATAAGGAATTACACTGTTGTTGGAAGGTCTCGTAAATTTATACTGAGTAAATGCACTGTTTTGGTTTAATCTTGCAGGTCCACCTCCCATGCGAGGGCCACACCTTGGACCTCTCAGGCCTGATGTGCCAGGGCCCCATATGGCAGCTCTTCACCCAGGTCCCATGCGCCCAGAAGTTACTCTCCCACCTGGCCCTGCTGGAGATTTTGGACCCCGTGGACCTCTTCCAGCTAGAGGGCCTCATATGGGTCCAGAGCAAGGACCAAGGCCCAGCATGGGACATGACCCAGTAACAGCACCAAGGCCAATGGGCCCAGGTGGACCAGGTCCCATGCAAGGTCCTGGACAAGGTCATGGGCCAAGATCTGGTCCAATCCCTGAGAATGACATGAGGCCACCCCATGTCATGGGAGCTGGCGCAAATGCACTGTCACAACCCAGGGTAAGTTGCAGATTCTTTGACTCAACTCTTGATTGATTATATAAGAGCATCTCAAACTGCATTAAACTTGACAACTGTTAATTTGACTTGCTGCAAAATTTACTTAACTCCACGTATGGCCAGGGAACGATGAGGATCTTATCACTCAAATTATTTTATTCTTAAAAAGTTTTGAAATTCCAGAAGTTTCATTACCTGACGTGGCAAAATCGCAAAAATGGAATGACCAATAATTAACTCAACTGACACCAATAGAAAATTTTCAAACTTAACCAAATTCCAGTGATGTCAAAGTTTCATTCGAAAAGTAAACACCAATTTTCTTTGCTAATTTCAAGGGACCTCCCCAAGTAACACCCAACATGGTCCCTCCACATGGTCCTCTACCAGGGCGTGCCCCAACAGCAGGGGGCCCAGGTGCAGTAGCACATACTGGAGCACCAGGGGGACCTAGCCCCTTACCAGGGCAGCAACACCCAGCCATGCCACCAAGGGGTCCCACACAAGGAATGCCACCAACAGGATTACCTCCTGGAGGCCAAGTACATCCAGGTGCTTTACAGTCAGCAATGCGACCACCAGCGATGAACCAACATCCGGAAGTACCCATGTCGGAACCAGAACGAATTGTCATTGGAAATCGTGTGACAGTGTCTAATATGGATGTCTCCAATCCCGTAATGCGAGGTGGAATACCACCACCTGGTTACAATGCAGCAGCAGCCATGGCTGCAGCTCAGGGAGCTAATTTAGCTGCTGCGGCTGCAGCGGCAGCAGCTGCAAGACAACAGCAGTTTCCTTACGGACAGCAGTATCCTTATGATTATGCAGCCGTGTATGGAGCGGAGTGGCAGCAGTTGATGCAGCAGCAGAGAGATGCAGCTTATGCTGCGGCAGCATATGGTCTGGAGAAGCACACCAAGGTGAGGTTTAATGATGAACGTATAACAGTAAACTGTGATACACGCCTAACCAAGCTATAGGAAGTTTTGGGTTTCTTATGAAACGTAGAAAATCGTTAACTGAAAACTGGTTGTGATATGACCTGTCATATTGAAAATCAAGACATGTGCACAGTCCCCGAAAACTTGAACTTACTCGCAGTGTTTTTCGTTATTTTAAAGACCACAGATAAAAGAAATTTTCAAAAGGGTAGAGCAATCCTTGTACCAGTTGAGTTTTAAAAAACTCTAAACGATTTTAGGTAGTAATTAGGAGTACTAGGGGCGATAGTTATAGCTGGTACTGACTGAAAAAGGAAACACTGCACTTTAAGAGGCAAAGGTTGTTAAACTTTCCAAACTTGTCTTCTTAGAGTCACAAATCAAAGAAGCATCATCGTCGTTATAGTGCTGACAGTGCGGAGAGTGACTTCAGCAGTGCATCAAGATCGGCATCCAGATCAGCTTCACGTTCTTATTCCAGGTCACCAGCAAGGTCTTGGACTCGTTCACGTTCTCTATCGCTGTCCCGGTCAAGGTCGAGGTAACCATTGAATTGTGAATTGATTGCCATCGCCAAATGAATCGTGGAGTACTTGTCCTTTGCTTCAAGTGCTCCATGAAAGCAGAATATTTTGGAATGTCAATTATTATGTAGAGGAAAAAAAGTGCATAGAGCACTAAAGTGAGTGTCCAAAGTAATTTGGGATTGCTTTGGTCTTAACTTTGCCTTCTGATTGGTTAAGAAAACCCGTGCAATCATCTCAACCAATCAGATTCAAAATTAACAACAATCGCGTTTTCCCGCGCTTCGAACAGTTTGTTTTCTTTCACTTTGAGTTCTCATTAGCCAATGATAATGTAATTGTCTTGTTGGTACTGGTTTTTTTTCAGGTCGTCGTCAAGGTCAAGGTCATTCTCAAGGTCTGTTTCACCGCGCACTCCGCAAACAAGATCTCCAGTCGTTCGCGCAGCTAAACCAGGGCCTCATCCGAGAAGGGTAGACAGTCGCAGAGAACGAGAGAAAGAACGGCCTGACAGAAGTCATGAAAGAGAAAGAGAACGAGACAGAACAAGGTTTGTAATGTATTTTTCCTCTCAAGTGAAAAATCTTTATTCAGTTTTAATCTAAAGGAGAGATTTTTCATGATGAATGTCAAAAGGTGAGCTAAAGCGTCATAGAGTTTTCTTTTGATTTTACTAAAGGGTATTTGTTTTGTATTCAAAGGAAATTCACAGTGTACATAATTAAGGTAGCAGTCTTCATACAGGAACTTTGTTGCTATTAAGGTGTGGCTAGGTATTAGTGAATGTTCAAGTATGTAAAGGTTAAATTGCTTCCTAAACCTGCCGCAACATGCTGCCTTTTCTTGGATACAACCCCGTCAATATGTTTGTACTGTATGCTTGATGCCGAAACTGTTGCAGCAGCGTAAAACAATGTGTATGTTGTTGGTTCATGTGGCAAACTCTTAAATACAACAACGTTAACATTCTTAGTTCGGTTTATTTTGTCCAGAAGTTGTCGGAACAAATAAAAACAATGTGGCTGGGCTGGGCTAGGCTAATTGGTCATTTACTGTCATAAATTAAATCGAGTGAACCTAGGGGTAACTTGCGAGCTTGTAGTCTGATTGTCCAGGTGAGTGTAGTCCTGAGAAGGACTGTTGTCGGCAGTAGTGACTGACGTTTGGACAACCTGAGCGGAAGTCATCGTCAGAGTGAAGTGGAGAATATTCTCTGTCAGGTGTTATAAGTTCGGTTCGTGTTTGTGTGTTCAACGAAAACTTGAGTTTAAGCCTAGCCAGAAGAACACCGAGATCTTTGCAGAGGGAATTGAACCAGAGTTGTTGTCATATTCGTCTGACAGCGCTTTTGTTAATGATGAATTCATTCGCACGTTTTCCGCTCTATCACTCAAGTGAATGTAATACAGTAAATGGTTTGTGACTCATTGTTTTCTGTTCGTAATATTTGGCAGGGAGCGGCCTGACAGGAGCAGAGATGGTTACAGGAATCGTGAGAGGAATGACCGAGAGAAGCCTAGGGAGAGGGAATCACATGAACAACGAGAACCACGTGAACCCCGTCATGACAGGCCTCGGGAGAGAGAGCGAGAGAGGGACAGAGGAGATCGCGAGAAGGCGAAAGAGAGGGAACGGGAGAGGACAAGGGATAGGGAGAAGCCAAAGGAAGGTCATCGAAGAAGTCGAAGTCGAGACCGATCATCTCACAGACGAGAGAGCAGGGAGTCCAGACATTCTGAGAATAGTGCCTCAAAGGTTGGTGGACAGACTTAACCATGTGGTTCAGCCTTTATGCTATTTTATTTGTCTATTTTATTGATTTTTTCTTTAACTCTTCATTTTTACAAGCACGTTGCATTCAAATTTTATGCAATATTGATTGTATTTCAATGGACGCAAACTTAATGTGGTTGTAATCTAAAACTTCGTATGCTTGCTTCCAGGCTCGTAAGATTTAGCAAGCTCAGTAAAAAACTGACCAATCCTATAACTGGGAAAGGGCAATGAACTGCTCCCAATTTGAAGTTGGAACCTTTTTTTCCCTAAAGTGTGAATGCTGTAAATACAAAGAAAAATAACAACAACAACAACAACAACAACAACAAAGCGAATGGGCCCTTTTTACTGTAGATATCTAGTCAGTGTCTTTTCTTAAAGTATAAAGCACAATCTTAATAAGGTTCGACTATCAACCGCCTTTCGGGAAATGAGCTTGCGCTTAACCCCCGATGTCTCGAAAGGATTGGGGACCGTACGAAGACTGGGTACGAATGATTCAGATCAGAACACTCTCATGCCTGAAAGCCAGCACTGATCATGGTCCACAATGATGTAATCTTTCCAAAATCAATGCGAAATGCAACCTTTTTATTTTGCAGCGGATAGTTGTTGGACCTTCTGAAAGCAAGAGTAAAACATCTGGTTCTACTCCGGACGCTAAAGCCAACCGTGTGGTCGTAACCAAGGCTTCAAGCAGCGGGAAGCCGTCAAATCGAGTTGTAATTGGTTCTTTGCCGGAAGCGATAACACCAAGCAGGCTAAAGGAGCTTCTGCAGGGCGTTGGTCCAATTCAGGTACAGAACGAGTCGTCAAGATCAAAAGACTGATTCCCCTAACAGATAATAATGCATTTCTCTGCAGGCCAATCCATAGAATTAGAAGCTCTGTCTTAACGTTATTGCCTTGTTGACATGTAATATAAGACTAACGACAACAATAAGTTACATCTTACTTGAACTGAATCAAATAATTATGAATTTCAGTCTACGCGTTTTATGAAACACATTTCGGGGTAAAGTGAGCATAACAATTATTTTTTTCGTGTGTAGCCTTTAGGGGAATATAACATTTTTATCTCAACAGCAACTAAAGATGTCCACGACAAAACACAAAGCACTGGTGACGTTTGAGAAGAATGAACATGCCCTGGCCTGCCGACGAAAATTTCATAGGTACACTTTGTTTACACTAGTGTTGATCAGTTGAAATATTTCAAGATATTAAGAATGTAATAAGTCTGCATGTGAATATGGAAGCGATCTTCGCAATGATGAACACTAGTTAAGCAGTAGGGAAAGTAAAGCCTGAAAAAAATTCAAGCCTGTACGGGATTTGAACCCATGTCCTCTGCGATACCAGTGCAGCGCTCAACCAACTGAGTTAACAAGCCAACTAGGAGCTGGTCTGCATATTGTGTTTGAAGTGGGTACAAATGTGCACCACAGCAAAATCTCGACAAGGCTTTATACTCATTTAACATCCTTTTTTTCAAATCAATTTTTTTTCTCCAGGACTGTAGTCGATGACAGCCAAGTTACTGTTGACTTCCTCTGATTTTTTAAAAACATATTTCACAAGGATTTGCCCTTTGCGGTCTGCTCCCTTGTATGTAGTGTTGTAGTTGTACTGTTGTGTTATTGTGTCTGTTTTCATAAAGCCTGGCACTAGTAAAAACTCTGAAATTTACTAAGGGTAAATCTCAACATCATAATTCCATCTATCTAAAAACGAGCCTTTTCTAGAACGTTGTGATTCTTCATCAGATACATTTTTAGTATGCGATTTTCTAGAAAAGTAAGCTCTAAAGATTATTGGCCCTGTTGATATTCTCATTACTAAGCACTTAAATGACATAACTTATTGAGATAAATATACTGCAATGCTATAAGGCTCACTATTGGGTTATCATAAGTGATAGCCGGTGGCTTTTATGTGATTCGTTATTGTTTTCAAAATAGTAGTTACCTCCTTACTGTAGCCATAGTTAGTAGTTTTTAGCCTTGTGACTTTAAGAAAATTTATTATAGACGGAGAGAGAATCAAAGGTTATGTACAGTGTAAAATCAACCAAAAGGAGAATGATGTCTTTAAAAAACTAAGGAATTTTTTTAATATCAAGTTTAGGTGTTAAAAGTTCTATATTCTGAACATGAAATTCATCATTCAGCAAAATTTAAAGGGTTTAAATTGAAGTCTTAGAGTTTTACTGTTAATAGTTATAAGATGTTTTACAGAAGATTCTTCCAATTTGAAACAGTTTTGTTTTTTTCTCATTATGTTGATATCATGCAAGAGTTATACTACCCTTCAGGGAGTGACGCAATTATCGCTATAAGGAAAACGTTGATCATGTGGCTGTAGACAAACATGCAGTGGTTCAGATTCAAATTGCTACTTCTATTTTGAATATATTTGATGCGTTATGAATAGCAAGGGGTACAAACATTGGGTGCAACTAAACTTAAACTTCATGATAAAGGAGGGTTTGTTTTAAACAGTTCCAGTGTTTCACTGATTGGGGCCTAAAAAGCTCGTTGTTTAATTTTCAATAAACACACCAGGAGTAAACATTCAAAAACAGCAATTACTACCTGCTTCTTCTTCCCTTCAGTTTACTTTCGTAATGGAAATGCTTCGTTTTGAGGGGGAAGGGAAAAGCTACCTTCCCGTGCAAATTAATTAAGGCCTTTTTCAGTTTTATTGTGATGTTAATAGTTTGGTGTATGTTTACGTTGGCGAAAATTTTCAATTTCTCAACTTAACTTTCAAAATCAAATTTTATAAGTAAATGTTACGAAGTCACACTAAGCTCTAAAGTAGCTTTGAAGAGCTTGCTTTTTTTAGCTAGTTGACCCTATAATGCTTACTCGTATACAACTTTCGTTTCCCTTCGCGATTGTTGCATAATTGATCTGCTGCTTCTACAATCTTATTGTAATATATATTTAGCAACTATTCACGAAAGTGGAGGCGGCTAATGGTGGTTTTGTTTTAGTGTATTATTAAATAGTGAGATATTATAGCACAAAAAAGTGATTTCAACTAATTTGTTCCTGCAACGATTATAACATTTTCGGGCGCAAAGCCCGCGTACGTTCCTGGGAGGTAAATAGTAAAGGCTATTCGGGGTTTGAGTTACCAATCAGAGACCACCTTCGACGCTGTTCACTGTTTTAGTATATACTAAATATATGTATCCTATCAAACACCATATGTGAAGTTTGTAGGAAAAAATAAGACGAATGCTCGTTATTAATTTTTAAAAGGCACCGAATGTTTGACAAACTGTCAACGACAAAAAAGGATTTTGTGCTTTTTACTATAATGTCACAGTTTTGAACGACTATTACTTGAAGCCACGAGTATGTATTTAAAAATTGGCGTGATTATCGTGTACAGATTAGTTGTTTGAAAAGTTGTGCCAGGTTTTATGATATACGTGTTGTACTGTGTGGTTTAAATGTTTCATCCCCTTCAGAAGATTTTGTATTAAGTACACAGTTTGGAGATTAAGGCGATAGTTAGAAGACTTTTAAAAGACAGAAGTTCAAACTGTTGAAAGCCAAGTTTCAAGAGAATACATTTGCTTGGAAGACATTATGGCTTGCCAGAGATACAGCAAGGTGGGGCCTTGGAAATGTGCTCTATTTTTCACCTGATGATGTGGACATTTACACTACAACCACAAATGGTGGATGAAACAGGCTCACTTAAGAACAACACAGTTGGAACCTCAGGGAGAAAGTCAGGTTTTTACAAGTATTTGATAAATTATTAATTGCTGTGATCCACGTGTGTTATGTCAAGGCTGCATGGTAGAATGGATCGTTACGTTTTTGTAGTAGAAGATAACAGAATGATTAAATTAAAGACAACACGGAAGGTTTTATTGCTATAATATACTTGGTGGTGGTACAAGTTTAAATTAGTGTGTTGCTCTGTCAGCTATAACAACTCGCTTTGGTATCTTGAGCAGTTTGTATGAAAACACTGAAATCCGTAGATGTAGTTTTCAGGCGTAGACCTTCGTATTTTTCCCAAAAGGCCAACATGGTTTCAGGGCTCGAAATTAGCACTCGCAAACTCGCGAAATGCGAGTGGTTTTTCGAAGTTGCGAGTCTAAAAAATATCCTCCAGCAAACATTTGCTAGTTAGGTTCCTTCTTTTGCTAGTAAAAAAAATCTTACTAGTAAAACTTTGCTAGTAGACAAAAAAAAGTTAAGTTCGAGCCCTGGGTTTAATTTATTTAAGTAATCTAAGAATTGAAGAAACACCCAGCAGAGACGAATAGTCATATAAAACAATTTTTTTTTCATTGACCGATAGAAGTGTTGAGCAAGGCACGTCTTTTGATCTGGGCTACTGGCTTGTGTTATTGGCATCTTGGTTTTGTTTGCCTTTTCTTTTCATGTATTTATTTGCTCGTTTAACAAATCAACTTTTCCAGTGATATATAAATGATAGTTTTAGCCGATGAATTCGTAAGCATAAAGTTATTACTTTGCTGGTACTCTAGGGGGGTGGGGGAGAGGGTTGTCCCGACAACTGGTTGCTACGGATTCGTGATCCCATTGAGGATTGATTTGACACACAGTGTCATGAGTAATAATCCTGAAAGGTTTGTAGTGACAGTTACTAAAGCAAGTGGTGGTTTATTTTTCTGGTATTGCATAAATTGAACCTGTTATGAGTAATATTTGAGTGTAAGTCACCGAAAAACACTACTTTTTTTCCAGGGTATTTTAAACCATGGAAACCTTTCAGTTTTGTTACTTGTGCGTCGTCTTGTTCAATTATTGTATTTTTGTGTTTTTTATTAATTCTGCTTTCATGTTAAGTTGTCAATGACTAGTAACGCCCCAATACTTCACTGGGATCTTTGGATTTAATTAAAGGGTCTTTCTATCCAAAAAATATGTTATTTATAGACTGAAAATACTATACCTCCCTACAAAAAACCCTTATTGATGGATAAGCATGTGTTATCAATAATAATTCTTTTGCAACATTTATCGGTGACATATTTTGTACTGAATATTTAATTATAAACTCTTTCCAGTTAAACTGGTGAAATACATTCTTCCAAAGGATAATTTTTTAGACGTTTTTACTACAATTTGTTATTGAGATATGCCCACATTCTTACACACATGTATCCGAAATTTTGTAACAACTAACATTTTCATGTTTGTATAAGCAGAGGTATTTTTAAATGCACAGTCCTCAATTAAATAACATATATGATATAACTACAAGGTAATTAAAATAGCGAACTACGAGAATCGCTTTCACAAAACTAAATGATAACTATTAGCGCAGTGGAACAAAATGTATCATTGCGGACAAAGAGTGGGGGTAACATTTTTTTTATCATAGTCTCGGAGTAGTAGCTGCCGAAAAACTTTCGTGCGCCGGATTTGTCAGTGATAACTTTTCCTTTAGTAGAGATGGTGTTGAAATCACTATCTCTCTGGGTTACTGTAACTCCTTTGCCATATTCTAGAGAGCTTAGTTCATTTTGCATGTTAAACATAGATGTTTGCCTTATGTGAAACGTGGAAAGTATTTTTACGAAATCCGTTTAATTTCATAGTATTACAGATTAGATATTTTTCATGCTTGAAAGAGTACCTTGTGAACATCAGTGGTATTAATGAACACTTTGACTTTGCAGGAATTATTTTATTTGGGTGCTCTTAAAATTTGTTGTCTATAATATAGGCTTAGTATCGTTTGTCTGTATCAGACAGCTTGAAAGAGATGTTGCCTTATCTCACATTGAAAGGCATTATTAACAACCCTTTTTAAGCATGTAGTTACATATTATTATGGTCACTTTGCAGGTAAAAGGACTTTTCTATGTGTTTATATCGACGATATTTGGTGCTACATACATTTAGATGTTGATAATGTGGAGAAGGGGGACTGTTTTAATCTTCTATTTATTTCTATTGTTGATTTATGTGTTTACATATTAACCGTGTTATTTAATTATCAACATTTTTTTCTAGGTGGTATCACAGAATAAGACTGATAACTCTTCCTTGATAAATGCTTCCACTTAATCTATAAGGGGTGGGTGGGGGTGTGGGGTATTTTCTGATGTATTTGCCTTTCAGGAACAACCAACTTAATTCGATAGATATTTTCTCAAACAAAGTACTTTAACGATCCTAACTTGTCTTTTACCTAACACTTGTACCATTTTTTTGAACTAATGAGTTCTTGTGTGGCTTAAAATATGTAAATGCTGTTTTCTGGGCGGTTATTTTATCGTGATGTGATCATTTCTACATGTGCATTCTTTTTAAAATAACACGGTGAATGTAGAGTTTCTTTTCCCTACATTCACGTACGTAGGTGTTGGATTAACTTGAAATCCATATACTGACTTAATTTTTCACTTTGATATGAAATTCTAAAGATATCTTTGGTAGTTTTGGCAACTTTAAAAAAGCTCTGTTCAAACATTTCCAAACTCTGGGTGAAACTCGTTTTGAGTCATATTTTCTCTTCATTGGGTAGAAAAGCTATTGTAGCAACAAAGGAATGAAATCAAACGTAATTCTTAAATTACGCGCAGATTCCGCTGTTCTGAATTATTTCTTACCTTCATTTTCCCAGAGAAGGGAAGAGGTGCATTTTGGAATGCGCATAAATGTTTACATTTGTTAACTATAACTTAACATGAGTTATGCGAAGAAGGTTTCTTTCGTTCTATTTACCACCAATTCGAATCATCAGTGAATGCATTGACAAAGTTTGTTAATTAAAGACTTTCGCGGCGATTTCGTTTTGTGAGCAGGGAAATTTAAGAGAAACTTGTACCATAAGAGCTCTTGGAAATTAAACAATATTAAGCTAAGCTATCTCTCCCTGTATTTAGCTCTCAAGCTTGTTGTAATAAAAGGTAACCAATTTCTCCTTGCAAGAGAAGAGTCTGAGTTAACTTGAGAGAAACTAAAACATTTTCTCCCTTCCGGGAACCCAAGAATTTAAATTTGGCTTTCCTAATGATTGACCCTTTTACTTTGTCATCCCCTCTTCGCTTGTAATTCGGTTTGCTAGATTGTCAAAACTTTGACACAAAGGGTTTTGTTTGCAACTTTAGAGTTTTTTAATATCTTTGGATGCACTCAACTTAACCCCTTGAACGCATAATTTTCCCTTTCCTTTCCTCTTCCAAGTATTGGAAAACGACTTCCAATTCAGTTTATCGCTGCACTGAAAATGAAAAGAAACAAGAAACTTGGATCTCCAATACGTATGTCTCCAAATGACGTTTAAATCGAAACTAACATATTTGGCGCAGAGTTAGGAATATTGCGTTATGTAAGAACCTCGACTTCCTTGTCTTCGTACTTTTACGTAAAATCCATTGTGTGGCCATATTTCCCATTAAATTACAGCAAGAGGAAATGAACAGAAATCTTTATTACCCATTAGTAAGTCTTATGATTACATTACATTCGGAGCGAAAACTTAGACTGTCTTTGTCCATTTAACTTAACGTAGAACCCATGCTGTGGCGGTTCCGGTTAGTGAAGTAGCCACATACAGTCTTGTGGCCCTATTTATAATTAAAGCCCTCACTGAAATTGTACGTCGCGCTGGCGCGTAAATTGGTGTAAACGAAGATAAGTGGTGTGAGTCAGTTCCTCCAAATGAAGTAGTTTTGTTCGACTTTGTTCTGTCAGCTTAAGATGCAAATCAAAACGATGATGAAGACAGAAATCATCTGAAGAAAGGACTAAGCAGTCACGTGAGTTACTTAGGAGGAAAACTCAGTTGAAAACCAAACTTTCGTGTATCAGTCAGTATTTCGCAATAGCTTCATGTGTTCACTTACCCACCCTAACAAGAACATAAAATGCGAAGATCCAAACAGAAAAATGAGTAATTTTAAGTCGAGAATTGCGTCTCTCAGAGACGCAATTCGAAATAAGCGCAACATTTTTGTTAACGACGGGTGAGAAGTGTACCGAGTTATCAGTACCATGCCATAAGAATTGTTGCATTCGACGTAAGAGAACGCACACTACTAGTGTCGTTTTTCAGTCTCGCTGGTTGTATGATAACCCGCGGCTAGCGATCCGAAGCCACACCGTTCAAGCTTTTCGACGCCATCTTGGATTGCCCGACACACGTGGCCTCGATCTCATAGGGGTATCTGAACTCGCCTTGGTTTGAATACCTTAGGTTTTATCGAACAAAACGAGTCACAACAAATTAGAACTGTGAGCCAAGCCACGATACGATGTTCGTCGGTTTCATTGTACAATGGATTTTGATACGCAGAGAGAATGCCCTTTACTAATTCATGATTATTGCTAGTCTTAATCATTTTAGACCATTTGCTTTTCAATTTTCTAGTTTCTCTCATCCTTCACGATGGCTGGAATGATGACACTGAGACTCGGGTTTGTTCTTTAGCCAGCGAGGCTTCCGCAAAGAAAAAAATTACTCTACGGGCTATAGGCCACAAGGAACGGACGGACATACTCATTATTCCTAGAGAGCGAGTTGTGGTTTTCAAAAATATCCTCTTTTTTACTATTGAAAACAAAAAACTTAGTACTCATTGACATCATTAGCATTAAAGAAATGCTAAGTTTACTAATGATGGAATTCTTGAGAGGTGAAGGGGTGCATTTCTCCTGTCAAGCCCCAACCCAGCGGATGACCTGAAATTGCACATATATATTCAAAGTCAAAATTGTTATTAGGTGACAGAAATGACTACTTTGGAACTAATTAAAGTACCAATTTCTGTTGGTTAAAATGTCAAAAACTTTAAGCATGGTTCTTTAATGTCTTCTGATGGGGAGTCTTAAATCTGCGAATGTAAACCATGAGTGATAATATTAAAAACTGGCTATGATTTATCGCAATTCTACAGACTTCATTAGTTTGCAGGCCATGGTATATGACCTCATAATTATCATACTTCGAGTCCTGTAGGTATATGCAAAGTTTTTGAAAAGGTTGGCAGAGCTGAATAACATTTGTGCACGCACTGGGCTTTGGCGCGGAAAACGGACTTTGAGTTGTTTGCATGTTTGATTTTCCGTTCTGCTCCTACAAAACGTTGTTTCCCCTTGCCGCTTTTCTTTTACAGAACAACCTCCGAAAATACGGAAATACCTTCAACGACAACAAAATGCGTCGCTTTTAACTGCCAGTCCCCTTTTTCCCGCAAATTTCGCTGAATTTTAAACCTCGTACGTTTGAGTCGGCGTAATTGACCGTATACCTATGACGTGGTATTTTGTTATTCAGCTCTGCCGCAAAGGATTTCTGCCCTTTTTACAGATTGGGTAATGTTTCTTTGGGTGTTCTTTGAAAGAAATTTATTTTTGACGATCGCTTGGTGGATATGAGATGGTACCAGGCGACACGCGCGTGATCTTTAAGATTCAATAGCTTTGGCTGGTTTTGTAGACCAGGCTTCTGACTCATTAGATCATGTTTAAAGAATATTCATACATGATCTTGTCTAAAGTATGGGCAAAAGCGTACTTTAACAACTTGTCCTCTATTAGCTATGGAATGTAGTCGGCGCACTTAGGTTATTAAAACGTTTTAAACCATGTTGGCCTACCTCTGCTCCTAATTATTAATCTCTATCTTGGTATCGCTTTTCCTTTCATAAACTATAATGCTGTTGATATTCAGCCTCTCGGACGCTTAACGTTAGTCTTATGTTATTCTGATACATTTTTATGGCCTTTAGTCTCTTGAATCTTTCCTTTCGATTTGAAAAATGGAATTATTATCGGTGATGAGGGTTTATACCGTCCTTAAATGCATGTTATAACTGACATAAAGTGAGTTTTTTTATCCGCTTTACGATACTTAGCTTAACTAGACTGCTAGTATGATTAAACAATCAGATCTTGGGAGTTAAAGGGTTAACCCTCTAACTCCCAAGATCTGATTGTCAATTCTCCCCTCCGGCTGCTACGCATTTCCTCATGAATTAGTTACAAGAACTTGGTGTGAGATCAAGGTAAAAACTTCTACCTGATACATTTGATTGTTCTCATTACCTGTTTGCTGGATAATGTATGAATGATATAGGGAGAAGTTTCAGGTGAATCACCTCTGGGACCTAAAGGGTTAAAGTCCTTATTGTTAGCGTTCGACACGAGCGTCTCTTCGCCGACGACAACTTTGGAAAGTTTGAGGCCTTGAGCGACACGAGCCAGAGAGAGGTTTGCCAGGAGTCAGGTAGATCAGGTTTGCCAGGAGTCAGGTAGATACCTGGTAAACCTCTCCCCGACTTGTCTTAAATCTTGCCGCGGTGCGGACGGAGAAACGTGGGTCCTGCAGCGCTAATAATGAAGGCCTAAGGCGTAGGCTTGTATTATAAAGGACTTTTTATCAATTCTGACCTGCATGAAGACATTGGCTATATTAGTAGTACTTCCATTTGTCCCTATAGAGGCATTCAAACAAATAAGGATACTTGTGCGAGCAAACTGCTCAGGAGCGTCCCTCTAGGAACTGTTAATAGTTTATGGAAAGGTGGTTGGGTAAGAAAATTGAAAGGGGGGACTGGAAATAACTAATGACTAACTTAAGAGGAACTTATAAAATGGTTATGAATCAAACAAGGTTACCTAAGTCTGCAATATTGTTGCAAATGCGATATTCCAAACTCGGAATTCGTATAGAGAAACAACACATTAGGGAAGGAATCATTTGAAATCATGAATAAAAACACTGCGGTTCTTGAAGTCCTACTTAAATTCATTATCTCTTTACAAAAATGAAATGGAACTTTGAGTTGTTCATGAACATCGACACTATCATCATTAACACTACCACTGAAACCAAACTACAAACATAAACCCCACTGGACAACTTTAATGGAAGAAAACAGTTAACGAACGCTAAAAGTGTGTTTGCATATCTCAAAATGCATTTAACAGAGTAACACAAAGATTCGTAGGCTGATTTTTACTGAGTGGACAGATTAAAAAGTTTTTGTTTTTTTCCGTGTTAATTTTTTTTTTTTTTGTTCAGGCAGCAGAACAAAGTAAACATGGTTGGCGACTACCAGTCGTCAGTTCTTTTCTTTCTCCTACTTTTTTACTACAGCTGCCAAATTGGTTTCTTTGACTTAGGTGGCATATTAGCAGCAGACCTTCTGTCCTTGTGTGCTCTTGCATGCAAAGAAATGACAAGCAGAGAAAAAGTAAAGCTTATTGAAGTAGAATTTTTCCCATTAAATCAGTTAAAATATTGAACCAGTGACCATCAATGAAATCTTAACAGTAAAATTGACTTATGCGCGCCATGGATGGTGTTAGGATACAAAAGAGAACAGGTAACGCATTTTCACTTTCATATATCTTCCTGAAAAACCATAGAATTA